GACAGAAGTTGGGAACACTCTAGACCCCAATCAGTTTCCAAAAGGCGACTGGCGGGTCACCAAAATGCTTAAAAGTCACCCAGGTAGGTAGGTGGCATTTATGCATTTCGGTTTCACTCGACTCTCAACAGATTTTTTTCGTATTTTGGATCCCGGGGCTACTGAAGGAGCGGCCTCAGCTTTATCCGGTTCGCAAACCGGCGGCGGGTGGAGTCCGGTTACCTCCTTGTAATACGTGCCACGGCTTGGCGAAAGTTAGATATAGCTTCACTCGGCAACGTGAACTACGCTCTTCACCAAAGTCCACTCCAGACCTTTCCAGCACTGCTGCTCTCTTCAGCCCTTCTCCTTCTGCCCTTGCACCATCTTCCTTGAATTTGAGATCATCCTCAACAGAACTGAGCAAAACGCTGACGAGTGGCTGAAATACAGTAGGAGCTGCCACGCATCGTCTGTATAACCTGTTGCCTGAAATACAGTAGTAGTTGCCACGCATCGTCTGTATAACCTGTTGCCTGAAATACAGTAGGTTGCCACGCATCGTCTGTATAACCTGTTGCCTGAAATACAGTAGTAGGTGCCACGATAAGGAAGACCCTTGTTTCAAAAAAGAAAACCTCGCAACTAATACATATTGTAAAACTAGTATCTACACTTTTTTGCGCTCTCTCAAAGATTTTTCACTTTGATTTATTTCCATCTTATTTTGAAGAAGTTGAACAGCAAGATACTTAACAAAATTTTTCTTTTTCTTATCGCAGCGCCAACGAGCATACTCGCTACCTAGGAGCATCGCTCCTTCTGGAAGTAGACACATCAGGAGAAGTCAACTATTTTTAAAGTGAGAGTGTCAAGTTCTGAACCTGGAGACGGGAACTGTTTCTCCAGCTTGATAATGTAGACTCAGTATAGACCACTTCATCTCTGTTTTTGAATAGGGTTACGAACGACCCCTAACCTTAGAGAAAGAAAAGAGCCAATCAAAACTTGCAGCACCAGCACACCTCTGAGAAAAAGGGAAACAGGGGCTGAGCAATATCCTGATAGATATGGGAGGAGGTTACTTATTTATTGTCAGATGGATCTGTGGCTTCATGAGTATTTTGTGCCAGGGCTTATATATGAACTCAGTATAGACCATGACCACTTCACAATTTTTTACGCTAAGAATCGTCATTATCGATCCTTTACTAGAGTCTTACACGGGTGCTACTGGCACGACAGGCACTGGTGTCTTCTGAGGCTCTAATATGTATTTGCGTCCCGTAACTTTTACATATCGCGGTCCTGCAACACGAAAACACTCCTCTACTAGAGAGAGTGTTTACTAGTAAACACTCGCTCTAGTAGCCCTTGTTCTGCTTGTCGTTGGAGCAATCACACGCACCCTTCTCGTCCTCGTCCTTTTGGTCCTGCTTTCGGGCCTTCTTAGCGGCTCCTGGCTCATCCCGTTTAGCACGGCGAGAGGCGGCATTCGGTTCTTGACGAGGTCCCGATCCGGCTCGTCCCGATCCAGTTCGCGGCAACGTAGGAGTAATGCGAGAAGCTGCCACGCGAAGATTAGATCGCTCCCCAATTCATCTTCCCCGTGGAAATGGAAATCCCTCGGTTAGAATATCATGCGCGACCACTATCTCGTTCCCTGTATTGGAATGAGCCTGATGATATCGATGCGGTTCGCTTGATTGATTGATTGGTTGATTGATTGACTGATTGATGTCGAGTAATACAACCTACAAAAAAATAAGCGCCTCTTTTAGCCTGTGATTGCTTTCTGAAGTTGTGTCGCTACTTAGATTGGACTTTGCTGAATCTCTTTTATTTCTTAGCTTGTTGTTGAAAGATCAAGAAAGACTAAAAGCCAAATACTATGGTTAAGGTTATAAGGTTGAGGGTCCGCTGCCTGCACCGCGGCCAGGCCGCATCGGCTGGGACAATTCGGGTGTGAGTAGAATACTATGAAGAAGAAAAAAGATCAAAGTAATATAGTACTTAGATGGTACGCGATACAGAGATGGAGATGTATGAAGATACACTACGACACAAAGATGCTGATCAAGCGAAGCTAGAATAGGATAGGACTTGCCTCGCAACAGATACATCAGACAGAAACCTGCGTCCTCCAGCGAAGTTATTTTATCTGTTGCTCTATCGATGACATCATTCTCTCATCCAGCAGAGTGAATCGTTTCAAATGATGGACCGATTATTTTCATTCTCTCTCGCGCCTCTATTCTGGAATGAAAGTGCCGCCATGCTTTCTTCTTCGAACACACAAGCGAAGCCAGCGGCCCATCGCTCCTGAACCACATTCGAGCCACCCGACTGGTTTCAGTTTCAGTTATATTTTTGAGAGCGTCCCCGCGCGACCCATCTCGAGCGCGGACCACCTACAGGAAAAAAAAAACCTGTTCTCCTCCTCGCAGTGGCTGTGGCCCGTCGACCACCTCTCTCGCGATGAATTTGCTCGTCTGATGAACTGGCATGCGCTACCATATGTGTGGCCACTGTCGTGGCAGACCAATTTTTTGTCAATCGTTTCGAGCAACATTCGACATTCGACTTCCTTTCATGATACCTTTCCGCATTTTTGGATTCGTCCACATCGATCTTGTTCCGTATTTAATTTCATCAAAATAAAACTACTTAAGATGCACATACATTTAATTATAGCACATACAACTACAGCAAAACAATTACATGATACGTCTGCGACTTCGTCTTCGTGCCTTCTTCCTTCTCTCTTAAAATATGAAAACAAGGACAGCGGTATAATGACGAGTATCATTTACGCTGCTTGATACAATGTACAATAGCCGGAATTTTGAACAATTACAATGACGGGGCAAGTTTTAATTAGTTCACAGTAGTTAGCCTTAGTTGTCCTAGCAAGCAGTCGAGCAGTTCTACAGATCTATTTTGTGTGTGGTTGTGATAGTGATCGACAATATTATCACCACTAGAGTAGATTCTTCATGTTGGAATGGAAGGTCGATGCTTTTTGTAGTGTTCTATTCTATTCTGCAGTGATCTGGTACCTTCAAGTCTTCTAATTATTCAATTACTTTCACGCTTCATGTTCCTCCTCTTCCTCCACGTCCCCTACCCCCCCCTCCACGCGCCCGTCCTCCATCTCCGACAACCGAATATAATTTCAAATTCCTGAGTTCTCATCTGTTTCTGGTGGTGGCTCTGCATCAGATTCATCATCACCTAAGGGGAAACCGATCGAGGGCATGACGGCAGGTGGAGGCGAAGATGGTGCTGCCCTCGCAGTAGGTGTAGCAGTGGCTTCATCCACCATTTTTCTCAGCTTTGCTGCATAGGTCGGCTCAGCGCACGCGAACTCGGTGGGCCACGTCGGGGGCGCATCATGAAGGGGAACATGCTGACCATCGTCCTCGGCATCTTCATCTTCTTCACTGTCAGCAGTGAGGACCCCTCTTCTTTTCATGTCGGCTTTTTGTGACTTCGCGAAATTCTTCTCGTTTTTTGCGCGTTGAAGTGGGAGCCAAATGGGATCCGAGCCACTGTACATGTTGTAGCTCTTGTTCGCCCGTCCCACCTTCCCCGGTTCATAAACGGCCTCCTCCGCAAAGCGAAGCAAATCTTGAAGAGCCGAGAAAACCGATAGCGCCATTTGTTTCCGAGCCCAATACTTCGCACCGTCGTACGCAGATTCTTCCGCAGATGTCGAGGACGTGCTGTTCTTTAGAGCTACGAGAAGAAAATGAGGGGTGCTATGAGCACCACAAAATCAAAGATGAGTCAAGTAGGACGATACAACTGGCTGTGAAAGAACTCATACAAGAAGTACATGGAAGAAGCGAGATAGCATTGCTTGACTCCTAAGGATTGCTTCACTCCTAAGGACGATACTGGCTGTGAACCTCATACAACTACATATAGGAAGCAAGATAGCATTTCTCGAGTCAACGGTAGATTATCACTATCCCAACCTGAGTCCCTTAGGATAGTGATATTCTAGTACCCTTAATTATTGAGTCGTGTTCGCGATGAAGATTTGGAGTAAGTAGCCGTAAGAACAATGGGCCTTCTACTCCTGAAGGTTCCATCGGAGCGCCCAAATGTGTGAACCAGTGCCACATGTGCTGCAGATCGTCGTATAGCACGTAGAGAAACTCGTTGCACGTCTCAGCGTAGTTCGATTTCCAGTACTGTCGATGCATGGATCGATTTTGGCTGCCGAGGTCTTTTGGTTAGAAGAGTGTGCTTCACTTATTATCCATCTCCGCACGCCCCTTGTTCCAGATGGTGGCAAAAGGATACCAAAGAGATGCTAAGTGAGAAGATGGATAAAAGCTGGCCATAGTTTACCATTGCTTTCACCATATCCAAAGCTTTCTGCTGGTTAGCTTTGCGCGCCTCTTCGGTGGCGCCTTCAGTAGCGCCTTTACGAACCAGGTCGTGAATATTCTCAGCAAAGTTCGCTCCGCTTGAGAGCGCATAGTCTAGGTCCATTGCCTGCGGTATTTCCAAGGCTCTGGGACTTGGTGCTGCGTTCGGATCGTCTTTGATCATCTTCTGGCTCGGCCGAAGGTGGGTTAACCCTTAGAAGCAAGATACTATAATATGGGTGGAGCCAAACTGACTAGGAAAAATAACGGAATGAATGATGTAGCAAGTAGATACTATAATCAAAAATTGTGAATATGTAGTAGCTCTTGCATCACCTTCACTTAAATATTGTAAGTATATATAAATTTATTTAGCCAGTATGTAAATGTATGTAGTCCTCTACTTACTCTTACAGTGAAGAATATTACAAGAGGTAGACAACTCGTCTCCTAAAAGTAGGATGTGAGCCCGCTTGCGAGATAGCGGACGCTTGCGTCGCGTGCACTGTCGATCGCTTGTGCTGGAGCGTTCCAAAAATCCTGCAACTGTTTCCAAGACTCTGGAGCAGTGGAAGAGGCGCCTCCAGAGAGCAACAAATCCATCGCCGCAGACTCGACACCTTTCACGGCGAGTCCCGCTCGTTGCAGCAGGTCAGGAGAAGTTTTTCCACCCGCCACCTCTTGTTGTTGCTTTGCAGCATCTATTTTCTGGCGTCCGACTTCAATAAATTCCTTGAGTTCGGTCATCTTCGTCGCCTCTGGTTCAGGACGGTACGCCAAAGTAGCATATGCATATGGAGCTTTTTTCGCTGGTGCAAGCTTATGCATAGCGGCGATCACGAATGGTCGTCTTTCTTTTGTCGAACCTGTCCCAATCCGTTTGATGTCTCTGTACCGCATTACCGCGTCGATAATGAGGTAATCTAACCTGCTCTCGACCAGCCGCAAAGGGGATCCTGCCTCGATGGCAGCTGCGTAACTGCAAGCAGCTACTTTGCTTACCGCGAATTTTCGCGGGTCGTGGCTGTGGGTCACAGCATAGACAAAATCCTCGAGCAGATCTTTCTGCAGGGACGCAAAAAACCAAGCGTTAGAGCCGTTGATCCATATCCACCTTGGAGATCACTTCTTTTTTCCTTTGAAAAAGAAGCCTCTGACTCTTTTCCGTTGAAAAAGAAGCCAAGGATCATGATCTGAAGGGATGCGCGCTCCATTCATTCATTCATTCATTCATTCATTTATACCTTGCTAGTAAGAGGTAGTGAGTCGGGCCTTAAAACCAAAAGCGACGAGAAACGTTCGCCCAATAGTGAGAACGCCTTGAGCCTTGGACTGAAGAAAATTTCCCAGAAGAGAAATCCAGCCAGTAAGCCCCCACTCGCCCTTCCACTCGGTAGAGAGCGTTTCCGCTGCCGGGAGTGCTAGCAGAGACCGCAACGTTGCCAATACGCCCTCCACCGTCGACTGCTTCTTTTTCTCGTCAGACAGCACATCGTCGTAGTACTTTGCCCAATAGACGGGAGGCGCTTGGTTTGGGGCCTTGAAGACAGGAACGAGGCTTGAAGCGGCAACGCGAGCATCGAGCAGAAGCCAGACCATCTCAGGGCTCTCGGAATAATCGGGGAATTGCTCACGAGCCGCGCGCAGAATGGCGAATAGTTCGCTCCCCTCTTTGCACGAACGCTGTTTGATGAGCTCTTTCAAACCTAGAACTCTTTGAGGTACCTTTCCAGGGCCCATGCCGATGTACGCGTCAGCACGATCACAAAGGAACTTGACTGCCATATGCGCTGAGTATACTCCTCCACCGACGTAAGTAAGTTAGCTTAGCGCTTGATGGCCACGGTCATGTATACCATGCTCAAGTTACCCTACCGAGTCAAGTCTGGGAAATACAGCTACAGAAGTCCGCTTTCTCATTTCTATCAAGGAAGTGGACAGGAGGAAGATGCCCGTGCCCTCCCTTATAAATAAAATAAATAGATCTTCCACTAAGTAAGAGGAAGGAGCACCAAGTCCTTGACTATCACTTGTTCTAAGGGAAAGGAACCCAATTATCAGGATAGATGCATCAGCGACATCATGGCAGATAGTGAGTGTCTAGCCTTAAGTAGTCTTCCATGGAACCTTCGTGCATCTTGCCGTGTAGTTCTTCCCGCTTCTTGCGGTAGCCTTCTATGTTGGCCATTGCGCAGTTGCAAGGCGTCACCGTCTCCGCATCATACGCGCCGCAAGTTGGTGAACGGAGAAGCGCGGCGAGCGATTGCTGCGGCGAGGACGCTTTGATTTTGCTCGTCTCCCTCTCTTCTTCTGGCGCCGACGACGCTTCGCCAGCGTTTTGAAATAATTCCTTACCCGTTTGACGAATTGTAGCGAATTCGTGTGCCCACTGTTCCGGACTTTTGTCACCGGGCGTTACAAATAAATCTAAACCGCCCCCTAACAGCTCTTTCGTCACGGCCACATCGACCTCGGTGGACGAACCGACCTTATCCAACGCCTTGTCCAATTCTTCAACTCCCTTCTCCACGTTCACGAAATCCAAATCCCGACGCGGATCCCGGACACCATGATTAATTTGGACAAAGCTCTGCTCGACGTTTCCAGCAAGATCATGCTTCGTCTTCTCCTGAATTCAAAAAAAAAGAGTCAGATAGGATGAGATCAGTTCTCTAAAGAACAGCTGCGTTCTCTACCTACTACACTGTGAGTAACAGTTGTTAAATAAGAAGGCCTTAAGAGCAGAGCAGATCCGCAAAGAGTAGTAGCTTGTAAACTAGTACTAGATGCTTCGTCTTCTCCTGAATTCAAAAAAATCCAAAAAAAAAAAGTCAAGACCACCCTTTCTATCTAGTTTTAATTGTCATTTCTTCATAAACATGTTGAAAGAAGCAATACATTGCCATGATCTCTGGGTGCGAAGAATGCTGAAGCAGATGAAGATGGTCCAGCATCAGCACCTACATGTAGAAGTAGATCAGAAGAAGCATGATGATCATGAGCTGCATCTTGTTAGAGCTCTCTCACAGCACTTCATTTCTTCAGTTCATTTCTTCCGATTCCCAAGAGAGAAACAGAGGAAAATGACCCTTGGAAATGAATTAATTTGATCCTTAATCTTCTTGCGCGGTATTATATTCTTGTTGATGAAGCGCTGCTTCTTCTTCTTTTTTCAGGAAACCTCCAGAAGCCGGACCAGTGTTTCGACGGGAACGGGACGACTCCTCTCTTGGCGGAAGAAAAGCAGACATACCAGAGACAGCGCCCTGCTCCGACAAGGCGTAACTGGTGAGGAGCATGAGAAGCCCACTGCCGACCCCTCCAATGGCGTCGAGTGCCGTGCAACATTAGAGCTCTCCGCAATTCATCTCTCAGCTGCATGATTAATCATGTCCTCGAAAAGTATAACGGCGATAGAAGAGTACAAGGACTGCTGTGTTATACATAGAAAAACCTTCCCTTCCCTTCCCCATAGAAAAACCCCCATACGTAGTTTCGAGGATGCACATGAACAAAGCAAGGATGAATTTTTATTAGCTAGTACATCATCTTCATCAGCCTTAATAAATGTACACGTGGAGGATGATCAGCGTCTTCTTGCCCGTCATCTTCATCGTGTGCGGCGTGCTGCTGCTCATCTTGATATTTGGTGCTTTGGCTGGTGAATAATGTAGTGGACGATCTTCTTATTGAACTCCAAAGCCTCAAGTAAGGTGAGTTCTTGATGGGTTCGAGTCAATATAAGTGGACAATCTTATAAATGATGTAAGATCTTCAAAACCTCCAATGAAGAGAAACTACGAACCCTATCAGTATCATCATGGTGCATGAAGGTGAAGTAGATGTGATGTGTCTTCAAGCAAACCAAAAAACAAGGGTTTCTAGATGATGCGTGAAAGTGTGGGAATTGCTGTGGGGGTGGAAATGTCCTCAGAGTCAAGGTCAACCTGCGTCCATAATGATGCGATATCCTCGTAAAGAGAGAGACTTTAGTAAAATAATCACCAAGTTTTAGACGTACTTACTCTCTTGTAGTGGTGCACTCACCTCAGAGGCAGACAGTCCTCTAGTTGACAGAAGTCTTATCGTAGTGCAATTGTCTCAGAGGCAGAGACAGACAAGAACCAGAATTCTTGTTCCTCTACTCGACGTCTACAGGTTCGTTAAGCTTCCAAGACAACCAGGTTCATTCACTCAAGCTGCCACCAATACGATTGATGGCAACGCTCTTTCCTCCGAAGGGATGCGCATTCTCTTGTCCTCATATTGGTCTCCTATCTTGCCAGTGCTGATTTCTCTCCAGATCTCTTCCCAGAAGCAGAAGTCTAGCACACAAAAGGACAGACTTCTCTTCAAGTTTAGCTCTGTCATGTCATGGCACCTCTTGCGCAGCAACTGGTGTCTACCTCTGAGGCCACCACGGCCCAGTGAAGTAGTACTCAGCCTCATCATCATCATGGCGTCTCAAGTAGCCATCCTAAGCTACCGGCAAGACGAAACAGATCCAGCGACTCGACACTCAATATCATAGATATCTTCAACTACTCACATCAGAAGATGTACCTCTACTCGTTCTTGGGTAGCTGGAAGCACTAGATTCAATCATCGAGGCTTCCTCCATAATCTTCTATGAAGATCTCAAAGGTTAGTACAATGCTCTTGTGGTCTATAAGTCAAGAGCCTCAGCTTCAGTGAGGAGTCTCTACTTTTCCTGCGCTACAAGGCTGTACTGTTCAACGCCGTAAACTGTTCTTCAGCACAGTAAGCCATCTTACACTCGCAATCGTTCTTGTGTTCCCGACCACATCGTCCTCCAGCTGTAGCTTCTAACACCCTAAGCCCCAAGCCCTACATGATCGACATGATCTTCAGGAAACAGTCTGTAAGCGATAAGAGGTGTCGTCTCTCTCCTCTATGCCTCCACCAATGCCGCCAGTTTCTCCCAGTTGCCGCGTAGAAGGTTCTTCTTGCAACGGCGATTAGAGGGATTTGATGGTCTATAATTCTGGGACTTAGTAGGAGTAGTAGTAGTAGTAGTAGTAGTAGTAGTAGTAGTAGTTAGTAGTAGTTAGTAGTAGTTAGTAGTAGTTAGTAGTAGTTAGTAGTAGTTAGTAGTAGTTAGTAGTAGTTAGTAGAAGTTAGTAGTAGTTCAAAGAGGGGAAGTAGTTCAAAGAGGGGAAAAGGGGAAGGGGGAGACGCATCCAGAGGCGGGGGCGTTTACGAGAGGTAGGGTAGCAGGTTCTTCTTGCAACGGCGATTGGAGGGATTTGATGATGATCTATAATTCTGGGACTTAGTGGCCACCTTGATGTATTCTTCTACTATTGGGGTCGCTTCTGAAGGTACAGGATACCACAGAGATAAGCTTTAAGTTTCACATGAGCATCATCTTCCTATCTTGTTGGAAATTCCCTTTGATCCTCTTTTCAGAAAAGAGCAAAGCAGGGAATTTTTTACAGCTGAGACGAGATCATGATACTGAAAGTATGTGTTTGAGGGAGAGTACTCCACCTAGAGTATCCGATTCATGGTTAGAGTCTAAGTATGAATCCGATCCAACAGCTGTGATCTCCGTAACTTTGTGTTTTATTTTCCTCGTCGCCAGGAAGCTGTGCTTCGTTAGGAAGCTCCTCCACGACCTGCGCTGATAAGGTTTCGTAGTGGCAGGCATTCGAAGATACTACTTCTAAATGTGCTACTGATGGATCGAACTTCCCATGATGTACTAGAGAATGAGTGAGTGTGAGTGAACGAATGAATGTGCCTAGCAAGAGGTGTTTGTCTGAATGTGTCCCACTTCTAGTACAAGAACACCCCTTCAATGACAATTTTTACAAAAATGATCATCAAGATAGTGATAGAAGATTATAAGTACCCCTTCAATTATAACCTCTCATGTTGTTGTACTTCTACACAAGATCAAGATGAAGATACCGCTTGTCTCAGTCATAACAATCAAGGTGCCCATTTCTACTTCAGCGTGCTCTTGCAGTTCGTGCATTTCCAGTTCTCTTGTGTGCAATTCTTCCTTCAGTCTATCGATTTCTCTCCTACTTTATGAAGAAGCGAAAAAGTGTACAGAGAGGGGAGCGCTCATGAAGACTATGAAAACGCCAAAACTCTGTTCTCGTGAGCAGCATGCGTACACTTTTTCCTGTCATATATATTGAGCAATCGAAGCATTCTCCTCCTCAGAGCCCGGGTCTTGCGTCGTGATGGCGGTGGAGGGGGCCTATAAAATTGCAGTAGACGGTAAGTCATCTGCTATTCTGCTACATGCAGTAGACGGTAAGTCATCTGCTATTCTGCTACAACTGGTATTAAGTACCTCTACGTCTCCAACTATCAATCTTGTCATCAACTCAAAAAAATTCAAAGTCAGAAGCTCCAATACTGACGTAAGTCCTGGTCCTCTGCGTAAATCACGAAGTAAGGACTCTTTCCTTCTAACGCGTTTCTCCTTCTCCGCTATCAAGTCTGCAAGTGCTGTACTCAATTTGCCGTTCCAATCCTTCAGTTTGGCGTCGTACCTGAAAGATAATGTAACACTTTAGTAGAACAAGTTGAAGAAATTGCTCCTGCAGTTTGGCATCGTACCTTGTTGTTTTCGTAAAGATACCTCCTCCGAGTAGTTCTTCTTCTTGTAAGTAGTTCAGAGCAGTTTATAAGGTTTCACGGCTCGCATGGCATGGAGTGCATGGATCACATGGAGTAGCATGGAGCTAAAGGGGGAGCCTCTTGCGCCCCTTAAAGCTCTGCACTCCATGCACTCCATGCTACTCCATGCACCATGCGTGCTATAAACTACTCTGGCCTAGTTCTCATATCTCCGAATAGTTCTCACGGTGCCTTCTAATAGTTCCTCTTGAGCTAGGCAAGAAGTTCAAAATCTTCAAAATTTTAGTACTCTCGAATCATGTCGAGGTTGCTGTCTGCGATGGATAGATTTTCGCCGACGTGGTCTTCGCGAAACTCGTTTCTCATTTCGCGCACTTTCTCCGCTAAAAAGTCACGCTTTACCTGCCAATGCCTTGGATGAGGGAGCTACCTAAGATGTAGGAGAGAAAACTAACCGGTTACTTTTCTTGAAGTTCTTTGCGCGTCGCTGGACCTAACTAAGCCAAACCGTACAACAAGGGAAACAAAAGCCTTACCAGCACCTGTCAGTATCGAAGATAATGCCAACTTGTTGCCACAAGTAGACCAAGTAGATCACACGTAGACGTACAACGAGGTGCAAAAGCAATGAGTGATCTACTTATAAATCACGTTGTTGTAGTCACCTCCGCTTCTCTCGCTTTTTTCTTGTTTTTCGCGAACTGTATTCGGAAAAGCTCTGTGTCGGATTCGGCGCCAAGAATTTGTGGAGTTGAACTTGAAACCTCTATGAATGGTGTTTTTTCTCCCCTCTAGAACTAGAGGCCGGCCATCGAGTTCCTCGAGGCCCCCTGTCCCTTTTAAAGTTAAACTGTATGAATAGAAGTTTCATCAAATGGGTGGAAAAGGGTAAGGGACAGCCTAGATGGTCTGCTAAATGGGAGACAAAACATCATCCATTATAACGATCTCCACTTGACGTTCCACAACGCCTCTACTGTTCATGATCGATGCTGGTGGTGCTGCAGGTCGGTGGTTAGACGTAGAAAATTCAAAAAATGCTCCTCACGTACACGATGTTAGACCACGAAGTAGAATTTTTATGCATTTTTCTGTGGTCCTCCCGGTCCACCACGTCCACGGTGTCTAGTTTCTACTTTAAATTCGGCGAATCGCGGTACAACAGGTACAACACCGACGTCCAAATGTAGTTGATGCACCTTAACATTTATGACCTGCATTCTTGGGAGAAGAAGTTCTTGCTGAGACCTGGACCTGGACGTGTCTGGAGGTGGATAGCCGAAGGACGAAGAGGTTGCCGGAGGAGCAGTCGGAGGCCGCATAATCTTAGAACAATCTCATTGGCCTTAGAATTCAAGAAACTTATTTTACTTAAAAGAAAGAAACTGATTGCATCTGTGCAGAGGAGTACTCCGCATAATCGTAGAACAAATTCAAACGTACGTAAACGAGAAGTACAGCTCATAACTTCTTGTGCAATACTGGGGTAGTTCTTAGGGTATTAGGATACTTTGACGTTGAATAGAAATGGGCTAGGTTAGGTCATGGATCCTGCACCTCGAGCGCCAACGGCACCTAACTACGTTCAAATTAAATTCAACAGGAAGTTTCTCTTAAGCCTCGACTAGCCTTAACTAGTAATACCAGATTCTCTTAAGCCACGACTAGCCTTAACTAGTGCCAGATTCTCTTAAGCCTTAACTCTATCATAGCTGAAGACTGCACCTCCCGGCGGTAGCGTTTCTCCTTCCCCCCTTACAAAAGGACGAATCGTTAGAGGCTATCCGTGTACTGTGCGTATCTTTACAATAGTTTTTCATTTTGTCTCGTCATTCTCACGACCAGAATGAAATAACAAAAGGCCCCCGCGAAAGAAGTTGTCTGAGTGGACGAGATGCTTCCCATCTGTCAACCCTTACAAAATAACGAGGAATCATTATATTTTGACTTCTATTGTATTTTTAAATCTTCTAGTTTTTGTGGCCCTGAAATTGCAGTAGAACTTCCTTGTTCTAGCAGAAGCAGCTTACGATTACGAAGCCAAATTTTATTAGCCTCATCAGAATCAAATAACAAAAGCTGCCCCCGCGAAAGAACACGAGCCGTTGCTTCCCCTGTGTTCATTCATCAAGGGCGGACGAAGCGAGTATTTTTTTGGGGGCCTGGGTCTATATTCGTCCTCGCAATACGAACATTGAATTACCCTGCGATAATCCTGAAGCTGCACAGGCTAGGTTAGGTGTGGGTCCACTAGATAACCTAGCAGACTTCAGTGGCTACTGAAGAACCAAAAAGAAGGACAAAGGAAATACGAACTACAGCTACCTTAAATTCAGGAATGGAGGAGCAGTCATCTTTGGGTCCCCAAACAATTCGGCGTCATTTTTGGGTGTGAAGATCCCTCTATTTCGCTTTGGAGTGAAAACAATGTCATCAGAGAGGATCTGGCTCCGCAATGGTTGCTGGTAAGGACTCGAGGAGCCAGTAGCAGGCCCATTTCCTATGGAATTAGATGCAGTTTATTTTCTACTAGACGATTATAGTGGATATTAAGTTAGTAACTTTATTAATAACTTCGTCCTAGCTTAACACTATCACTAAAGAAATACACTCGAAGGCTTCCTATGGAATGGTGATGATTGAAACCGAAGAAAAGACGGAGAACATTTCCTACCACGAAAAATAAGAAGATGAGAGAAGTGCCAGCTAGTTGTATCACGTAGAATGAAATGAAATGAGACTGAGAGAAGTGGCTGCATCAATCAAGTAGTGAAATGTGGGCAAGGTGTAGGAATCAATGAATGGCGGCTAAAGATTTTCAATGAAGGTTCGTTCTTCTACATACGTTGGTTCTTAGATGATAAAATAAGATCTCGCACTTCTTAGTTGTCCTTTTGAGCTTCATAGCTCAAGACTCTTTCACAGACGATGAAGACGCGAAGACGACAACATAATTGGTAAGCCTTCTATAATATAGAAGGCGTTGTTCTTCTACTTCTTCTTCGTCTCTTCTTCTTCTTTATTCTTCTTACAACAATAGCAATAGCAAGTTCTTTTTCTTATAGCAACCGCAATATCCAGATGGTATCAAGAATTGTAGCTGCTCGGGTCCCATTTTTCGAGTGAGAGAGGACAAAACCAAAAGTCAAAACATACAGTCCTGCTCCAAAAAAATCTTCGTTGTAAAAAATGACCATCACCAGCATAACAAGGAGATTTCCGCCGTGGATACTACCAGGATGGGGTCCATCACCTAATAGAGCTGGTCCAGCATTTTGTGGTAGACTGCTGTAGTATTGATACGCACCGGCCAAATCTCCGGACTCTACTGCCAATGCCCCCGTCGTTGTAGGTCGACCCACCGCTAGGTGGTCTTGTAAACTACCAGCGCTAGGAGAATAATTAGACCAGAGAACAGAACACAGGCCGCGTATTCGATAAAGAGGACTCTGATACAAGAACCAAATATAACTACTGAAAATAAGCGGCGACTTACTGAAAGAAGAACAGCGTAGCTGCCGTGACGGTGACTCTTTTGTTTCAGACTCGGTTAGCAGCTACAACTCCTAGTTCCCTGCCGATGCAGATGATCCTACTAGTACTTCTTGTTCATCTCTTTTCCTGAGAGTGCATTCACAATTGAGGACATTCACAATAGATATCGGTGGAGCAATAGAGGACATTCACAATAGATATCGGAGGACATTCACAATAGATATCGGAGGACATTCACAATAGAGGACATTCTGAATGTCTTTCTCTTTCACAAGAACCATCATAACGGATGAAACAGAAGCGGAGGAGTAAAGATCTGCGCAATGTTAGAGCTATCGCGGTCGCATCTTCTTCCTTGAGATGCATTTATCCTTGGGTGCTTCTTTTTCAAGGAGAAAAAGAAAAACCAAGGGTCGTGATTGTGTAAGGACATGCTTCAGCGGTAACCTTAATGTTGAGGCTGGTGGTAGCCGTGATAAGCGGGTCCAGGATTTCCGCCATAGGGATAGGTCCCCGCGATTCCACCTCTTGGGGATCCTGGTGGTGTATTGCCCATTTTTGTCTTTGTGGTGCGAAATGAGTAGGATAGGATAGGAGTTGGCTCCCCTAGGAGTAGTTCTTTTTCCAAGATTTTTGATTTTGAAAGTCGTATAATCTTCTTTTTTAAATAGCTAACAATCGTTTGTGTTTGTCTATAATTTTTCTACCCAGTTTGAGGCTTTTCGTACTAGCAGTTCTGAACAAGTGGCGTGCTGCCATTTTGTGGGCTCACGGTTATCGCTCTACTTTACTTTCTCTCGACTGGTTCATTCTGTTACGCTTCCCTTGTGGCTGCTCAACATCATGCTCGTCTCATCCTTCAGCACAACAGCACTCCTCCTTTTTTACAACAACGAAACAAGTCTAGAAGTCTTTGAATCGTCGAGTGAGAGAAGTAGCAGCTTAGCTGTGTTCTACAAGAAGAAGGATTCATAATTCTTTTCACTTTCAGAAGGAGCAGACGACGTCAGTACTAAGAATTCACTGAAGAGCAGCGTGACTTCCTCCTGTCGTGGTTGACTGTGCATGATCTATTTTCTTTGCATCTAGTAAACATTGCAGCACGACCAGCATCAAGTACTTTTTATGTCCTCGTCACTAGATTTATCTCCTTTCAATAAAAAGAAGAACTTGAAGTTGAACTTTGCTCGTAAGTTTTTGTGAAGACCACTCGTCGTGACTACTAGTACAACGATGTAGGCTCCATTCTTATGTCAGTGCGAGCTCCTCCTTGAGATGACCCTCCCGCTCTACTCCCCAGCTGCATGCTACTTCGACCAGTGGCCCCGTTTGATTGTCCAGATGGGGATCCGTGGTCGTCTGAATTAGAGTCGGAGTAACGTGTTAATTAAGTGTGAGATAAGTGCCAGAGAGAACTGTAACGTGTTAACTAAGTGTGAGATAAGTGCCAGAGAGAACTGAGAGATAGAGGAGAGGCGAAGCGAACAGAAAACAGATGAGAAACCTACATGAGTTATAATTTATTCGCTGTGAAGATCCTTACACAAGAGCTACAGTGCAGAAGTGCTCGGAGGTGTTAGCAACATCCTGGGCCTCTCGCTTCTGCCTGGGCGCTAGGTGCGACGGCGTGGCGAAAATTAAGGATAGCTTCACTAGGCAACGTGAGCTACTACGGTTAAGCACGGCTGAGATGAGGTCCACTGATTACCTCACTCGTGAACCTTTACGACCTCGGAGATTTCATCATAACATTTTGGAATGACCAACGCAGCATGCCATCTTCACGACTCGGTTCAGCATCAGCATCGTCGCCGAGTGCGGCGTAAAGGCGGTCCATCGCGGGCCCGACGCCATTGTTCTGCATAGTGTATAACAGGTCGACGAGGAGTCTTGCCGACCGTACTTTTCGTGGTATCTTGTGTCTGCGCCAATGAGGTTCAAATTGCTCCACGTTTAGCCGAGTCACTGCTAAAATTAGAAAAAAAATAGGAGAAGACAGGTAGTATTGTGTATAAATAGGCCCTACACGACGACTCGCAAAGAAGAAGTGGAAGTGTAAACTTTTAGTTCAAGAATTTCTCCTTATTGATATTCTTTGACATATTTCTGAGTCCTCTAAAAAAAAATGCTCAACGACCGTAAAATGGTATCGTATCCTCTGGGTATGCGACTGAGAGAGCTATTGTGGCCGGCTTCACACAGCTCCTTTCCTAGCACGTGGTCTTTTGCATCATTACAATTAAATCTCGCGAATATAACCGGAAACGGACGGACGTGTTCTTAGAATGATAATGCATCCTTGTTCCTTAGAAGAACATCTAAGAGTGAGAAACCCATCTGGAAATTTCACCACCTTTGTGAGAACGAACCTGTATTCTTAGTAGTAGTAGTAGTAGTAGTAGTAGTAGTAGTAGTAGAACACGTCCGTCCGTTTCCGGTTATATTCGCGAATATAACCGGAAACTCTGAATTTCTACAGCAATCCTCCTATTTCGGAGGTCGCGCAGCGCCCAATTTGTAGCTTGATGGGGTGTAGTTGGAGGTCTGTGTATCTACTTGGGTGCTGGAGGTGGTAAGATATGATCATGATCTTCTCGTACCCCTAAGATACTACGCAGATACTGAGCGAATGACCATGACGCTTTCTTGCCTATTTGTAGAAGTAAGTACTTGTCTATCATGGGGTCAGTGATTATCTCTGATAGATCCTGATGCAGTCCAAAACAGAGGCATAATATTTCTGCCACAGCTGTCTTGTTCCTTCGAACAGAAGTTTTACGGTATTCTTCCCAAATTTCCCCTTTCGTCCCGGTGGCTCGCGTCCATAGCTATGGTGGATCACGAAGAGGATGAAGGAGGAGATGGGGACTTCTAGGGAGTAGATATGATTACGAAAAGGAGAAGACACAAGACACTTCCAGGGAGGTCGATGGTTCCGAAGGCTTCATCGATGAAGTAGAAGTAGATATATGATTACAACGAAGAGTGAGTGTTATCTGACGAAAACGGGATCAAAATAGTATGAGAACGCGATGATCAACATACACGACGTAGTTCTACTAGTAGGCCGACGAGCAGACACGACTGTGTTCGTGTTGTATCTGTATGAAAACTACATGGATTGATACTAGTATATGCAAAAACAAGTTTGCAGATAAAGAACGTGATCTCTATCTTCATAAAGAGAGCGTTCTTGTGAAATCCCATTCGCGGGTCGCGGATGTTCCACAACTTTCCCCACAAGTTTTTGTCTTTTTCTAGCCCTGCCTCGGTTAAAAAGTCATCCATCGATGGCTTGTCCAATGGCGATACTAGAGTTTTTGATTAGACTCGAGACGAGGAGGAGGATGTTGAACAACAAGAAGATGGAAGATGTTAAAGTTAATATACTAGTTAGTACTTAGTTGTACCCAATCGTCGGGTAATATTGGAAGACATAACTTTCCTTCACCTCCTCGTAGCACGAAGGTGGCAATGGACGACATCGGGTTTTCTTGGGCCGTTCACAGCGATACTTCGTACCCCAAAGCTCATAATCGTAATCGCAATTCTTAAAATCCATTTCCGATTAGAAGATGATCAATGGTGCTGGTGGTCTCTCTCTTTTTTGTTCGTAAAGAGAGGTATGAACACCAATTATACTATGACCGGCAAGAATGTGGTTCGTTGTGTAGTTCGAGTTGGAGTTCATTGGTTCACTTAATATATATAATACTGGACGACTCATCCTTTTGAAGTACATCAACAACAATTCAAAAATCTTAACTATGATTGACATCATGTCTTGAAAGAGTAGGGCTGCAAGTAAGTTGTAAGTTGTACACCAGGATCATGTGGAATTATCCTCCGTCTTAACTATGACACGTCTTGAAAGAGTAGGGCTCGGGTACGATGGTCTCAGATTCATCCCCTGCCGGGTCGGGTAAGCTAAAACCATCAGCGCCATATTTCTCGAAGGACTCGCTCATTATTCTGTTCAAAGATACTTAGAGCAGGTGGAAGAGTCTTCGCTTAAGGCAGGGAACAAGTCACTAGTAGTTAAGCGAGTCTGGGCATCACTTAAGCGAGAAGGTTGTCGTCGTGTTGCTGTTGGAGGATGAAGCTAAATGTTAAAAAAAATTCGAAAAAAATGGATGAATAAAAAAGGCCTTTAAAATAAATATGTTAATTGTTGCACGAGGTGAGCCTAATATTGTGGAGGTGAAAACTAGCCGGCTGCTTTACTTAGTGCTTTGAGCGTCGCTGGACCTAAACCTTCCCCAAAAGGTGAAAGCCAGTCAAGATTTGCAGCACACCTCTAATAGAAAATAATGGGGAACCCGAAGCCTATTATGGGAGGAGGTTAATTTTTACATAAGATTCAGATCATCGAGCAGCCTTTATAATATATTCATATATACATATACATAGGACGGCTCGACTTTGACCGAAGAAATAAGAACCAGCCGTGGCATCAGAGTATTCATCTATCATCATCTCCACATTCAATCGTTCGTACAACTAGTAGAAATACGGATCAACATTGGCGCCGCTTTTTCGGCCTATCCGATGCGTTGCAAGAAGTGGATTCTTATAACTTTTATAGCACATTGAACGCCTAGACAAGAAGTGCTGGAGGACTCTTAACTTTTATAGGACATGATCTATGCATCTAGACATCTATAGGACATCTAGACATCTACAGCACTTGTTATCCGTCTAGACATTTTCGGCCTAGAAACATTGTTTTCGGCCTATCCGATGCTTCTTGTTATCCGATGCGTAGTTGCCACAATATTGAATGTAGATGTCTCGCCTAGGCCTAGACAAGAAGTGGATTCTTAACTTTGTTTCGCTGTTTCCACCGGTGATCCTGTGAGCAGCTTCACGATAAAATCTGGTATGAAGGATGTCGAACGAGCACGAGGATGTGCTCTCCCTCTACTGGACAACGCTCTTCTCGTCCTCGTCGATCTCCTTGTCGACAAACCTCCAGGCACGACAGCATCATCGCGGCCCACATCTACTGCTGGTGTGCTCCTGCCGCGCCTCGTCCATGTAGGTAAAGATGTGCTGAAAGGCGACCACACTGATTGATCCTCTGCATGACGAAGCACGTCGACCACCATTTTCTTGTTTTATTTTGGCTGTCTTAAGCCAGGCAGCCTGAGTCTGTTAGTTAAACATTGACCACGTTGATGAATTGGTGAGGTGGACACTTGTTCAAGATAGAAGATTCAAAAGGTAGATGAAGTGTTAAAAACTACTGTCTCTGTCCTGGTGTTCTCAAGTATTTTCAAGTGGTGGAGATTTTCTCGACGACCTTCTACTAGCCAAAGGCATAATCAGATCGATCCCGACGATGTTCTTTTGTCGTTGTGACTAAAAACGGCGGCAGTTCGAACACGATCAAGGCCATGGATCTCGAAATGTGTTATTTACGATGCAACGAAGCAACAACTAGGTCGTAGTTATACGTGTTGTATCTTGTTGATGAATGCTAGGCCTAGGCAAAGCCAAAGTAGTTGTAGTCAATCTACTTCAGCATCGAAGATGCTCTCATGTTCGATGCTCTGACGTTCGACAGCAAAAAAGGTGGAATAGCTCCTGGCTTCTAGAAGGTGGACGGCCTTATTACTATTACACTTCTGCCTCATTACTAGCATTACACTCCATTTCGCTACGACACTTCGAGTTTGTGAACGGAAGGAAACTCCGAGTAGCCGCTTAGGATCACTAACTTCAAAAACCGCGCTTGTGGCACCTGCAACTCCGTATGCTGTAACCTGTTGGAGGAGTGGTCATGCAGTATCATGCGCTAACCTGTCGGACTGCTGTAGCTTTAGAGGGGTCAAAAACAAGGGGAGGATGCCTTATGATGGTCAAAAACAAGGGGAGGATGCCTTATGATGGTCAAAAGCAAGGGGAGGATGCCTCATGATGGTCAAAAGCAAGGGGAGGATGCCTTATGATGGTCAAAAACAAGGAGGATAACTTTGTCGTGAGTACACTTCTCCTTCTCAACAACAATGTCAGGATCGGCGTGAGCCACCACCTGCTTCTTCTTGTTTCTATTTCTACTTTTGTGAAATGTACCTGGAACCCGCGGTGTTGTCCAATCTGAGCGTATCTTGCGTCGCGAAATTGACAGGGTACTCCGTTTCGTCTGTGATTAGAAAGATCATGAAGAAGTGTCTTCTAGGTAAAAAGGTGCACCAAGAGGATCCATGAAATACTTGAAGATTTAATATGTGGTAGAGCGCTAGATAAGAAAGGAAGAAATACCGATTGAAAAAAGAGATGTAAAGGTTTTGTTATGTTCAAGTTCCTAAATGATTACAACTGTGTACTATCTTACAACTCTTAACTTTGACACTTCGAGCCGCAGCTCTCGGATTCCCGTGCTTGCTATTCTCACGATACTCCCACCTATTCCCGCCATAGCGTTACTGTGCCCACTTTTCTTAGATGGCACGAAAGAGGACCTCCGACAGCATATGCTTCAATCTTAAGATGAGGATAACGGACCATCACACATGCAGCTTATTGATACTAGATTCATTCATTTACCTGTTCTGGAGGTATCATTTTTTGGCGCTTAAGCGACTTTTTACCTTGAATGAAGGAGAGAGAATTGAAGGAGAGAGGCTAGAACGCTATTCTTCTAATTTATAGTTATTTCTTCCTTTTTCTTCTTGTTTTTCAGTTGCTTCTACGATTTTAGATGAGGATATTAACGGACCATCATAAACACACATGCTTATAATTGATACTAGATGAGGATAACAGATGAATAGGTATTAATCGTATTAATCGTCATGTGTCGTCCAGCACTTGAGGAGGAATTAGATACGGCGTCGCTCTAGCCAATGTCGACGTTTGAATGCAGTGGTTCTCCTGGGCAGTGTCAGTCCCATAACTATCTGCATCAAAATTTCTTGTGGGAACATGCCAGTCGATAGCCAAAACGTTTTTTCGTTGGGATCGAAAATTAGAGCGGGTACAGCTTTGTAGTTGAAGTGTAGAAAATGAGATGCTACGCCTTCTGAAGTAGATGAGCTCGTGCTCGGTCCTCGCTCCCCTTTATCAAGAAATCACGAAACTTCTGGTGCTGTACAACGAAGTAGCTAAAGGTCAGCATCATTTAGGGACCTTCTGAAGTGTCTTTGCTCTACAATCATCGACACCAACGGCTGTTTATTCTCTCAGTAGACTTTGAGGGCAAGAATAGATCGTGACCGAAGACCGAGGTAGGTGAATACATAGAAATAGAATGCTGCAACTACATCTCGATAATCTCTTTACAAGTAAAGTGACCCTTAACAGCATGTTCTCCTCAGGGTAAGCGGGGTCCAACGACGTCGTTAGCAATATGCTTGGTCCTCCTCCCGACATTCTTTCTGTATCTTAGATATATTTCACAATTCACAAAGAAAGATAAGATATAAATATTAAAGTATTGGATGATCTTAGGTAAGTCTATTTGACAAGAATCTCGTAACAACTTACAGCACGATAGTGATGATGATCATGTTCTAGAAGAAGTTTCGTGTGTGTAAAAAACGTAATCATCCACTTGTAGAATGACATCTTTGACTGTGATGAACACGAGCAAATGGGACTCAATACGGAAGGATTACGGAATAGCGATTTAATATAGTTTCGGGGTATGGAGGAGAAGATCAAAGGAACGACGTTGAGATGCTGGGACTATACACAGGGGACGTAGAGGCACGAGTTCGTTGGACATGATGTTTTTGATGTTATACCCCACGACTGGGCGCACTACTGCGAGTACGACTACTACTACTACTACAACTAGTACTAATCAGGTGGCTTGTTTTTATATCCTGTTCTTGTATGTCTACTATGTCATCAAGAACCAGTATTACATAGCTCTCTCCGTAATACTCAGTTTGTTTTTTGGGAGTGGTATCTATCTTCTCCAACCTGTTCTCACGCATCCAGGCGCACTCTGAGTTATTTCAGGAATCTTTTCTCAACTCAACGTTTTTCATGTGTAATCCTGTCGCCTCTGCTCAAATGCGACTGCTGGCGCAGCGGCTGGTGGCAACAAGAAACGCGCCAATAATTTTAAGGCACATTCCAACGCCATCCAAGCTGCAATCATTTTTTTCTCCAATAGGATCTAGTTCTTGATGGTCCACTGGATGAAAAATTAGGGCGTCTACTGTTCCGGAATAGCAAACGAGATACCTTACACACAACGACAAGAGTTGGTGCGTCAACAGACCACATCTGTAGAAGAAGATTTTCAGCGTCGTGAGCAACATGATCAGCAGTTGTACTACTACTAACTAGGACTACGAATAAATAAGGACGATAGGTGGTGGAATAGGTCGTGGAAGGAAAAATATCGAAGAAAAAGAAACAAATAGAGCTCAACAAATACAGCACTTGATACAACTTACGCGAAATCGAAAAATCGTAGTGCGAGGATCAACTAAGTACTTAGTAGTACACGTGATACTCGTTGCTCGAGTCGTAGTACTATCATCATCTTTATCCAAGTGTCCACCTCCCAATATTTTGTACTATTAAGAAATCATTTGGATACTACTGCTAACGTCACGAGATACAAGATGTCGGTTCATAAGGAGTCACTAGACACCTATTCCTCAGGAGTGGGAGTCACGAGACTCTTCATAAGGAGTGACTAGACTATTCATAAGGAGTCAGCACTAGACTTCTAATATCCATAACTGTAAGGAGTCACTTTTAGATGTTAACACCGAGTTGTACATTCTGAGGAATTATTACGCGGAAGCTTTCTAGGAATAAAAGGGACTGCTCCTACTTTGTCAATAATAAGGTGAGCCTAGGACTCCTACTTTGTCAATAATCAAAATCTAGAAGTCTCCATTACCTCCACGATCCTCTCCACCTCCAGAAAGCCAGGATGACACCACCACCACTACCTTCCCGGCCTGACCTCCACAAAGCGCGGACGTGATGATGATGATGATGATTGTACCTATTCTTGAGGTGTTTGTTCTTGGCATTTATTAGCCTTTGCATTTCAACGTGTGGCTTCTATATATTTCAACTCTTTTTGCCCTTGCTTGCATTGTCATTTCTTCTCTATATTCTAGGCTCCATTTGCACTTTTTGCAGATGGAGCATTTATAGAGAGTTGTCCTAGTTGTCCCAGATGGAGGTGCACACGATTGCCGTTATCTTCACAAAGCCAAGACTTATGAATGCTGCTTCAAATTCTCACCACTTCGTTCTTCATCCGAGGACTAAGCTTCAATAGTTCGTTCGTCTGACCATCCACGCCAAGCCGATTCACCCAATAAATTTTGCATCCTCGACATATCCTGCTCAAAACCGGCTAAACTGCACATCGATTTTTGGTATGAAGAAGAGGACCATACACACACTTGGAGGACAACAACCCTAGCCTAAAGGAACGCCAAAATACCAACAGCCCAAGTTTCCCGAGTCTTCTAGAATCATGCAAGTGCCGGGAGATCGTTTAGATGTTAGTAACTAATGTATGAATTTTTGTTTTTCTATTTCGTGTAACTGTAATGAATTGTTGAATTATCATGTAGCACTAGCCATAAATTCATGAAATTCGGCATCTCGTATTCGTCTTCCTCGCAAGGGAAATTTCTACCCGTTTTCTGGCAACAACATACCTGATCGGCAACTTAGAGGACGAGTTATAACGAATGATTTACTACAACGCGTAAAAACGTAGAGAGTTGTAGTCGTGGATCATGTACGGGCTTCGGCCGGGTAAACTATTCGATAAACTGAAATAAGCGAGTAACTACTTAGAATAAGCAAGAAACAAGAGCAACGTAATGACTCTGCTATTTCAGTTGGCTACTCGGTTATTTTGAGCTTTCGATTACTTCATCTAGTCGTGCAGGAGTAGAAGATCACTATAGTTGTATCACATTATCAGAATGCCCAAAAAACTGCAGGTGAAGAGAAGTGAGATAAAACACGCAATAGAGGAGGACGAACAGTAGCTAAGTAGAGAGTTCTTACAACACTTTAGTAACACAAGCATAACTATCACATCCGATGTGATCCTTGCAGCCGAGTGGAGGACTAAATCTTCGGTCCAACGTATCGCCTCTCATGTTACAGTAATTCTGCGCGTCTGAGCACCGTGGATTTCGACTAGGTGGACCCAGGATTAGATGTGGGCGAGATCTTGACGATTATACAGCAGTAGTAGTAGTCGTGTACCCATTCGAGAGGTAAGGAAGACACTTAATTAGGGTAGACTAGACTAGAGCCGCTTGATGATACAGCAGGAACCGCTACTTATGAGTACTTCATGTTGATGTTGAAGGAAGTAGACCGTGAGAAGGATGAAGATACAGGAGGAAGTGACATGATAGGTCGTTCTCGATCACTCCTGATCGGTGAGAAGTACATCAATCTTCATGTTGAAGGAGAATGGTAGCACTAGACAAAACACAAATGCTAGCATTGGTAGTAAAAAAAATTAGAAAGAGTTTTTCCTTTCAATTTCATAACATTACGTATATCTCCGAATCCTTCCAGTTGTTTAATTGAGCCTGCAAGACTGCGGGGGCTTGGTTTCGAAACTTCGTTGAGTCACGATGATTAGAAGACGTGCATTTAGTCATTCGATCAATCGTGCTGCTCGTACTAATAATAATATAGTTGTGTTGGACGAGCACCTAACCAGATGACAGTTTGCTCTATTGGTGATAGCAGCAGCGACTAGATGAAAAAACAAAAACAAAACCAGGAGAAGAAAGTACCAATTGTAGAAGAAATAATAGTGGTTAACCCATTCATGGGGTACAGTCTGAAACTGCATCATGGGAAGATAGATCAATTGTGTGTACTTTCTTTGTTGATGCATCACCTGTTGCTCCCAGGTGTACTACAACGTAGAAGTAGAAGACGTGAATGTTCGACGGGCAACACGTACCAATCTTGTCGTGGATATAACAACTCATCTGCCTAGATTGATGATCCTGTTGATATAAAAATACCTCCAAGATTGATAACTCCTGACTCACGAACTTGTGTATCAGTAGTAGTAGTAGTAGTAGTAGTAAACCCAATCCAGGGGTATGTCTTCAAACTGTATCATATAGTTCTTTCTAGTTTCTAGGATTTATTTGTTGATTCATCTGCTGAGCAGCATAACATTTACCACCATGATTTCGGCACCGATTTGCAATCCTTGCCAGAAGAGGTCTCCTCCTGAAGGCGGTGCGTCAGGTGGTGGCCGACCGTTCACGCAGACTCGCTGTGGACGCGAAAAATACGATTGGAATTAGATGAAGAGTCTGACTATGATAGAACAAGCTCATTCGTCGATAGTGATAGAAGAGGTTCATCGACTAGTTGTGATAGAAAAGGTTCATTGAATTTGAAGAACAGTTGTGATAGAAGGGGAAGGGGTTCGCGCTGCACTAGACTTTGATCGGCGTAGAACAGGTTGTCGCTTGGTACTAAATAGGAGACGAAGTAATACAGAAGCGGGCGAGTACTTCTAGAAATATGTTGTTTCTAACAATCTAGTATATGGCATGACGGGATACACCTAACAAAAGAGGGAAAACTAACAATCTAGTGTATGTTGTTTCTAACAATGTTTCTCATAATTAAGTCCCATAGTTCCGTCACAGCCTCTCCCACTCTCACCGTGTGCACAGCAGAGCCCTCCACCACAGAAGGCTGGACAGGGATGGTCTTAGAAAAATTAAAATTATGGGTAGTCTAAGAGTGAATCAGTGAAGAATTCCAAACCTACAAGTGACAGGCCTAAGAATGTCCGAACGAACAGCAACAGAAATGATTACGTTGTTTTTAAGAGCGATCGCTCAGTTGTGTGACTTCTACTACCGAAACCATGTTGAGAAACACTCAGTGTCGTGTCACTTCTAGTACCGCAACCATGAGAACTGCTCACCAATGTGATGTGAGGTACAGGCATTCTAGTATGATCAACCTCCTCTATGTTCTACTTGATAAACTACTTACTATTGTTGAATAATGATCTGCCTCCACGCTCTTCCATCTCTAGTACGCTCAAATAGTTATACTACTCAAAAATTATCTGCCTCCATGCATTTTTCTGGATTCTATCAGCATAACCTTTTTCAAATCCGCAAACTGCGTCACAGGCTTCGTTTAGGTGGCGCACAGGATCCTTACTTGGTTCTACTGGTCTTAGAGCTACCGCGTTTGCACCCCTGAGACCATGCATTCTAGGGTCAAGGATGATGCAAAAGGATCCGTCAAGGATGAAGATGCTGTTTTTCCTCGTGTTCTTTGGGGTCATCAAGTAGACAAAGAAGATGATGAAGAAAAAGGATCAAGCATCATGATAAATATGCAGGAGATACTCTTCCTCTTCTAGTGAGGATACTAGCCTTAATGGTCTTCGCGCGCACACCGCCAGCTCTTCGCCTCCTATATCGCCGTCGCAGCGGTTCCCGGCTTCTCCCATCTTGCAGCATAACCCGTTTCCGCAAGAATTAGAAGAACATCTAAGAGTGAGAAACCCATCTGGAAATTTCACCACCTTTGTGAGAACGAACCTGTATTCTTAGTAGTAGTAGTAGCAGTAGTAGTAGTAGTAGTAGTGGTAAACCCAATCCAGGGGTATGTTTTGCTTTTATTATGGGGATGGGGTTTAAATTATGAGAACGGAGGTCTCGGGAGGGCGCCCCCGGCACCTGTGAGGAAGAGGATGGATTTCATGTAGCCTTAAAATAGTCGCAAGGTCCAGTCGCGCCATGACAGTGCTCCAAGCAGGGTTTGCCTTTGTTCTTGGTTCGTGGCATAGGAACTTGGTCGATGCTCTTGACATGAAAATCCCCATCCAGTGTGATTTTTTCGGCCGCTAGAGTTAGAGCTCAAAAGAATTCATTTCTTGTTTGGCTCATTTCTTCATTAGATTTCCAGAAGTCTAAGGAAACAAGGAGAAATGACACTTGAAAATGAATTCTTTGAGCCTCAATAGAGCGTTCGGCTTGTTGTGCCACTCGATCTTCTTCAGGTTCATGCAACCATTATGACACTTGGCGCGTTAGAAGAAGAGCCTAATCATGATAGTGGTGAAGAGCCTAAAAATCATAATAGCGCGTTAGAGTAAGAGCCTAGTAACCAAAAAAGCACAACGCAAGGGAGCTAGATCTACTTTGACTGACCTATTAAAGACAAGGCATAGCCTTCCCAGTAGAATCAAACATGATTCCCAGTAGAACATCTTGCGGTAATGGAGCCTAGCACTTCGATCGCGAGCCGAGTTCTTGTATCAGCTTGAGTATTGTGTAGCTACTCGTAAAGAAAACGGCGTAAATTTGGCCTACGCCTACCGGATTTTCAGCGGATTTTTAACATTCTTTTTTTTCAGTGAGTGAAGTCGATGGAAAATAAAGCAGCTAGAAGCAATGTAAGAAAATACACTTTGGACCCAGTGAGTCAATTCAAAAAAATTAGACCACCACGATGCACGCGAAAAAAATGCACTTGGAGCACACTAAAAAAAAGCCACACATCATGATTCCCAGTAGAACTTCTTTGCTTCTATTAATAGTAGCCACGAGGGCATTGGTTCTAGATGAGGTTCAGTAGACACGCACGGCCAGCCTAACTAGAAAGAAGAACATGAAGTATTGTAAGTGTGTGTCCATCAATCGATGCTGCCATAATAGTAGCCGCGAGGACATTGGTCTTTGTTCATGCATCGGCCTAATTTCTTCGAGCAACAGTGACGAGGCCCCGAACCAATAGTAGGCGCCCGCGGATCACCTGGCTTCAAAAATGACGCTCATTAGAAGGTGTTTTCGTTGAGCGAATAGGTAGCACGAACGATCTCCGAACTATCGAGGGAAATCTGCCAGCTAATGATGTACTTTTTGTATTAGTGTCCTACTTGAACTCTTTTTTTTACTCTTTTCTTTTACAATGTTCTAGATGATCTAGTGTTACAACCCGCAACATATTAATTCTGTTCATATCTATATCAAATTCAAATCAAAACTAGTATAAACTCCAATCATACAACAATCAACAGAACAAGCTTCAACAATAAGGTGTGAATCTTTCAAGATTCGTCTTAAGTGGAGGATGTCCTTGAGCATACTTGATTCTTTGCTCGACGATGCTTCACAGGACGAAGGTCCACGTGATCGGGCTCCACGATGGAGAGAAAGTTCGTCGTACTCGAGAAGGACGTGGTAGGAGCTTGATGATGACGCTGTCGTAGTAGCTGTACCCTAGAAGTTGTACTTTCTTCATCATGTAGAAGTGACGTAGGAGCTTGATGATGATGCTCTACCCTAGTACTTTCTTCATCATGCTGTAGATGAAGAAGTGACGTAGGAGCTTGATGATCATGATGATGCAGCTCCTGTATTTGCACCCGAGTCGTGCTTGTACTTTCATCATGTACAACTTGGGGTAGTATTCTTATTGCTCTACTCAATGGAGGGGATGCGGTCGCTGGCGTCCTCCTTGTCCTCTTGTTAGAACGACATAATAAATTCCAATGATCTCTGCTTGTCCAGGGGTGGACCAGCCGTCAGCACGTAACTTATGATCATGGGGCTAGTACCTGCTCTGAGAGTAGTAGTAATTTTCTTACGGGGGTCGTCCTTATATTGACAGACGCTTTCATCGTAGCGGCAAACCCAGTCTGGTTGTAGTAAACTCAGTCCAAAATAAGAAGGAAAGGTAGAAGGGGTAAGATATGCGACGTGGTGCTTTCCTTTGATGTCAATGGTCCTAATGCTAGTCTTAATGCATCTTGCGGGACCAGGAAGAGGATCGAGGAAGGAAGAAAGGAGCGGTCGAAGGCTCCAATCTGGTAACTTGTAGTTCCAAAAGGTTTCTTCAGCTCTTGAAGATTTTAGATTGATAATTAGAAGTTGCAAGAAACATGATCGAGATCATGAACTAGTCAGTAGAAATATTAAACTGTACTTAATACTACAAGTGAAAACTGTGACCACAAGCATAGGTGACCAGGACGGACCATAATGTGGTTGATAAAAATTGCTGTAGTTGTGAGATAGACAACTTCTCAACAATCAAATATTCAAAAAAAATATGCTGCCTGGAAAGGAAGAGATGATAGAAGTTGAACATAAAAATGGCGATGGTCGCCGCGTGTTTGTGTTTCCGTCGTGGTGAGAAAAATGCTGATCATGGAAAGATGAGAAAAAGTCCTGGAAATCTTCCAGCAGCAGCCGAAGACCACTCGTTGTTCGAAGACCCATGTTCATTTATCTTCATAGGATAGGATAGGAGTTGATCCTTCGTCCGCAGTTTTAACTTCATTCTCAGGCGAACGTGCGTAGCCTCAGAGGCAACACCCGTTGACTCATCCCGACAACTTCTGCTAGAAGTTGAGAGAGGATAGGAATTGACTCGTCGCCGTGTCCAGGGATTGATTCGCTAGCCTGTTGTTCTTCATCTCCTGCATTCTTTCATCTTCTTCACAGCTGAGTAAGTAGAAGTACTTGTTCTACGTTCTGCTTCTACGAGCAGCTGAGTAAGTACTATCTTCTACAAGACGAGGAACTATTAGTAGTAGATTTTTTTTGCTTTTAATAGTTCTTCTTGTAGAAAAACTGATTACCCAGTTCTTGTAGTGGATAAACATTCTTGTATCACCAGGAGCTAGTAGAGCATCTACGACATCCTAGAGCATCAAGGTTCAATGAAGTTCCTTTACAGCCGATTCACGTCGTCATGGAATCTATCGATCATTTGAGTGAGAAAATATAATGAGACAAGTACTAATTATATTTGTGGTGGAGCCGACCTGACTAGAAAAAAGACACACCAGAGGAAGATATAAATGAGACAAGTACTAATATTCGAAAAACTGGGTTGCACGACGCGACATTTAGCCAACTTCTAGTAGTCCACCTAGATTCTTGGATGATAGCCATCAATCTTCTCCACGACTCTGCTCACGGATGCCAATGTTTTACACGACTCTGCTCACGGATGCCAATGCTTTACACGACTCTGCTCACGGATGCCAATGTTTTACACGACTCTGCTCACGGATGCCAATGTTTTACACGACTCTGCTCACGGATGCCAATGTTTTACACGACTCTGCTCAATCACATAAAAGAAGTTCTTGGGGTCATCGTACTTCTTGTTGCAGACGTTGTCGCTCGTTGTCGAGACAAGTACGAATGAGACGGCGAAGAGACACAGAGGCGAGTTGTAAGCAATGCAAGTAGAGGTCTTACGACATGCACGAGCACGACCGAGTAAGGCAGATGTTATAATGTCTTGTTAGTGTGTGGTCAATGTGGTCTATAATTGTTCTACCTCATCATGGAAGAACGCAACATCTTCATGATGAACATCATCGCTACTGGACTGGCGTCACACACAGCACAGTCTGTCAGCGGCGGATAGGATAGGATAGGAGCTGGCTCGCCTCAAGGAGGTGAGCATTCACGACGATGAAAACGCCGAAAAAGAATCTACTTTACTAGACCGAGCTGTGCTTGAGCTGCACGCGAGGACCGACACCTACCTTGTATACTTTCTTGTTTCCGGACTAAAAACAACATCTATAGTGGATCTACAACAGCGGCGCATAAAATTATCTATTACCATTTTTCAGCAGGCGCTTCTTCTATAAAAAATCTCCTTTCTGCTCTTGTTGTTGCTTTTCAACTACCAGACGAGCTGCATCTGCAACATTTTTTTTGAAAAAATTGTTTGATTGAAGAGGAAGAAGATGAAGATTATGCTGGCCATGATCGCCTTTCTTGTTGTGTCTATGTGCTGGCCACGATCTTTTTATTTCTATGAACCTTCACTACACGTACACCTGTAGTTGTGCCTAATCTCAGACTATACTCGGTTATTGTGTGTGTTACTCCCTTATTTCAATCCCTCAAGGAAGGCAATAAAACCAACGGCAACAGGAGGAACACCTAAAAAATGGAGCACTCTTCGATGTAGTTTTAGTAACGACTCCTGCTAGTTACCTCTACTTAAGTAGCTCTACCCTTAGATTTAGTATGTGAGGGTAGTCCTCGGCTAAGTCGTCTAGTGCTCACCAGATTCAGAGCCATATAATTTTTCGCTCTCCCTACATATAAGGAAAAGAAGTTAGTTTGTCATCTTGTCGCGTATGCACTACCTTCTCCCCCCCATATAGAGACGGCCTGATAGATACTATCTTCTTCTTCCCCCTGTAGCTCTGTATAGGTGCTGCTGACGTGTAGTTAGTACTCCTACAACTTACATCTTACAACTCGGTGAGTAACAACGATACCCCACAACTTACAACGATATTGATAAATATAAAATATGTCTCCTTTTAAAACTCCTTCATCATCGTACTTCAGTTCGCGACCAAGTGATTGCATTCAGATCCCCTTGCTGCTCTACACTTTGTCTCCCCCTTCAAGAAGTTAGCTAGTAAGGCGAGCGAAAATAATCAAAAAAATAATTGAAAGGCCTGATCAGATCCTACGACTCTTAGACTTACTTAGTACAGTTGTACTATTGATCAGCGGCGTTTTAGAAAGGAGCCCTTTATTCTTGGCCAGCGTCTTCATCTTCTGTGATAAAAAGAAAACTCAAATGTTAGATGATGTATTTTTTATTGACTTGCATCTTCGAGCATTCGTCTCTTCATCGAAATTAATCATTTAGTACTCCATAGTCATAGATGGTCAGTGATGATTTTGTGATGAACATAAATTATTCCCTAACTGTTTGCTGATGCTGGTTCCAAAAGTTGATATTTTTCCCAAAAAATATGACATTTCACGTCTGTCACTTTTTAATGTGACCACGTCAACATGATGATATGTCGCCATTGACAAACAAGTATTACATAGACTCTTCTTCACCGCGTCTCCTGTGGAGGTCAATCGCAACAACAAGACCGTTTTTATTTACATCTACTAGTACAACATCACTTTCTTGGGCTATCTACAAGTACAAATATTTCCATACTTTTTCAACTACTACCTACCTCCTTGGTCATACTGATAATGATTGGAAGACTGTGCTAGCTTATGTTGTGTTCATGCTACTCTAGACAAGATTCGCTCTCATGCGTGAGTAGTTTCTCTACTAACTAGTTCTAGTTCTAGATATACATAGTCTTATTGATAAGATGGACTTCGAGAGTGACTTCAGAATTCTTCCTCTATAGTTCCTGTTCTACTAAAAACATAACAAGTACAAGACCACGTGTCTAATCATCATTGTTAGCCCAAATAAACTACCTTCGAGTCGTCTTGTTGTACTAGTTCTTCTAAGAAGTGATGTCTAATCATCATTCGTGTTTTAGCATCAACCTTCTTGAAAAAAATCTTATATCTAGCTCGTCCTGTTTCAATAAAAAACTCGATAAAAACTATATTCTGAGTACGACCTCCAAGCTCCGAGTAGTTCATCTAATTAGTGCCATCAAGTTCATCTTGTCCCTCTCTACTTCTTGTTCCAATCATTAATATAGCATCTATTCATCCTGAAGCTGATCCTAACTACTTACTTGTTATCCTGATCCCCCTGAGTGTGCTCGCCCAAATTAACAACAGGCGCTCGGGCAGCATGCTTGTTGCACCGCGTATCTCTTCAAGTTCTTCGACAGTTGATCCGCTTTCTCTGCGGCGTCCGGGTCTTTTATGTTAGAGGGTTTAATAGTTAACCTATGGGGCACGACCGTCCAAAAGATGGTAATAAGAGTAGCGCGAGTAGTAGGAGTCCCAGCAGGAGTAGCAGGAGGAGTAGGAGTAGCAGGAGAAGGAAGAAAAGTGGGATCGATTAGTAGGATTAGTAGGATTAGTAAGATTAGTAGTAGTAGTAGTAGTAAATAAATAAGTAGTACTAGTAAACCAGCATCTTTATCTATTGAAGAGCAAAAGCATGAAATTGAAAGTAGTAAGACTGATTCCGCCCACGTGCCCCCGGCGTGAGGGTCTTACAAATTCTACAAGCTACACTAGAGACTTACCGGTGTGCTACGAAAGCGAATGACGTGAAGACAAACGAGTTGCGCCGTGCTAAATGCATTCACGTGATACATATCATATACACTGGCAGCACCCTAGCCAGCTGCTGCGCTCAGCAAGCGAATTATGATTGCTGCGGAATAACAAGCTACGCCTAGCAAGCAGGCTACTCTTAACAAGGAAGCTGCTACGCCGAGCACATGCCTAGCACGCAAGCTATTAAGCCTAATAAGCAACCTATGCTTACCAGGCAGCTTAGGCTTAGCAGGCGGGCCATGCATAGGAAAGGGAGCTATGCTCGGCAAGCAAGCCGAGTGGAAAGCCAGCTATGCCTAGCAAGCACGCGACGCCGATGCCTGGCAAGCAAGCTATGCGTAACCAGCAAGTTACGCTTAGCTAGCAAGCAAGCTACGCCCAGCGAGCACGTGCTCTACGCTTAGCAAGCACGCTATGCTTAGCAAGCAGGCTACGCTTAGAAGGTGAGCCCTGCTCAGCAAGCAGGCTACATATGCAAGCCATGCTTAGCGCGCAAGCTATGCGGAGCGATCGCGCTATGCTTGGCAAGCAAGCCATGCTGAGCAAGCAAGCTATGCCCAGCAAACGCGCGATGCTCAGCAAGCCAGCGTCGCTCCCTCAGCAAACCAGCTACGCGCAGCAGGCACGCTATGCCCAGCAAGCACACTACGCGTAGCCAGCCAGCTACGCCCAGTAAAAAGAAGGCGACGCTTAGCAAGCCAGCTATGGATGCTTAGCAAGCCAGCCGTGGATGCTTAACAAGCCACCTATGGATGCTTAGCAAGCCAGCTATGGATGCTTAGCAGGCCAGGGATGGATGCTTAGCAGGCCAGGGATGGATGCTTAGCAGGCCAGGGATGGATGCTTAGCGGGCCAGCTCTGGATGCTTAGCAAGCCAGCTTTGCTTAGCAAGCCAGCTACGCTTAGCAAGCCAGCTATGCTTAAGCAAGCCAGCTATGCTTAGCAAGCCAGCTATGCTTAGCAAGCAGTCTGTGCCTAGAAAGCAAGCGACGCCTCGCAAGCGTGCTACGACTACGCTAGCAAGCAAAAGACTCTTAGCAAGCCCAAGCCCACTATGCTGAGAAAGCAAGCTATGCCCAGGAGACAGGCCATCGCCATTTTGTATGCTTAGCAAGCAAGCCATGCTTACTTAGCAAACAAGCAAGCTAAAGGTAGCACGCTCGCCACGCCTAGCTAGCCAGCCATGCTCAGCAAGCAAGTTACGCGCAGCAAGCAAGCTGACTCCTTTAGCAAATACTGCCCAGGGAGGGATGAGGGCTACGGCCAACACGATGCTCACCAGCAGCAAGATCATGGAAAAGACGTCCGGACAGTCGAAGAACTTTCACGAGGCAAGAGGCATCGGCCACGGGGCACACCTCACCCATGATTCGCGTACCTCGATCTCCAAAAAAAGGAGAAGCGCGAAAGCCTTAAGAATCACGACCCCGGTGCGGGCACATCTTCAACGTGCACTTTATCCATGATTTCCGTGCAGCATATAAACCATCTGCAGCGATACGCCTGAGATGTATACTTCTACCCCGTGCCTTTTTCCTATGATTTCCAAGCATCCCAGACCACAAGCCTGGCCACGTTTGGCCCTTGAAATTAGTTTTGGTCTATAATGGAGCGACAAACAAAGACGACAAAAACCCAGGCGAGCGCGAGAGTGCATCTCTCCCAGCATGATAAGAATCCAGAGATGAACACCCGCCGCGAATTGAGCTCCTTCAAGAAAAACACGGCCCGCCCACAATTACGAGCAGAGAGCCCCAAGCATGCCGAAAACCTCCGCGCCCGTCCAGAATCCTACAGCACAAACTTGCCGCCCATTGTCCTGGACTTTGGAGGGGCACGTGGAAACAAATGAAGAACCACAAAGAAGAGACACAAAAACCGACAAGAAAAAACTGCAGTCACGGCTAAGCAGAGCACCTCCACGATTAAGACAGAGGGGACAGTGTTGGCCGTTTTTGTGCAGTGCTTCGCTGACTTGGCGCCAAGGTAGATAGGAGTAGTAAGTATATTATAGCACTCGAGCCAGTAGCGACGAAGACCAAGATTCCGGATAGGACATGACAATAAAAGGCAATGGCCGCAAATGGCTAAGAAGTAAGAAGCACTAGAGCAGCGAACAAGCCTGCTGCAAACTACGACTATACAGAGGGCGCCTAAAACTGAAGCACCTCGCTTCTGCTCCTTATGTTAATCATGCTAGTTCTTGCCATGGCACGTGTGTAGCGTCCCTGATAGTGCTGCATCTCTACGGCCAACACGCCACGCCCATCTAATTCCTGGACGAGGCCCGCAGGGATATTAAGTAGCGAGGCTATCAATAAAGTTCAAGTTGGCCATTTCTTTTAGCTATCTACGCCGAAACACATGAACAAGGGCGATAAGGTTCACACCTACCTTGCGCCAGACAATCCTCAGACGAGTGCAGCAAGTACTCTCATCTCACTACTCCAGCGCCTTTCCCCACGCTGCTTCCGAGGCACTCTACACTTTCCACGTGCAAGTCACCGCAGCAGCGAAGATGCTCGCAGCTCTATCGCCAGAAATGAGTTGGCCCTTCTAGTTCCTTCACCCTAGTAATTCCCCAAAAGCGATAACCGTGACCACGATAACAAGCCGCGCAGAAGCATACTATAAAAGCAAAAGAGAAGCCGAAGGCCCTCCGGCTTGGCTCGACTTGACGCGCCCGGCGATAGGGTGGGACAAGATTCCATCTACCCCCTGCCCCCTAAGTCCCTAAGCCCTCCACCTATCGACCCTCGAACGGGGTGGAACCCGTTGGACACCCCAGGCCAGGCCTTCACCGCCCCGCCGACGCGGTGAAGCATCAGCACCCGTCCCATGCATGAATTGTCCAGCTACGTGGTCACTCGCCCGCAACGCGGTGCGCCACGCTGTAAAGTAAGCCATTCCACTTCTCGAAGAGACGCGAAGGCACGTCGGAGGATACTGACGCGAAGCCCCTGGCCTTCTACTAATATACACAACGCACCGCGCCCGAAGGGCACCGCGTTGAAAATACCCGACCAGCCAACAGACAGACGCGTCCGAGAGGCTCCCCATACTATCATGCCAGTGGCGCCTTCTGCTCACGCACCAAAGCGAGCGCCCTGGCTACCAATCCTATTACCCGATGCGCCAGTGAGGCTCTGTCTCTCAGCATTCCAACAGATTCACACCCGGAGAGCACGGGCGCCACCCCTCCACCTCTGGCCGGCCACATCTGCCGCAAAGTAAGGCTAAGCATCCACCACGACGCCTGCAAGTGCTTCCCCATCTTCTAAACAGTCCTGGGCGCATCCTAATGGTGTCACTGAGCTCACCCACCTAGGCATAGCTGTAGCCGCGAGCGGGACTCGCTTACCTCCGAGCAGCTTCCTCCCACAGCCCCGCGCTTGCTCCTTCTCTCAATTCACGCGGTCTACCAACGACCCAAGAACGGGCCCAGACCCATGGTAGCTATTTCCTTTTGAAATTGGAAAGGTCGGAACTATTCGACGCCCTAGCGTGAGTCCGGTAACTGCAAGCATTCCCATAAGAACCCAGTGGAAGTAGTAATGGCAGTGCGCCCAGTCGCGGGGCCTAAGTGCTTTACCAGATAAATTAGGAGTAGTTCGCTCTTACATCGACTCATATAAATAACGAGATCGATGGGCCAAGTCGTGAGTGGAAGTCGGTATGCCTTATTGCTTTAAAGTGCTATATTTTTGTCATGCTCGTTGTATCTTTTTCTTTGATATCAAAAACAAGGTATATCTTTCTTAATGTTATGCGCGCGCTTGACCACTTCGTCCATGTCTTTCTTGTAATAGTCGAGAGACGTCTGGATCATATGGTCAGTGACTCTCGAGTCAGGATCTTTCGCTTCGCCGCTGCATGCATCCTTGACTAGGTCCTGGTTGATCTCCCTGCACCGATTAAATTTCAGTGCTTGGAGCCCGACCGCCATATTAGAAGAACAAGATAGGGACCGACAGGCGGGAGAAATAGGTCGGACAGGCGGAGGGGCAGAGATACTTACAAGGAGAGGCTCCTCAGGGGCACCAGGTGGACGGAGGGTAAAAAAAAAGTATCTACCTCTATTAAATTCTTTTTGAAGAAAGAAGATGCGTGTGTATTCTTTTTTCTTCTATTTGATGTAGTTTCTTTGAAGAAGATGCCCCCCTAGCTATGCAGATTGATATTATAATGAGGGTGAGGATGGTGAATTGACTGGACGGTGACTAACAAGGAGACCAGTAAACTACCAATCAAGGTACTTATTCATTAGAAACGAGCATATAGGAAAAGTGGGGGTATCTACAGGCCATTCTGCTTTCCCATGATGCATATTTCCTTGTTGTTCTACTTTCCCATGGTGTAAATACTAGATGGAAGGAGCAGGTAAATACCTAGTAGCTGCCTATGATTGAATTGATTGAATGCACTATGATCCTGAACTTAGGAACGACATGACTTTCCTAGTATAACTTGGCGGGTTCTCAATAAGTGGGAGCGCAAGTGCTGGCATCATGCATATAAGTTAGTTAAAGTTAATGCGCAGCTACTTAATAATATCAGTACTCTAGAGCACAACCACTATCCTCGTATACAAGAAGACCTACTTGAAGTAGATGAGCAAGTCCTTACATTAGACTGTTGACCATAATAATTCCGGATGTCGTAATCGCGACGTTCGCCCCGTTTTTCATAGCAGTAAATCCGCGCTGATGAGAATTGAAGATGAGGATTGAAAAGATGAAGATTGAAAAGATGAAGATTGAAAAAAGATGAGGATTGAAAAGATGAGGATTGAAAAGATGAGAATTGAAGAGATGAGGATTGAAGAGATGAGGATTGAAAAGATGAGGATTGAAAAGATGAGGGTTGAAAAGATGAAGGTTGAAAAGATGAGGATGGATTGATGAGTGATGCGGATGAACCACAAGGAGAAGAGAGAAAAAGAGGACGCCAAGCCTACTTTCATCTTATAATGTCCTCGACCTTCATACCACTGGCAGACCTCCTTCCACCTGCCTAAAGTAGTAGGAGTAGTCGAGGTAGTAGTAGCAGCAGTGTGCCAAGTCTAAGCGCTAATGAATCTAGTCAGTGGCTGAGTTGAAAGATACGCCTAAGGGGGTGCAGAACATGAAGCAGTCTGGAGACTCTTGACCATTCTTGCTGCTCTTTGTTGTGAAGGTAAGTCGACGCGGGGCACTTCTACACTTATAAAGCCCTTCCTGTGGTTTAGTGCTTTCGCCTTCTCATCTTAAGCACCCCCCCAGCCGCACTCGCAAGACGCGGCCCACACTCGCACGACGCGGCTCGCACTCACACGACGCGACTCACACCCGCACGACGCGCCTCGCTGCACTGACAAGACGCCCGCGACTCACACTCGCAGAACGCGACGGACTAACTCACATTCGCAGGACGTGTTTCGCAAGACGCGGCCCGCGCTCGCACTCACACGACGCGGCTCGCACTCACACGACGCGGCGCGCACTCGCAAGACGTGACTCGCACCCGCAGAACGCGGCCCACACTCGCAAGACGCGACCCGCACCCGCAGGACGCGCCTCGCACTCGCAAGAGCAAGACGCGGCTCGGCAAGACAAGGCCGCGCCTTACCTGCGGCGCGCACTCCCTCGCAAGACGCGGCGCACATTTGCATGGCGCGGCTCTCTCTCGCAGGGCGCGGCTCGCTCTGGCAAGACCCGGCCATCTCCTTCCCCTCCTTGGTAACGCGGCAATTCAAGCCCTCCCTTTTTTCAAACGCGACGACTTTCAAGCGACCCGATATTTGCGCGTCTTCCCTTTTTTTGTGTTGTGTTTTTTTTTGTATGCATCTCAGTTAAGGGGACTAAAAATAAACACGTTATTAGTACCGAAATCACATTGTTTGAAAACCAACTGGAGCCCTTGTTTATTTCCTTTTTCTTGCGAGCAATTTGAAGGGCATCCGCGGAAACGACCAGAATCACACACGACTTCACGAAGCGGGACATCTTGGGCCAAGAATGTTTCTAGACGAAGAAGAAGCGTTAGCTGTATATTTTCGAGAACCAACAAGAACAAGAAGAGGAACTAGCTGTGGTAGCGAATCTGTTGAAGATGGAGGCTGCTAATCCTTCTGCAGCTGTAGTTAGCAATGATGTTACTGAAGAAAAATGATTATCTTAGTAGGTACAACTATGTCGATGTAATTGAAAAAGGGTTTCGGTTTCGAAGCTACAACTTATTCCTTCAGGAATAAGGATCAGTGGAAAAAGGATCGGTGGAAAGTAAAAAGAGGTGAAGGGGAATGGAAAAGTTGCGACTTTTTCTCTCGTGTTGCTCCTGTGATGAGATGGAGGAATTATTGGTCACAAAGTGGATGAAGCTGACAGGCACTCCTGCTCTGACAGAAATTCCTTCTCGAAGTCATTTCTTGCTCACAGATCCTTTCTTGCTTGCAGATCCCTTCTTGCTCACAGATATTTGCGAAAATCTCTATGACAGATATGATGACAAAGAAAACTCATCTCTATCCGATATAGAAAAGTTCGCCTCGTATTTTAGACACAGACATCGCTCCTCCTATTTCAGACCCAGACTTCACTCGTCGCCTCTGCCTCTTCTTCTCGTCATCATGATTGCAAAACGACCCACAACAGCTACACTAGGCATCTTCCCCGACAACAGAACGAGCACCGAGCGACCTCTGAAGGAACGAGGACCAAGGAGTCGTCTCCAATCAATCGAGGATCAATCACTCGATTAATCAAGCAAAATTATACTCTCCACTAACTACAATCTTGTTCTCGCTTACATGCCTAATCATCCTTGTACTTTGCTTAGAAAGAGAAAAAAGCTTCTAGTTACACATCACATCACAAGGAGTGCCCCTTCATCCTCGTACCCTCTCGAGTTAAGTTCTACACCAATTACAGGGCACCACATCAATTACAGGGCACTAGACGATCTCCAGCATCAAGGCACTATACGAGGTGCAAGGCATACACAGTCTCTGTCTGAAGCATCGTGTCTAGTAGTAGTGCACCCAATTGCGGGAGGCTACACAACTCCCGTTAGTGAAGATACTCCTACCTGTGCTGGCCCTGAGACAGAACTCTTTCTGTGGTGGAGATCAGGCCACGGGTGGGGATGGATGAAGCATAATATTTATCATAGCCTATCTATCTACGAGTACTAGCTTCAGCTGGAATGCGCAAGTTGAGGTCGTAACTACAACACCAGGCGTTCAGTACTAGAAGTGTATAACTATAGGCACCATTTAGAAATTTTATTACTTGAGCAGGCCGTGGCTACACCAGGCGTTCAGAAATTGAAATAGTCAATTTATTAATTACAAAGTGGTCTACTTGCCGGACTTTGTCATACATAACATAGGTAGAAGTCCGTCAAATAAGCGGAAGAGCGTTGGAAGGATGCGGTTGGTGTAGTCGTTGCCGGGTGTGGTCGTGCTTCGGCTCATTACACAGGTGGACCTTAGACAAAAAAAGGGCTGACTTCTTTACGGCAACAGATGAGATATTTTCACTTGCTTCAGCGTCACCACCTTTAAGCGGCTTCGGCGAAGAGAAGAGAGACGGGATTAGATATATTTGACTTTTGTCCCTTTTCCTGTGTGGTGTGTAGTGTTTGACTGTCCTATAATAAGGTTAGAGAAGAGAGGAAGAAATAGAAAAAGGGGACAGTTACATGGTAATAATTACAAGTTATATGTTAAGAATCATGGAAAGTGTATGTGTTCAAGGCCTTTATAGCTATAGGGGACTAATCATGGAGAATAAGGTTAGAAAACAAATTTCGCGCATTCTCATCAAAATCATAGCAAAAACATAAAAAAAACCACTGCCAAGCCTATAACCAATATATAAAGGCACAGCTTTAGCTGGTAAGTGTATACCCCTCGCCAAAAAGTGTCGAACTGTCGCTATTAAGTGTCGAGCTTTAGCGAGTAAGCGTCGAACTCCAGCTAGTAAGCGTCGCGCCTTAGCTAGTGCGCCAGCGTCGAGCTTTAACGAGTAAGCGTCGATCTTTAACTAGTAAGCGTATAGGCTTAGCTAGTAGGTGTCGAGTTTTAACTAATAGAGGCATATCTTTGAATAGTAAGCGCCGAAGTGCAGCTAGTAAGTGTCGAACTTTACCTCGTAAGCCTAAGCGTTCCTCGGCTTTAGCTAATGAGCGTATAGCCCTAGCTCAGAAGTTTTTAACTTTATTAGCTAGTAGATGTTTAGCCGTAGCTAGTAAATGTTCAGATTTAGAGTTACTAAAAACAGTGAACAACAAGAAGGATAAGACTGAAAAAGCAAGAATAGGGGCTATGCATAACCATAAGGGCCAAAAACTAGAACACGAAGCAACTAGAGTCAGCCGAGCATCTGGTGGACGTTTTCCTTAGCTTATAATATGACCTATCTAACAAACCATAAAAATTCAACAATTGCGGAAAATCGAGAATAACAACCCTGGACTTTATTCATCCCAGCCTAGCGCTACCCATGGCCAACTATTCTCAAGTCTTACAAGAAACAGAAAAGATTTTGTGTAAGGCATCAGAGAGCCTAAACTTTGAACCCCACTGAAACTGCCGAAAGACAAGCCTGTTCTGTTTGCCTGGGCGCCCGATAGCCGACAACTTAAACGTACTACCCAGTTGGTGCACCAGTTGGCTGTAGTTTCACACGTCGGGCTAATCTGCGAGCACAGAACCAAGCCACACCAGTAACGGCGAACGCAGTGCAGGTACCGCAGAGAGGTGGGGCGGGTAAGAAAGTGGAAATAAAGAGGTGTTAGGAGGGGGATGGACATAGGGAGGCGGGGGAAGGGAGATGGGGTCAGAGAAGCGAAGTCAAGGAGCTAGGGATAAGGAGGCGGGGGCAGGCAGCTGGGGTCAAGGAGGTGGGGTCAAAGAGGTGGAGATAAGGAGGCGGGAGGCGTCGTCAAGGAGGTGCAGTCTGTCAAGGAGGCTCGGATACGGAGGAGCAGTCAAACAGGCGAAGGTAAGGAGGCTGGGGTAAGGAAATGGGGGTAAGCTGGTGAGGGTCCGGAGGTGAGGGCAGGGAGGTGGGGGCGAAGAGGTGAGGGCAGGGAGGCGGAAGCAAGGAAATGGGAGCAAGGGAGCGGAGGCAAGGAAGGCGAAAGCAGGCGAAGACGTGGAAGCAGCGAGGTGGAACAAAAAAGGCGACAGCCACAGCAAGTGTGAAGGGCTAGAGCATGGGGAAGAAGGCGCAGGGCTTGGGCAAAGGTTAGCAACTTGCCAAATTGTGAGAGAAAACCCGGGGCGCGTGTTGCTTGTGTTGTCTCGTCGAAAATCCAACGAGGCTGACACACCTGGGCGGGAGCGAAGCCGGTGAGCACATACCTACAATTATAAAAGTCGACTAACACCCGGACATTAGGGCTACTATTGCCCATGAGGTCCCACGGCCTGAAGAAGGTCATGATCGGTGCTCGCGATAAGTCTAGCCGAGGATCGTGAAAACTCTCATGGGTGTCGGCTCACAAAGTACGGACTAGACCTCACCGTAGCCATGAGTGAGTAAGAAGGCCTTAACATGTAAACCATAACGTATGCAACTGCCATACAAGTTGATTGGTACCATAAGCAAGCAAACAGGCAGGGGAGTTTTGTAGTAGTTGTGGGAACTGCAGGGTTACTGGTATTTTGATGTAGTTCAGTGCCACTCGTGACCAGTAAGACAGACGTAGATGCAACAGACAGAACAATGTTGGGTATACAGATGTGTCACAACGACTGTAAATGAAGATAGAGCAGGACACGAAGAATACCAACCGAACAATAAGGTAACTCGACAGGACGCTGGACAGGTACTGAAGGTAGTCAGAAGTCTCTCAGTATGTGTTGTTCTTCCTGTCTCTCATATTGAATCTTCAATCACAGACACGGAGCAGACGGACAAATATTTTTACAATGGCAATAAATGCAATTTTCCCTATTTTCGCCTGATGAATACGTGGAGACCAAAAGTGCAAGAAAATATCACTAATCAAGGCCGCCAATCCTGTGTGTCTTCTGGAAAGGGTCCAGTATCAATCAATATTGCCTCCAGGCTGCTCGTGGATTTGTTCGATATGAAACTGAAAGAGCATCATCAGACTGCATCCACCCAAACGACCATACTAGGCCATCGGCGGGATGAGAGAAGCAAGTACTCGACGAGAATGGCCAAGCTTGATACTGAAGAGCGACAAAGAGTAGCCTACTTGTAGAGCTACGTCCCCCAGTCTGCAGTCAGTAACTCAGGTATTTTCATAAGTCGTCGGACGAAATACTAGGCGCATATGTGCATGATGCAACTACATAACCATAAGATTCAGATTGCTTCATTTCCTTTTTCTTGCATGTTTTTCTTACAGTGATATGATCCATTGACTCGTGGATGAACTGGAGGCCGATGGAAAAAATAATAAATGGTAACGGTTCTTGTTTTTCTTACATTCAATACATGATAAGATTATCATTATATATATATAAGTGCTTAACCCTTTCCTTAATGCATAGACTCCAGACACGATAAGAAGATAGAATAGGAAAGACAGAGACAGCTTTCGTTAGAAATAATTTCAAGAATTCAATCAGAGGTGACATTTGGTTTCCCGACACTACTACTCTTGTTACTACGTCACCCTTGCAACTTGTTCTAGTACAGCGCCATTCTCATTATCTCTACAACAACTTACTATCTCTACAAGTACGTCATTATTTCTACAACTTGACGTTCTTCATTTTTCATAAGTACGGCATTTTCAACTACTATTGCTAGTGCTAGTACTATAACTTGTTCTACTTATGACATTTTGATTCTACTACGACTGCTATTGCTACCATAACTTGTCCTTCACCTGTATCTGTTCTTAGGCTACCTTTACAGTAAAGGCTTTACTTTAACTACCGCTAGTACTACTACAATTTGTTCTCCAGCATCTACTAGTACAACTTCGTCTTCCACCTCTACTACTTCTAGTCCATTTCGTGGCCATGCCGCCATCTATAAATAATTGAATGACTATATATAGATACAAATACTACTACACTTGCACTTCTAGATTTTTACTTGCTAGCACTACTGCATCTAGTTCTAGATCGTCTAAGTTTACTAGACTTAATTATACTCACTTCTGGCTCATCCACCTGCCAAAAGTTTCAATTTTTTACGTCTACTACGAGCTACGTTTATTTTTTCACAGGAATGCGCCCACTACATCTTCGCGACCAATCTACTTCCACGTCTAGTACAGCTGAGGTATGGCTCTGGTATTTGCTGGCCTGAATCAATTTGATCCCAAGGATTCTCTTCTTGTTTTCATTATGATCGAAATCAGGTTACCAAATACCAGAACCATTCAACTGAGCGATTTGTTCCCCTTCTACAGCTACATCATAATATTAGTAAAACTCTAATTCATATTTTACTTTTTCATCCGAAAAAAAAATCTAAAAAAAATCTTACTCCATGGTAGGACAAAATAAATTACGCAACTTCTACACCATCACCGAGGGCGCGCATTACGCAACGCCCCGCCAGGTAGATCAGACGCAATATCCTTCCCCCGCTCGGTGTGCCTTTCTAAAGTAGTCTCCTACTTTTCGCACCGAAGACAACCGGGACACACCCGCACGGGAATGAGCCCCAAGCGATAGCACTTTTAAGACCCAAACTACCTCAGCTCAAAAACCGCCCACCTCTCGTTTCTCGTTCGCGCTTTTTCGCCTCCTCCTCCTCGCACAGCGCGGACTAGTTCTAATCTTTACGGAGAGAACTGCATCTCGTGAAACTTGAAAACTCCACCCGACGCCTCCCCAATTTTCTGGAACAAAGGCAGCAAGTTCTGAAGCTTTTTGAAATCCTTTCGCAAGAAATTCGTGTAGAGCGTCGTCTCGTGCGCAACGCACCCCGCGTCCGTCTGCATGACCAAGGCGCCCGCATTCCCATTTTTAGAGCTCCGGCAAACAGTTCACTTCTGAAGCCCGCTTTACAAGAATATAAAACGGCGCTTGAAACGAAATGAATTACTTGTGGCCTTAACGTTATGATCCTCAGAAATTTTGCTACAGAGCATGACGTCCCAGAAGAGCATCTTAAACAGCCCGAAGCTGATGACTCTCTTCGGCTGGGAGATTCTTTGCACAGCAGTGCCCTTAACTGCGAAAGGGGGGGACTCGTCGATGCTCACGCCGGCGTAAGTGTACATCACTTTATTTTCCTCTGTGCTCGATAATTCCAATCCCGGGAGCAGTGCCCTCCCCGCCTTTTCGTGGATTTTCGTGCGCCAGTCGTCAAACCGTTCAGAGAAAATATTCTCGACCTCCTTTTCCAGGGCCGGGCTTATCATCACGTAATGGAAGTTCTTCACCGCTTTTCCCCAGGCTTCCTCCGTGTCAAACAAGTCAGCAAGCCCGGCACCCTTTGTCTTTTGGAGTTTGAAAGTGTACTCATTTGGATTTCCACTGCCATTCTTCGCTTCATCATTGGGAACCTCGAAAGACTGGAAATAGAGGTACGGAATCAGGCCGTGGAGATGGTCGGTCCACTTCTTCACGCTGAAGACCGTCACGCCCTCTTTCATTAAGAACGGGATCACAGCACTGAACCCATCAGAACGCAGATGGTCCCCGTCAATCACAACCGCCCAGCAGCTCTTCTTGATTTCCACGGCAAATTTTTTGTGGTCAAGGCTACCCACCTCCCGCTCCCTCGGGGTTACTGCTTGGTCTTTGCCGTCTTGAATCACCGCCTTTCTGCCATGGCCTATAAACCGGCAAAAGCGATTATCCTCCTCTGAGCGTTCGATCTGAGCCCAAGCCATTTCTTCCGCATTTGGGCCACTTCCGCTGGACAAGCTTGGGCCGCAACAGCGAGCGGAAGAGGTTGAGGCGTAAATTGAAGGTGCTGGCATCATATTAAGAGGGCGAGCATTATTTTGCCAGCCCTGTCGGGGTGACAGACTAGCCCACAGGCGGCATGAGATTCGTTCGGACCAACGAACTTCGATGAAGCAAATGGGTCGCGAGATAAGAAAAGCCTGACGCCAAAGGGCGCGTGAATCGAATGCCACAGGTAGGCTTATGCGTCACGGAGACAGTAAAGGGAGTGGAGGGAGAGAGAAGAAAAGAATGCAGCAGAATGCGGAGTATTCCTACTGCTGTAAATACTGAAAATAGAATGCTGAGTGCTGAAGTCTGAACACTGAAGCCCAGACCGTGATTTCTGAGTAAGGAAGACCACACGCGCCGGCCGGTCGCGTGCGCTGCGTGTAGGATCGATGCGCAAGCCCCAGGGATACGAATTCGAAAACGTAAGCAAGCTTATTCCCCCTCCATAATGGGCCCGGTGGGCACACTTGGCACGCTGGGCCGCTGGGCGGCCCAAAAGTGGGTCTTCTGCGAAAGATTTCGCCAACTGTGTGCCCACCGTGAGACCCGGGGCCAAAAATCAGGGCGCCTTTTGGGCGCCCATTTCTGAATCCCCCCGGCAGAGTAAGCGCGTGCGCCCTGGATCCGCAGCAAGCTGCATACGGACCGGGGCGCCCACCTACCGGCCCGCCTTGGGATATCCCTCCGCAGCACTGGCTGCACATTGCAGCAGAGCACTGAGGCGCACCGCAGCGCTGCGCCGCACTCTACACACCCAGGCGGCACTGCATACAGCAGCGAAGCACCGCAAGCAGCGAGAACACGGCCACTCCGCAAAGGAGCACAACGTCGCGCCGCCCTCGACTGCGGCCCTGTACATTGGCAGAAGCAGCGGCACAATGCTCTACGCGCCCAGCGTGCCACCCATGTGTGCCAAAGGTCCGCCCACCGTACCAAGCGCGGTCGCCCAGCGGCCCAGCGTCGCCGCCCACCGTGCCCTGCGTCTATAAACTATGCCAGAATAAGGACCCAGTTGCGGCGACAACCGACGCCGGCTAAATAGTACACGCCTCAACTAGCTATGCCGAGCACCTTCGCTAATCTTCCATACCAATAAAAGGGGCACCCCCTTCCCCTTGCTGTTGCTCTTTGGTCTTCTCGATATATTGCTGGCGCCGCAAGTTCAGAAAAAGCCCCTGCGCCTCCTGGAGGGTTTCTGCGTCGAGAGCGTGGATATTTGGAAACTTTTTCTCTCCCTCAGTGCCGAGATTTTCCAAGTTCACTTTTCGGCCCTGCGGCAGCACCCTGAATTCCTCCTCACCGGTAACCGCCCAAGGCTTCGGAAGCGTGATGCGCTCACCATCCTGAGTCCCATCCGTAAGCCCTTTGTATTGGTCGGCTAGTACGTACTTGGACACCAAAGCACCCTCCTTCCCCTCCTGAAATTTCTCCGCCAAAAAAGCATCCAGCGCTGCATTTGATGTAATGCGGCGAGGAAGTGGGGTCAACTTTCGAGCTTCGGAACCCATTTCCAGAACCGAGGAGAACGAAGTAGCACTTGAATCGCCCTCCCCGTAGAAGTGGTTGAAGAGGTTGTAGCTGCTTCCGCGTCTGCGTGCATCTTCAGGAGAAATCACCAGCGGCAACAATACTAGCAAAAGCGCGGCGGACAAAACAAGGGCGAACAACGATCCCAGAAAAGCCACCAACAACCGACCACGCACGCCACTCAGCGCGCCGCCCCTCATACCTCTCCCCGCATCGAAGTCGCGTGCCTGTTTTACAGAAATAAAATATAAAATACTGAGAACTCAGAAAGAGGCCTCCAGACACGGGGCCTCAGAAATACGCTCCCAGAAGCCAATCGGCGTCCAGAATTAAGGCTCCAGAAATAGAGTCCCGGAACCAAATCGCCAGCGCCCCGGCTAGTGCGATAGGGCTCCAGAGATTGATAAAGCCTCACCACGAAATATCATGCAAGGCAGCAAAGACAAAGCTTCAGCAATAGCTAGGGGTCCGGTAACTAGTAGCATACAGCATGCGGCCGGGCTCCGGCAATCAGCTGCCAGCAATCGACATCCAGCAATCCACTTCCAGATATCCCAATCCATCGGCTCCCCAGAATCGACTGGGCTTCCAGGGGTGGGATCAATCTCCCGGAGCCGGCATTCAGAAAACCTCGCCCAGAAAACGACAGCCCCCGGCGTGCAGCTTTGAGAAAACCGCCTCCCGACGTAGGCTCAGCTGTCACCAAAAAGCCCGGCTGTCCAGGTGTCGGCCCTCCTGTCCGCACATCAACAAGCCCACCCACCCAAAGGCAGATCAACGGACCCTCCCAGCCGTCCACAGCCAAGCCCCCAGGCACACAGCCAGGCCCCGGTGTCCACCGTGAGGCCCACCTATCGACAGCCAAGCCCATCCGCCAACAGGTCCACCCGTTTACGTACAGCACGAGCTCACGGCCCACGCCAAAAGGCCCGCCGTCTACCCCAGAAGCCCAACTGTCTATACTACCCACCCACCCGCCTACCCTAGCAGCCCACCTGCTGTCTACACTACCGACCCGCCCGTCTACCCTACCAGCCCACCCGCTGGGCCCAAGTGTGAGGCCTATCTCGCTGAGAGTGGGGCCAAGCTGTCGCCGCCCACTAGTCGACGGGCCTCGCCGTCCCCAGGTCCAACCTACCACCTATCTATGCACAGGCGCGGCCTGCCGGAAGTTTCAGCAATTGCCTCCCCGATGTCAACATCCAGAGCAAGCACGGCTGCCAGCAATCCATCCTTCCATCGACCCCCATACGGCACCCAAGAACCAACCCGCCGACAGCGATCGCCGCGCCCGCCCCGAAACAAGCCCGCCAGAACACGAAAGAAAGCCCGAGCCCCCCCGGAGCCCCGCTAAAGAACTTACGAAAGGAACAAACGAGGCGCCTCGCCCTCGTCACCCCAAAAAGCATAAGAAGGACACACAACCAACGAACCAACCCGCAACAAGAAAACACCCCTCGGCACGCAACACTTGACAGACTCCCAAAAAACAACGCCAAGAAGCCGGCCGCCGCGAACTGCCCTGCACAAGTCACACAACTACCAAAACCAATCCCCCCCGAGCGAAGGCCGCGACGATGGAAGCGCCACTCATCAACGCCAAGCGAATCACACGCAGGGCACCCGGGGCCGGCGCCCACGCTTCCTTTCTCGAGGACTCGCCACGCCCACCAATCCTCGCCAAGTTTCAAAAAAGGCACAAACCCTCACGCCTGAATCGCTGCAAAGAATCACCAAGCCCTGCCCAAGGCTCCTGGCGCCGCTGCGGCGATGCACGCACTCCGCGGCCAACCACATCCCACAGCGGCCCGCGATGCTGCCGCCGCCGTCTGTCATGACGAGCACACAACCTCCCCAAAAGTGCAGACGTTCACAAAGCCAGCACCCACAACGAAGCAAGAGACGCCCTGAGCAAGAGCTAACAACCCCTCAGAGGAGGCCGCCCGAAGCCGCCCGCTGGTCAATCGTGGGGAATTAGATACTTAGCTGAAAAGGCTGAGCCCTACAGCCCGAAAACTGCAGCGAAACAAGCACCCACCCGCACATCACTTTGTCCCCCGCGGCCGTGCGCTGTACTTGGCTAAGAGTTCTCGCGCCTGGGTCGTCGCGCATAGTTGTCGGCCCCGCTGGCTCTACTTGTTACGAAGAAGAACCACAACCAAACCGACACAACCTAGCCACAAGCCACGACACACAGCGCGAGAAGCTCTTGGACGAGAGAGAAATTAGAGAGAAGAAAAAAGCGGCTCTAAGCCGCGCGGAGGCATTGTGAATAAAAAAAACTTCAACTTCTGACAAAGATGACACACGGGGGCCAAGGGGGAGGACGGGGGCCTAATGTAATCGACCCGCCCAGAAAAATACTAGAGCCGGCTACGGCACGCCCCTGCTCTATCTTGTTAAAAATGAGCCGGAGCCACAGTGAGTCAACCCAGGCTGAGGCGCCAGCTTTCAACTGTTACAAGCACTGGCAGAGCCGATGAAACTAGGAGAGGTAGAAAAGTTTAGTCTTATTAACAGGCTAGAAGAAATTTATGCTATGGGGTCCGTCCATTATAGGCGCCGCGCGTCGTCCAGCTGCCTCGGGGGTCTTCTCGTTCATGGGATTTCCACTATTATCAACCTAGCGACACTCGAGCCAGAGTCTATGTGCAAGTCTCAGCCACCTTGCTTCACAGGGACATACGATACCCCTGAGCCATCCAGCTTAACTTCTGTCGAGGCTAACATCGCCCAACGCTGAAGCGAGAAAGTAAGCCCACAACGAAGCCCAATCATGTCCCGAAGGTGACGCTTCACCCAGTCTTCGGGTGTGCGCCTAGTGGCGCCTGCGTCGCTCTTGCCCAAGATTGTTCATCATCAAACCCATTCTACCTCTAAGGCCCTTCTCGATCTCGTTGCCCAATGGCACAGGGCCTGGCCATGCCTGCAGCAACTGCGATAAAAAGGCGCCACCAATAACCTCACCGCAGCAGAATCCCCCCCAAGAGCATCGGCACAAGCTAGTTAGAGGCTACTTGCCTGGCTGTCGCCCTATGAGTGCCTCCCCTTACTCTGATTTATCACAGACAGGCTGCGAAGCTGCTGTCGCGAAAAGTGTGGGCGGTAATAAAAGTTGCCACATGATACAACCTGTGTACTTTCTTAGTGTCCTGCTGCATAACGAGCACGAGGGAGGCAAGGGCGGGCTTCACCTTAATCAAAAGACTTGGTGACTTAGAATAGAAGCAAAGAACCAACGCACCTACGCCGCGCAGCAAAAACTTCTGGCGCCTGTCCCAAAAGCATAGAGAATGCGGAGAGACTACCTAAGCGGCGCCTTAAAAGTAGACTCATAGCCCCAGCCTCGGGCGAAGCAAGCAACAAATAATCAAAAACGAGCACAGGAGGCAGAAGTGCAAAGGGGGAGAAATGTTAGGGCGGGTAGGGAAGTGGTGGAACTGATTGAGAAGCGCGACCAGGGGGCGCGGGCGGGTATGGGCTCTATCTGTGCCCCCGCACTAGTGCAGCATCAGCAACGGCTGCGGCCGAACAGCACAAGAAAGAAAACTTACTCTCACTAAATCAATAGTCACTACCGCCTGGCCAGGGGCAGTCCCCGTAAATCGCGAGCCTCGATGACATTCTTATATATAAAAAAAAAAAAAAATGATAACGAACCGACCCAGGACGCGACTTCACCCCCCAACCCCTTCCATGCAAGTCGACTGGGAAGAAGTAAAACGCCCCGCCCTGGCGAAGACGGGCCGGCAGAGCTTCTTTCTGCTAGATCGTGAAGCCATTCGATTACGCACAAGAAGACCCGACGCGCATGCGGAGTAAATAGGAGTGCTGAGTAATCAGCAGAGGCCCCCGCCTCCTCAGTTGCCTTTGCCCCTGCTTCTACATGCACGGCGCCACAGACAAGAAGCCGGGCTACCAAATGACAAGCCAAGGATAACACTAGCGGCTACGGCTTGGCCCCTTCATGCGTGAGCTGTGTCCGATTTGTGGCAGACAAATCAATGCCCGCCCTTCTCTTCATTACGCCCCACGCCACACGCGCCAGACCTTCCGACCAGCATCACACATCGACGCGCTCGGCATTCCAGCGAGGTGTGCGTTGGTAGCTGCACCGGCGCACAGAACTAAGCCACGCCACAAGGCGCACGCAACAAAAAGTAAAGCAAGGAACTGGGGTTGTAAGTAGCTAGAAACTGGGAACACTGGAACAAGCCGAGCTATGTATTAACCCGGCGAGCCAAATTCGGCCTGACTTTGTCAAGACGCAAACAGAAGCGGGGCCAACAGATTGAGTTTCAGGTTCCAGCGCACATGCCCCAGCGAGCGCACTTGCTGCGCGGCTGTCTGTGTGCTATTTTTTGCGCACGGCGCGAACCATCGCGGAGGCCCTTCCCTGGCTGCAGTCTCCTAGTAGCAGAGGCGGGGGCCTAAAACCCCTGAGCAGCCGCGCCAGCCTTCTAGTGAACAAGGGAGCCAAGGCGGGCCTCTGCTCCGCAGCATAGCTGCTAAAGTAGGGGCAGATCTGTGCCCCTGCTTGTCTTCTTGTACTTAATTGCAGCGCCCCCCGTTCTGCCTCTCTTCCGCCGGCTTCATTGTGACGCAGCCTTCATCCCCCTCCAGCACTGGTAGTAAAGCAGGCAGAGCTCTTCGGCCCCGAGCAAGAAATGAGAAAAAATAACGAGGCAGAGGCTACATCTTAGGGCCGGGCATTACTATTTACCAGGACCGGCAAACCGCCAGTGTGCTGCGCCACTGAAGAGCACGAGGCCACACGCGTGCCCCAGCTATAATCTCCGGGGATGGAGCCAGACCGCCGGGGCCGTGGGGGTGGGCCCTGTAGTTACTATCATTTATGTTATACCTAAAAAAAGTTAGGAAGCGCATCACAATGCTCGCATAGTCACCCCTCCGCTTATGTTGGTCCCAGCATCAAAGATCAGGGGGTCGCCCTCGTTATTTTCTGCTTGCATTGTTTTCCATCGTAAGTAGATGGACAAAGAATGGACGAAGGCGCATCTATAAGAAGATCGGACAAGGCAGATATTTTTACCGCGTAAGAAGGGAGCTTTGGCACGGCCATTCGATCCGTGGATACAGCTGCGGCCCCTTTGTTTCCGACAGGCGATCCAAGGTCCTCGACGGATGACCCAAAGCCCAGACCTGCAGTGCCTTCTTTGCCTTCATGATCTCCAATATCATCGCGGGCCTACAAGATAGGTGAATGAGAAGGATAAAAAAGAGGTGAGCTCGCTAACGTCCCGGTCAAGAATTGTCCATCAACATTCTACTACATGATGCCTTCTTCATCTATAATACCCAAAGAAGTGACGGGAAATAACTGCAGTGGAAACGGATGAAGTTGAAGCCACCAAAACAATACTTAGATTACAAATATTGATACAGATACAATATACCATAGGCATAGCACCATCGACGTCACAGCTGCCATAATGCGCCAAATAGGAAACTTTCGCAGCCTTTTCCTTAGCTTCATCTTCTCGGCAACCTGATGCGTTGGTTAGGCGTGCCAATGTTGAGGGCGCGCAACGTGCTGCTCTTCGAAGTCGTGACTATACCATATACTTAGCCTGTGGGCAGCCTGTAACTGACTTGATATTGTTGGCTTAATAAGTTGAGCGGAATATCCATATCTTCCACTAATTACCTCGTAGGCCTTCTAGGCACTACACGACGCGTTGAGTATACAATATAAAAAAGCTCCAGGATGTCGATTTCTGTCTTAAATAAAGTGCATCGTCCGCCCCTTCTCTGTTATTTCTAAGTCAAGCTACAAAGTCGCGATGATGAAAGACCACAATCGCCCTATAATCTTTGGGGGCGGGATGATGGCGAGAACGGGTAAGAATCAACTCTGAAGAGAACTCGGCGTAGGACGATCATGGGCACCAGATAAGTCCCGACGCCAAAAGCCACAGAAATACAAGGAAAACATCAACCGGGGCGAGGGGTAGAGAAAATTTATAAAGCGGAGTCCGGCAATGTTGAGAAAAGGACCACCTTACAGCCCTATGGATCTCTGCCTACTTACATTCACCATGGCCTGCTTCCATCCACGTCGAGCAATGTTAAACCATCCCCACTCACCTCAGCATGCAGCTGGACCCACCCAAGGCCGAGCCCACGCGCGCCCATCCGCCCCCGTCAGCAGCCGGAGGGACCCGCACAACGCAAGCCAGCCCCGCAGCCCGCTGGACCACCCTTCACCCAGTGCGGCCCCCCGACCTACGCCGGCCTGGACCCAGCTCCACCGGGCAAACCCTCACAAGCCGAAGCTACCCTCGACGGCCCACCGCCTGATCAGCGAACTTGGATACTCCCTCGAGGACCCACCCCGGGACACGACACCCAAACAAGACTCCCAAAAATATACGTCGCTTGAGAACTACCCACCTCATGAGCCACCCTTCGGCAACATACCCTTTGTAATGCCCCGTGAGGTAAGATTTTTGGGAGGGGTCCGACATTTGTTGGGCGGAACTAGTTTCATTAGAAAAAAAATGAAGTTAGTCAGATACCACACAGAAGGTCACTAGGATATTAACATGAACGCGCTGTAACTACCCAACAGGAAGCTTGATAAGAAGTTGATGTCGTATTAAGGAGCCACTAACAAGTTCAGACGATTGATAATTTCGAAAAGCAGGACAGACATCGACTCTAGCTGAATGAATAGAGAAAAGAAGTAGAATACTCATGGTGGAGACTCCTCTAATAACACTAGAAGACGCGAGAGTGCCTCTTAGCCGCCTAGGCGCGCGGGCGCAAGAAAATCTTAAAAAACGCTCATCACTACGACGGCTGTGTCATCCTCAGCTTCTAAAAAGTACAACCAAGAGAACAAGCCTCCATATATTGACAAGAATAGTACGCATTTCCTGCTGCACTGTGTCATATTCATTGTGGAAACAGGAAAGTGCAATCGACATGGTTTTCTTCACTCATGTTGGTCTTGAGAGTCGAAAAAACTACTTTACAAGAGAATACATCAATAACTTGAATTCATCTATGGCTCCTGCATCATCAAGAATATATAATCTATAGGAGGCCGCAAAACCGTAACCGCGGTAATTATTAAAAGTACCCAACTCCAGATCGGGATCTCCAAACTCCAGAGAGGAGGGCCCGTTTTTGGCTCCGTCATCGCCGATCATCTGTTGGCACATCAAGGAGTAAGAGGAGAATAAAAATGAGCAGGATCCTTCAGGTCACGCTGTTAATCATGATACCGTGCTCCGTCTATCTACATCTAGCTCCCTGCACGTGTTTATGTTCATCTATACATTTTTGACTATGAAGAAGAAGACTATCCATAATTGAAAGCAAATATTTTTAAATTTTACCATAGAAGTGCCCAAATTGAAGCTCGCTGAGGGAAGGAAGCCGGTGATCTCGCCTCCTGGATAATCCGCGATATGACCGCGACAACCTGGTAGCAGTGGAGGACGACTTGATGGATTCTGGCAAGCAAGTTTAAAGAAATTAAAGGCTTACGACTTGATGGATTCTGGCAAGCAACGCTAAAGAAACTGATGAAGAGCGAAGTAGTTGAAGCCACTATATTGTAGCTTCTTCATTGAATAGCAATAATATGAGCAGCACCTTGGCCGCCATGGTCGAGATCCTCCGTTTTGCCTGCTCCTTCGTTTTTACAGGCTTTCTGAAAACCTTGCAGAAGTGCCGACATTATCGCGGATGCTAGGTGCTCCTGTAGGTGTAGGTATATTTGTGACTGGGAGAGTTGTGGCCTCCACCTTTTTTATACACAGATGAACGCGGAGGACGTGGAGGAGAAAAAGGAGGAGAAGGAGCAGAACAGAGACAGCACGTGTCTGATAGCAAAAGCGACTCTGAAGATCATGCACCAAAACAGCAATGCAAGGGATGAGAGGCCTTCGTCTGGGAAGTGCTACATCTACAAGGACAAGGAAAGTCTTAGCTTCACTACCTCCTTTCGCTCGTTGAAAACGATATAGCCGCCTCTTGTGCAGCTTTTAATCTCGCTGCTTTCGGTTTCACGCGCTAGTATTGTTGATTCCCGTTGGTTCTAGGACTAGAAAGGAAACCGGCACTCGAGCGCTCTAGTCAGTATCTAGACGCATTGCACCTTGGTGCGGTGTGGTTCGTTGTTGATGCTGTTTGTTCGAGATCTTTCCTCTAGTTATTCTGCCGGCCGTGCGTCGTGTAAAACAGTGCGATATCGTCTTGCTGTTAGCTGTTGCCGTTGTTGTTGTTGTTGTTGCTTTAGTAGGCCACTCCTAGGATGAAAACACTATGAGTACTAGTGGAGTAATTAGATGACTTGTTAGTAGTTTTTACATGACAAGAATTATGAGCACTAGTGGAATTAGATGAACAAGCTGCGACGTAGTCGTTGTAGACAAATAAGAGCGCGACTTCTAGTAGCGGCATTTATTACATGGAGCTGCGGCGTAGTAATGGCAACGAATGCTAGAGCTAGAAGTGGGGTTAGATGCTGAGTACTAGTGGAGTTAAGAGATGACGAAGTTGCGGGATATTGGCCTGTGGTAGAAGTATTTTACTTTTCAGGTCTTTATTCCTTCTTTGTAGCAAAATAGTGGACGCAACAAGTGCACTGCCTCGAAGTGAGTACAGTAGTCTTTAGTAGTAGTAGAAAAAGAAATATTTTTTAAACTTGTTCCATGCAATGTTTTTGTTGGACTTTGAAAATCCTTAAATTGTTACTTTCTTCCTTGATGAAGATACTAGTTGTAGAACTTTCACAAGTTGCTTTCTTGGTGTTGTTTTCTTGACTTTTGGGTCGCGAGGAATGATCGCAAGATCAGCCACCTCTTTTTCTTTGCTCGCCTAAGGGGTTTTTTGGGTTTTGGATGTGAAAGCCTGTTGTTATGGCGCCGGATATAATGAACATTCCTTGACTCAATGCGTGACTCGTCTGAAACTAATCACTTCTACGTGAGTACGAGCGTCAGAATGGCTGAACCCAAAGTCACATAGTGGGTGCCGAAGCCAATCAATCAAATATCAGAAGGTCCGTCGCATCAATTATCAAATAAAATATGAGTGTAGAGCTACATCTAGATCATGGTCTGTCACTCAAATGCATGCTTCGCGAAAGACTCAACAGAAGTAGACTTCATCTCCACAGAGGTTGTACAAGCAGAGGCTGTAGAAGTAGCTGCTCCTGTCTCTCATCTGTAACTCGTCTCCTCGTAGCTCGCCCTCATCATTTCATATCACCAGAACACATCTTCTTCATCCTCTTCATCTTAGAAATAACATCAACAAGGCCTTCGCCCTCCTCGTCCTCTCCTCTCGTTTTCTTTTCTACTGCCAATTCAATCGAATTTTCTCCCGCCGCTAGTTAGGGCTCACAGGTCAACATAGTCTCAGAATCCAAGTAGAAGGAAACGAAAAGTGATGACCTGAATCATATCAAGCCTATATTACCAAGGCCGCAGTACTAGAATGGGTCACATTCCGTCTACTCGTCTTCTCATCAACTCACTCCGTGTCCGTGTTTAAGTTCGCGGTCAGTATTAAACTCGGATGCTTTTCAGGAGCATGTGTCAACATTATAAAATTGGGAGTAGATCAGGTGACGATCAGCACATCAGTGTAGCTGAGCCGCATGATGTGCCAGAAAATATAACCGAAGATTATGGGAAGACCCATTCATGCATGTGCCCCACCCAGGCCAACACTACGCCTCTAATCTGGGAAGAAATCCACCTAAATAATCAAATATGACAGAAAGTGTATCCTTTGTGGGTTGGCTGCCAAAAGATGCGCATTATATCGGGCATTGATCTTGGAGATGTGCCAAAGATGTAGGACTAGACGAGTCAGGTAGAAGCCTGGTGGAGTTTTCATTTTCTCTTAAGCACCACGACTACTTTAGGAGGAGGAGTAGCAGTAGTAGTAGCAGGGGAAAGTTCAACAACAGTGGAAGAGTTGGGCCTACACCAATATATAATCTCAAACGGCCACGACATGTGGAGTTGTTTCTAGGGAGCAAGGTGAAACAAAAAATATTAACGATTGAAACCGAAGAAGACCAAAATCGTTAATAATGGCCCTGCGGCCTGCTGGGGCGGAATGGCCGCAGTTGCCGCGTGGCTTTTTTTCTGTGGAAAGGTGACAGCCACACGGAGCCAAGGCAGCTCCTGTTACTTACTCAAGTCCACAACCGGCGGCCAGTCACGCGCAGCTGTTTCGGGATAGGGCTGCCCCCACCCGAAGCGCGCCAATATCGCCGCCGAGCCCGCAGGCGTGGGGTTTTTGGTAGTTGCCAAGGGCCACCCACTAGGTTCCGCATTGGACTGACACGTAGCAAAAGGGAGGCACAAAGGGGCAGGCCCTAGTTGGCGCACGGGTTTGAAAGTAGTGCGAACCCTAATTCTAAGAGCTTGGATTTCCTGCGCCTACATCATTACCATACACACCCACCCAGAAAAAGGCGCGAGCGATCCTCACGCAAGACAGCCGCCGCCCCACTTGCTCGCAGGCTCCGCTCGAGTCAATAGCAGGCAGCGCGATCGACTGTCGGCGATGAACAGCACGTAAGGCAACTAGAGTGATGCAGTACACACACGGGCAATGCAGGCGCCCGCCCTGGTGCTGGGTCCCCTTTTGCATTGGTTGCAAAAAAATCAGAAAAACTGCGCAGCAATTTTCTGCCTCTATATTTTGCATGCATCCTCGAGCACGTAGAGGCCTTTCCCCTGGCTACCAGATGACACCAGACACACTCCGGTAATCCCCACAGATACAAAACTGCTCTACTTTCTTATAATTTCCAGCGCGTTGCTGAGCCTATACGATTACGAAGTAGTGGCGCCTGTTTGATAGTTGGCGCAGCGCCCTTGCATGCTTTCGAAGCGCCAGCATGTTGCGCAGCGCACGCTGGCATTTTTAGCAGGTCTTTCGTGAGCTGAAAGAAAAAAGGAAAGCGCCAGGCGCTCTCCATCGTCATCGCGCTCGGCTTTGTGGCTGAGAGCCAGCGCAAGTAGGTGCTCAGATGAAGGGGCCTGCCGCTACAGCTGTAAACGAATGCGGCCCATCAGTACAGCGACCATCCCCCGCTTAGCCAGTTTTTGAGAGTTCATACTAATTCGCGAGCTGCTGAAGGAGGAGAAAGATAACGCTGAAGGCAAAAGGCCGGGCCTCAGTCGCTCCTGTTCTCTCGGTGAGCTCGTAGGATCTCTTGAGGAGAACACGCAGCCGCGATATGGGCCGAGACGTCAACAAGCCAAGCCCATCGTAGATGAGGGGGCGCATCGTGAAGCAACCGCAGACGCCGTAGAAAGGCTTCCTTTTCGTGGTCACCAAAGTGGGAGTAGACTAGAGCTTTTGCTGTCATGGCAGTTTTGTTGTACTTGAAGCATCTTAGTGAACTCTCACTGTCATAGGAAAACTTGTGAAGTGCTGCGAACTTGTGCGACTTTGCTGTAATAAAATAGCTCATGCTGTCAGGCGTTTATTTGTCCTGAAGCTTGGGCCAGTGCAGTACCAGGACCACCAAGACCGCAATGGCCGTCGCACAGGTTACCAGTAAAAACCACTCAAAGACAATCATACTCGCGGCTACAGCACTAACACAGAACAAGGGTAAACAAGGAAGCCGCCGCAGAAGCTTGGGCTCGGGGAGAGGTCTGCGAATAATCGCCCAGCTCTTTTATATAACCAGCTTCACATTAACACACACACCCAGTCCTTTACTTGGTCCTCCTTCCGTTGTTTAATTATTCATGAAACAAACACCCAAGAAACAAATAACCGAGACCGGGCGGCTCTTTTCTTGCTTCTAGTAGCACTCTTAGCCTTTTATCCTTCACACGGCGCACCTTTCCTTGTTAGCTTGCTGCAGCTGCTGCTGTTTTAAAAAATTATAATCATGGACGACTTTCGTGCCCATTCTGTTCCCAAATAAGTATCCCTTTTTTTGTGTGGTTTTCGGACACATCAGTCATCTATTAACACTTTTCATTTTTTTCTATTCTTATCCGCGTTGAGTCGAGCACCGGCCCCCACCTCGTTGCGCTGAAACTGCTTGATCGGCTCTCGAAAGTGTCCAGCGTCTTTCCGCGGACTTTCTCGATGCTGAACAAGACAGTTAGACACGGCATCTCAAGAGGCTAAAGAGTGCGACCAAGGTGGGATCTTGATACTTATTCAAAGCGACGCACCCCATTTTTCTTGGTGAGGTTCAACGGCCTCGCAAGGCCCCTCGATGCTGCCACGCCTCTACTCGAAGCCAGCGCCTTGCCCTCATCTCTCTCCGAATGAGTGCAACGCCGAACGGGTGCCCCGGAGTTCTACTAGCTGAGCTGCTGCCCAAGCAGCCTCGGCAGGGGCTCAGCCTCATACGTCTCAGTTTAAAAAAAACGACGGCAGTCACAAAGGTTTTTTTAGTTTTGGCCCGGCCGTCGGCATAACTAGGCAGGAGCCCCATACCCTAATGAGCAACAGACCTGACCACACTAGAAAAAAAGCCCTTCCCCGGTTGGCTTACCAATTTCTAAGCCACTGGGGCTACATACTCACGACTCGCACACATTGGCTGCGAATTGACGCCAGCACAAGTAAGCAGGACTGTCTTCAAGTGTGGAATGGGTTCGACATATCCTCAGTATTCTCATGAGCTAGGAGGGCGCTTCACTCTCATAGCAGAAAACGCGTCACGTGGTCCTGCTAGTTGCCTTCGCTCAAATACAGAACGAAACAAAGCTCTTCAACTTCGGGCAGCTGCCCTCGGTTAGTTATCCTCAACTGCAAGCATGCGCGCGACTCTTCTGCAAATGAGAAAGAGTCTAACCCTGTTAGGCTTAGCTAACTTCCGCTGTAATTTAATAGCTAAACTACGTGGCCGCCGCTCGTAAAAGCAGGCGCGCCCAACGGAGGCCGTTCCGTTCATAATGCATAGCCGCGAAAAAGCCCGCCAGCTCCTTCGTATGTATGTCAACTTGGCGCCTGCGCTAAAGCAAGCACCAGGAGACACCTAAGAGCAGCTAGCCCCTCCTCAGTCTTATATATTCACTTTCTATGATGCGAATGGCTGAGCCTGAAAATGGAAGACACTAGCTGGCAGCCCAAGGCCATTCACTAATAGATGAGAACTGCCTCCACCAAAGTTGAAGCATAAAAGTGCAGTCTTTTCCCCCTGCACCAAAACACGCCTAGCCATCCTCCCTACCATTCATCTGCAACAACAAAGGCAACAGCGTGTGGCGAGCCTGCTTCTCCGTAAGGGTCGAGATCTCCTCCTCAGTCGCCCGCAGGCACTACAGAACTGAGAAAGATTGCCCGAGAAAGCAAGGCCTACGCCTGTCAGGAGGGCTGGGCACGCTGGCTTACGCAACGCGGTAAGATTCATAAGCATAGAAGTTTCTTCCCAAAAGGTCTACGCCTCATCTCTATCAAAATAATGGAAGCTGATGGCGCCGCTCCCTCATGTTTTTTCATTCTTCCCAAAAATTTTACTTTTATCGACAAGCCGACGGCGACTCGCGCCGTCGCGCTTCCTTTTCATACTGCTGCGCGCTATTTTATCTACCTACAGAGGGCGCCACCCTTCAAGCTAATCCGCGTTTTTGCTTGATGAGCGACGACGGCAGCCGCGCTGGCTTTTAATATTAATACTACTACGCTTCACGCTTTTTCTATCTACAGAAGGCCCCACCAAGTAAGGCGGACCCACGTTTTTGCTTGCTGTTGTGACTACTGAGCATCACTGAGGCCTATATACTGGAGAAAACTACACGCCCTACGGCTGAGCACACTCCTTGGGAAAAGTTCTCGCTAGAAGCAACGCGTTGCTGCGGAGAAATCGGAAGGAATTGGAACTGATAACGTTGGTAGCGACGATGACAGAATGGATGGCAAGAGCTCGACGAGATGCCGACCCTGAGACCGTCCCACTAGAATTATCTATGTGACCCCCTTGGCGTGTTGCATGTACCCGACGGATCGGCCTAGGGACTGGGACACCCCCCCGGGGCGGGGGACCCCTCACACAAACGCTTATACTTATTACAATCTTCGCGATGCTTTTGATCCAGATATTCATCCGTCACTTGGACTCGGTTGAAATAAAAGGCCCGCACAGAATTCACCGTCCAGGTAGCACTGCGCCGAGCTATGAAACACAAATCAGCCTTCTGATCCGCAAGCGATATGGCCTTAAACGCGAACGCCAGAAAATAGGCAGCCAGCATAACGCATAAGAGGCCAAGCAGGAAGAGATCCCCCAGCCTGGTTTGCAGAAACGAGCCACGCACCAAGGAAGCCGAGAGGCCAGCCCCTGTTAGCGAGGCCGCGCCCTCTTTATGCTGGAGAAAGAGGCAAGCGAGCTGGGCGCGCCCCTTGTATGCACATGCGTGACCACTTTTTTCCGCGGTTCCAATTATGGCAATTTCCTGCACCCCCAAAGGCTCCTCATGCTCGCTGACCACGACTTCCGCGTCGTCTAGCCCCTCTCCCCCTTCCCCCTCTTCCGCTCCGTTTTCGTAAAAGAGCTCCCTGGCTGCCTTCGCGTCCTCTTTACGAGGCCCTGCACCCGGGAAGAAGATCCCCTTTGACCCACCTCCTGGAGATTCCTCGTACTCTCGGATGACCTTCGTCAAGACCGGAGAAAGCTCGGCGCAGCTCTGCTTCAGCTTCGCTGCCCAAGCCCTGCGAAAAAAGCCAAGAACCTTCGCGACCCTTCCTTTGGATTGGTTTCCACAGGTCTCCAACATGCTGCCCGGTAGCTTCACGCTCAGCCCCAGCTGAAAGCGAAAAGCGAGGCCGCGCGGGCTGTAAGGAGCCGGGATGGGCTTCGCCACCGATGTCGTACGCACAAAGCGGCCCCACTTGGATCTGCTGGCCTTTTCCACGCCGACCAGTCTTGTGTACGTCTCCTCAAGGTCCGACCACGTTGGCCCCCATTGCTGTTTTCCATCTTCGTAACGACGTGCGGCCAGGATGATCTGTCGACCGTACGCTTTCGGCAGTAGATAAAACTCAACCGCCTCTCTCTCCTTCCAGAAAACGGCCAGCCACACATCCTCCCTATCTCCCTCATACTGCAGCACGCGCGAGGACTCTGCCAGGCGTGTTACACAATCACCGTCCAAGAACCCGTTGCCAAGCGTCGCGAGGACGCGAGTGGCCATATATTTGCCGTGCGTGCACAGACGCCTAAGCGCCTCCTTTTGCTTTTTATCGCCTGCTGCTCCAAGTCGGTGGACCCATTTAATCCGATCTGGGTGCGCCGCCCCACCTCCTCCACCACAATCGCAGCCCGCCGAGGACCCACAACCACAGTCAGACAGCTGAAAAAACCCATCGTCGTGAGCCACCGCGCCCGCCCTGGTTTCGTTCCAGGTATCAGGGGCCACCCCAATCTGCAGGAGGCCATTGCCCTGGGCCACTTCGTCGCCGGGTTTGTCGACATCCGGGGCCTTTTTAGGCTGGCTCGTCGTGAGGGTTGGAGAATCCAGCTCCAGGGGAAAGACCACCCCAGCCCCGGAAAGCCCAGCGGCCGCAATACCTGAAAGACAAGGGGCGCCGCGATCCATAACTCAAGGCAGTGGCGGCGACTGGTAGAGGCTTCCCCCGGTATCTATTTAATTATCCAAAGACGTATAGACTAAAAGTTGTAAACCCAGGCGGTAAGTGATCTGCTGAAATCCATGTAGTAGAAGTTGATCTTCAGAAGAAAACTCCCACGTAGCGCTACCTTCCTGTGGTAGGTATTCTCTTGTGGCTGTATGGAATGGAGGAAGGAAAGATTAGCCTGAATAAAGCATGATTAAAACAACTAAGGAAGTCCAAAGGCCAGCGACCAAGCAAGGGCGGGGAGGGTGGACCATAAACAAAACTTAAATAGGTTAAGATAGCTAGGGCGGAGATTTGGCACACTACTGCCACCTGAGGTCTCACTGACAGGAAAACATAAGGAAACACAAGTAGGCCAGAAGGAAAGAGAAAGGATAACATAACCGAAGAACCAACGGAAAGTGAGTGCTCGCACAAGTAAGGGCACGGTGAGTCACTGCGGCTCAGGGGTGCTAGCTCACCCGCAGTGACATCCCGAGCTTGTCGTGTGAAAAAATCTCCGGTCTTAAAAAAGCGTTGAAATAAGCCAGCATAAATTGTCCACACTTACCTGCGTCGCCGCAAAGCCACCGCACAGTGTCCACCCGTCATTTTTACACTGTAGAGATACCCGAGGTAGTCAAAACTCAAATACAAGGCCCAGTATAGCAAGCCAAACAAAGACATCAACCAAACAGGGGTTAGGGTGCCAGGAATGAGTATGACATAATGCGGAAAACCGACACCCGCCAAGAACGAAGTACATGACAGATTCCATAAACGGAAACAAGAAAAAGGCCTGATGGGCATAAACCGAAAAGGAACAGATTAAGCTCACCACGAAAAAAACAACTGAGCAGTCGAGAACCGAATACAAACTCAAAGGCCAAACAAACTGAGACAGAGCGAGGGGGCCTCATGGGTTTTCTCCAGTCAAGACACCACGCAGCTAATTACCCAAAGACCAAACTAAGACAGAGGGGGGCCTGATGGATGCGTTTTCTTCAGTCAAGACCCCGCGCAGCTCTGCTTGTCTGTGAGTTATTTTCTTTGCTTGCAGCGTCAAACTTTGGGCCTTGAAGTGGGCTCCCTCTTACTTCAGACGCCAGCGGGGTCCGCGGTTTGCTTTTGCATTTTGCTCCGGGGTTCTCTTGAACTTCACGCAAGAGACACCCAGTCCAAGACAGAGGGCGCGCGGCGTCTTCTTATTAAAGAGGCCCGCCTCTAGCTTCCTAAGCTCTCAGCCCGTCCCCTATTCATCCCCAAAGCTGTCCAAGCTTTTCACGTTCTGGCAGGTGTTTCTTCTACTTTTTCTCCATTCTGCCTCTCAGCCTGTGCGTGGGTGGGCTTTTCCCAGCGCCACTCAGCCGGCGGCCCTGGCTTGGCTTGAGGTGGCGGCGCGTTCTTTCTGCATGCTGCAAGGCGCAAGCCTTGGCAAGCTGTAAGCCGCCGCCCCTCCTTCATAAAGAAAGCGCGACTGTGCGGGCTGTTGCCTGTGCAAGCTTTAACGCGTGAGAGAGGTGCCCCAAGCAAGCGAGCGGCGCAGGGGCTGGCGCCCGGTGCGAATGAAAGCGAGAACTTCAAAGGCGGGCACCCGTTGTTCCCCGTTTTCATTGCTCCCCCGCGGGCTCACCTCAGTTACAAGCAGACACCCGCGGGCGACCGCGCTCAGTGCGGGCCTGTGAGAATGAGACACGCAAAGCATCCCCAGCCCCGTGGCGGCGCCAGGGTGATCACTCTGCCAGGCCCGAGCGCTGCAGAAAAGCTCCAAAAAGCTCAACTCCAGCCGCCAAAGACAGAGGTCACAGCCCAAGCCGCTCTCTCTTTTCATGATACAGAATCAGCGCCGCGACCTCTATTTTGCATGAAAGGCCTTCGCCATGTCATGCAAAAACGTCAGAAAATGCGCAAGGCCTTTCTATTATTTCAGGGGCTCTGCAGTCGGTTGAAGGCGCCGCTTTTTTGGCACAGTCTGGACGCTTTTTGTGCCTCTTTTTCACTTGTTTCTAGTGCTGTCCCGCGACCTTCAGGCGGCCGCGCCTCGTTTTGGGCGTGGTCTGAGGGTCGCGGAATTCGCTTCACATTTGCGCGGCAATCCTTTCACAGTTCATCCCAAACAAGAAGCAAAACGGCACGCAACGCACTCGAACCCACCTCGCCTGGGATGCCTTTGGAATGAATTTCGAACAAATTTGAAACAGGCTCCACGACCTCCGGGGCGCGCTTAGAACAAAGCGCGGCGGCGCCGGCCCGAAGATCGCAAGACGGTACGAACAACAAGCGAAAAAGAAACACAAGAAGCGCCCAGAATGCACCAAAAAAGTGCCACTCAACCGCCTGCAGAAAACACAAAAAAAGAAGCAGACGCCTGCGCCCTTTTTGGCCTTTCGTTCCGCATGGCATGGCGGCGGCTTTTGGCGCACTTTCTTGGAGCAAAAAGCAGCAGCGCCAATCTCCTACCATCCAAGAGCAAAAGAACGCGGCTGCAGTTACCACCTGCCTTCCAGAATCCAGCTGAACTCTTTGAGGATTTTCTGGCGAGTTTATGCAAAAAGTTTCAAAATTTTGGAGAATGCTGGAGCCTGGCCAGCCTCGGCCTCCCTCAGGCGTTCGCCTTTTGCTTCTCCTCCTTGTAGTCCCAACTTTTTCCCCGATGGATTTTTCCAACAAGTTTGCCAGAAGCGGGCGCCCTCCGTATGCTTGCAAGCCCCACCCAGCACAAGCCGAGGCAGATGCAAGCGGCGACCCCGTGCCGGGGTGAACGGCGTCACACAAGAGACTGAGCGCCAGTCTTTTCAGCAGTTACGTCACTGCCCAAAAGCCTGAGCGACTGCTGAAAAGATTCGACAACTGCCGAAAGGGTCCTCCGCAATGCCAAAAAGACTCGGGCCCCCGAAGTTAACGGATAAACTGCCAGACACGCTAACAGGCTAACAGCTAGCGGCAAATTAACAGAAAAACAAAAACGAACGAGAACAGCTGCTAGCAGTCCAAGCTGCTCTTTTTAGCAGTCGAGAGCCCTCCTCTTAGCAATCGCGACTGCTCTCTTTAGGTACCAACCCCCGGGCGCCATGGATCCCTTTAGCAATCCCAGGGCCCCGCGGTTCTTTTTCGTAATGCGGGGCACCTTTTCAGCAATTCCAGGCCCCTTTTTGCCAGTCCCCCCGCCCAGTTCAGCCCACTAGCTGTAAGGCAAACAACTATACAAAGCAAGCGACCCGCACCACAACGCGGGGCCCCTTGACTTTGTTGCGCCGATGCGCATTATAAGCCGCTGCGCACCTATCTGGAAGCCACGCCGCCGCTAAGGAAGCCACGCAAAATTATTGCCAGACGCGACGGACGCGCCCACACGACTCGCCAGGCGCAACCATACACACCAGACGCGCGCCACACTACCCAGAACGGCGAGGACATGAGAGGCAACGGCAAACACACAAGACGCCAATAGGAAGCCCTCCCACACCCGCAAGACACTAACGGAAAGACACGACCGAGAAGCCCGCACCCACACGCCGCGGCCCGCGCCCTCTCGTCAGACAAAGCTCACACTCCCTCACCCGACGCGACTCCCACTCCCTCGCCAGGCATGACAGACTCGCACTCGCAAGGTAGGCGACGCGGCTCGCGTTCATCAGCCAGACCACTTCGGCCAACCTAAATCGCTAAAAATGCTAGAACTTTTCTAATTTCTAAGGCTGACGACACGAAAAGCACCAGGCGCCCCCGCATGTAAGCCCCCGCAAATGGAGTAACGGCGAAACCAAAGCAACAGAAGCCCAAAAGACAGCCGCAGAAACAGACACCAACCACGGGAACGAACGGCAGCCGACCGCAACACCTAGACACAAGCTGGAGACCAACAGCACGCACCTAAACACGACACCAGCAGACAGCCCGAGGACACGCAGTCGCAAGCCCACAGAGGCGCAAACGCGTCGCAACCACCAGAAGCCCCATCTGCTGCCGAATGCAGTCCCTCCCCCGAAGAGCCAGAAGGCCACAACCCCACCAGCAATGCCCGACCGATCCCACAAACGCAGCCAAGGCGGAAGATCCGAACCGAGGAGCCAAGAAGCCCAGCAAGCTCTAGCACCCATCGCGAAAAGCGAGCGCGGGAGCCGCGGTAGGTGGGACCGACCCGCGCGGGCAGCCATGCTATCCGCAGCAAGACTTCCGACGCAAGCCCCGCCCGACGACTCTCCAGGGGCCGGGAGCAACCTACCGAAAATCCAAAGCGACTGCGCGAAAGACACACGCCACCCACCGCGCCACGCACTTCGAGGAGACCGATCGCAGCAGAACAGCCTACCGAGGCACAGGCGTCCCTGCTTCGGGAGCCGATCCCAACACCCCAGCTCGCTTGGCTAGCTCATGGCCGAGTCCGGCGGCAGATGAGCGGCGGGGCCTGTGCGCACTTCTAAACTCTTAAAAAATGCGCTAACGCGCTAGGCTCGTCCGATTTCTAATTTGTTTCAGACCCGCTCCCGCTGGGAATCACTCTAATACTTTTCGAATTCAGCTTCTAACTTTTAAGGGGTGCAAAAAAAGAAACAACTTGCCCCCCCTGGCACCGCCGCGCCAAGGGGGTCCAAAATGGGCACCATTCGATTCTGCACCCCCGAGGCATTAGTGTCCAAACTATGACCCATGGCGAACCATGACCAACGCCGCCACTGATACCCGGAGCCTTTATTTGACCCCATTCCGCAGCGTCAGCGTCCTCCTTAGCTTGCTAACTGCTTAGGAGGTAAGCACAAGAACGAAGAACGACCAAGACAGAACAAGCACAACACAAGACACACGCAACAGGAGCCGCGTCGCATCGTATCCACTCTCTTCCCTTGTGCAGGTTTGATAGATGTTGCCTCAGTGACATCACGCGAGAAGTACGACACTAGGAGGGTCTGGGATGGCCTCAAGCTTGGGCCGGCTTAGTGTGGTCTATTACACAACTTAAAATATAAAGAGAACTGCCGCAGACGCAGCTACTACTGCCATTAGATCCAGATGAAGTTTTCAGAAAAATTAACTCAATCCCAGCAACTCTTTCCTAACCCGGTTTTTAGATTGAAAAAGAGAGACAGCCAGAGGCCACGACGAACGAAAAACACCAAAACAACAGAACCAGAACAAAACAGGACGCAAATAAGACCTACAGCCCATGCAGTCCGAGAGCAGGAAGATGCTGAGAAACTCGGTGCTCGATGACAGAAGTACCAGGCAAGAGAAGAGACATACATGGGCGCACGCTCGCTGAAACTTCTCGGTACGAAAGTCACGGTCAAGAACAAAAGGAACAGAAACACGACGGAGGGAGGAAGGCAAGGCGGAAAAGGCAAGGGCAGGTGCGACGGACCGATAGAAGCAGCCACGAGGAGGACCGAGGAAAGAGTAACACAGAAAAGACCGACCAAGACACAGAAGCGACCAACACAAAAGCGAAAACATCATCACGACGAACAAACCGCTCAAAATTAACCATCCAATATACGAATATAACTCCGAAGGATTTCTCAACACGGGTCCGAAGGACATAATCATTTCATATCACGAGAACACATCTTCTTCGTCCTTCCTCTTCATCTTAGAAATAACATCAACAAGGCCTTCGCCCTCCTCGTCCTCTCCTCTCGTTTTCTTTTCTAGTACTGCCAAGAAATTCAATCTAATTTTCTCCCGCCGCTAGTTAGGGCTCACAGGTGTTATTTTTGGTTTTTTCTTACAGTTTTAGCATTTTTAGCCATCCGACGCACCACACGGCGCACGCTTCCGTTTCACACTACTGCCGCTGCTGTTTTTAAACAATTTTAAGAATGGAAAGCCTTTACTGTTCTGCCTCCGATTAAGTATCTGGCACTGGGAACACTGGTGGCCACAGAGGGGCAGACAAACTCCTCAAAGCCGGCCACACTCGGGTGACGAGTTCGGATAAAAGCGAAATCTGTCAAGCCAATGCCTGCTGGTGTAGAAAAGAAGGCCCGGACGCTGTCCGCCAAAGGTCTGACTGTCCTCATCCTTGGCGAGACTTGTCCACTGTGCTGTCGATCTTTGACTCTCATCAAGTTCTCTTCCTTGCTTGGTCGAGTGCGATCTCCAAGAGCTCTCAAGGATGGCGCCCCAGACTTGGACACTCTTCCTCCCGGTCGATTACGATTCTCGATGGTGTTGAAGCTTCTCACTCAGGTCCTTACTTCGCCGAGGTCTACGGTGCCAAACTATCACATCCCTACTTTTTTGCGTGGTTTTCCTACATAACATATTTTCAATTTTCATTTTTTTCTATTCTTATCCGCGTTGAGTCGAGCACCGGCCCCCACCTCGTTGCGCTGAAGCTGCTTGGCCGACTCTCGAACGTGTCCAGCGTCTTTTCGCGGACTTTCTCGATGCTGAACAAGACACGGCTTCCCAAGAGGCTAAAGAGTGCGACCATGGTGGGGGCTTGGTACTTATTCAAAGCGACGCGCTTCATGTTTCTTGGTGAGATTCAACGGCCTCGCAGGGGCCCTCTATGCTGCCACGCCTCTACTCGAAGCCAGCGCCTTGCGTTCATCTCTCTCCGAATGAGCGCAACGCCGAACGAGTGCCCTGGAGTTCTACTAGTTGAGCTGCTGCCCAAGCAACCTCGCCAGGGGCTCAGCCTCATGCGCCTCAGTCTAAAACGATGGCAGTCATAACCGTTTTTTTAGTTTTGGCCCGGCCGTCAGCATAACTAAGCAGAAGCCCCATGCCCTAAAAATGAGCAACAGACCTGACCACCATAGAAAAAAGCTCTCCCCCGGTTAGCTTACCAATTTCCAAGCCACTGGAACTACATACTCACGACTCGCACACATTGGCTGCGAATTGACGCCAGCACAAGTAAGCACGACTGTCTTCAAGTTTGGAATGGGTTCGACATATCCTCAGCACTCTCATGCGCTACGCGGGCGCCCCACTCTCATAGCAGAAAACGCGTCGCATGGTCCTGCTATTTGCCTTCGCTCAAATACAGAACAAAAGCTTTCCAACTTCGGGCAGCTGCCCTCCGTTAGTTATCCTCAACAGCAAGCATGCGCGCGACTCTTCTGCAAATGAGAAAGAGTCTGACCCCGTTAGGCTTAGCTAACTTTCGCCATAATAGCTAAACTACGTGGCCGCCGCTCGTAAAAGCAGGCGCGTCCAACGGAGGCCCTTCCGTTCATAATGCATAGCCGCGAAAAAGCCCGCCAGCTCCCTAGTATGTAAGCTTGGCGCCTGCGCTAAAGCAAGCACCAGGAGACACTTAAGGGCAGCTAGCCTCTCCTCAGTCTTATTCATTTTCTATGATGCGAAAGGCTGGGCCTGAAAATGGAAGACACTAACTGGCAGCTCAAGGCCATTTACTAAGAGATGAGAAGTGCCTCCACCAAAATTGAAACATAGAAGTGCAGTCTTTTCCCCCTGCACCAAAACACACCTAGCCACCCTCCCTGCCATTCATCTGCAACAACAAGGGCAACAGCGTGTGGCGAGCCCGCTTCTCCGTAGGGGTCGGGGTCTCCTCCGCAGTCGCCCGCAGGCACTACATAGCTGAGAAAGATTGCCCGAGAAAGCAAGGCCTACGTCTGTCAGGAGGGCTGAGAATGCAACGCGGTAAGATTCATAAGCATAGAAGTTTCTTCCCAAAAAGTCTACGCCTCATCTCTATCAAAATAATGGAAGCTCATGGCGTCGCTCCCTCGTGTTTTTTCATTCTTCCCAAAAATTTTACTTCTATTGACAAGCCGACGGCGACTCGCGCCGCCGCGCTTCCTTTTCATACTGCTGCGCGCTATGTTATCTATCTACAGAGAGCCCCATCCTTCAAGCCGATCCGCGTTTTTGCTTGATGAGCGACGACGGCAGGCGCGCTGGCTCTTCATATTAGTTACTACGCTTCACGCTTTTTCTATCTACAGAAGGCCCCACCAAGTGAGGCGGGCATACGTTTTTGCTTGCTGTTGTGACTACTCAGCATAGCTGAGGCCTACATACGGTGGAAAATTACACATCCTACGGTCGAGCACACTCCTTGGGACAAATTGTCGCTAGAAGCAACGCGCTGCTGCGGAGAAATCACAAGAAATTGGAACTGGTAACGTTGGTAGCGACCATGACAGAATGGGCGTCAAGAGCTCGACGAGATGCCGACCCTGAGACAGTCCCACTAGAATCATGTGACCCCCTTGGCGTGTTGCATGTACCCGACCGACCTGCCTACTCGAAAAACTGAAGTAAGCGAGTAACTGATCAGAATAACCGAGATACTGATGAGAAAGAAGAGCAACCACTTGGCGCTAAGCTACCTCCCTTATTTCAGTCAGTAACTCGGTTAGTTTGAGGTGCCGACAAATCCTCGACAGCCCTCCGGGACCTCCTGACACGCCCTCTTAAATGTCTCACAATCCTTTTTAAAATCACTTCCAGCATTTTCCGGCGACCAGGTACGCCTAGCTAGGACACACAGGGCACTCGTGTCATCCGCACCTTTCACGGCCAGCCCCAGGAAGAACAAAAAGAGGAGACCCAGAATAATGCATAAGACAGTAAGAGAAAAAGGGTCAAACTCCAGCCTGGTTTGCAGAAACGAGCCACGCACCAAGGAAGCCGAGAGGCCAGCCCCTGTTAGCGAGGCCGCGCCCTCTTTATGCTGGAGAAAGAGGCAAGCGAGCTGGGCGCGCCCCTTGTATGCACATGCGTGACCACTTTTTTCCGCGGTTCCAATTATGGCAATTTCCTGCACCCCCAAAGGCTCCTCATGCTCGCTGACCACGACTTCCGCGTCGTCTAGCCCCTCTCCCCCTTCCCCCTCTTCCGCTCCGTTTTCGTAAAAGAGCTCCCTGGCTGCCTTCGCGTCCTCTTTACGAGGCCCTGCACCCGGGAAGAAGATCCCCTTTGACCCACCTCCTGGAGATTCCTCGTACTCTCGGATGACCTTCGTCAAGACCGGAGAAAGCTCGGCGCAGCTCTGCTTCAGCTTCGCTGCCCAAGCCCTGCGAAAAAAGCCAAGAACCTTCGCGACCCTTCCTTTGGATTGGTTTCCACAGGTCTCCAACATGCTGCCCGGTAGCTTCACGCTCAGCCCCAGCTGAAAGCGAAAAGCGAGGCCGCGCGGGCTGTAAGGAGCCGGGATGGGCTTCGCCACCGATGTCGTACGCACAAAGCGGCCCCACTTGGATCTGCTGGCCTTTTCCACGCCGACCAGTCTTGTGTACGTCTCCTCAAGGTCCGACCACGTTGGCCCCCATTGCTGTTTTCCATCTTCGTAACGACGTGCGGCCAGGATGATCTGTCGACCGTACGCTTTCGGCAGTAGATAAAACTCAACCGCCTCTCTCTCCTTCCAGAAAACGGCCAGCCACACATCCTCCCTATCTCCCTCATACTGCAGCACGCGCGAGGACTCTGCCAGGCGTGTTACACAATCACCGTCCAAGAACCCGTTGCCAAGCGTCGCGAGGACGCGAGTGGCCATATATTTGCCGTGCGTGCACAGACGCCTAAGCGCCTCCTTTTGCTTTTTATCGCCTGCTGCTCCAAGTCGGTGGACCCATTTAATCCGATCTGGGTGCGCCGCCCCACCTCCTCCACCACAATCGCAGCCCGCCGAGGACCCACAACCACAGTCAGACAGCTGAAAAAACCCATCGTCGTGAGCCACCGCGCCCGCCCTGGTTTCGTTCCAGGTATCAGGGGCCACCCCAATCTGCAGGAGGCCATTGCCCTGGGCCACTTCGTCGCCGGGTTTGTCGACATCCGGGGCCTTTTTAGGCTGGCTCGTCGTGAGGGTTGGAGAATCCAGCTCCAGGGGAAAGACCACCCCAGCCCCGGAAAGCCCAGCGGCCGCAATACCTGAAAGACAAGGGGCGCCGCGATCCATAACTCAAGGCAGAGGCGGCGACTGGTAGAGGCTTCCCCCGGTATCTATTTAATTATCCAAAGACGTATAGACTAAAAGTTGTAAACCCAGGCGGTAAGTGATCTGCTGAAATCCATGTAGTAGAAGTTGATCTTCAGAAGAAAACTCCCACGTAGCGCTACCTTCCTGTGGTAGGTATTCTCTTGTGGCTGTATGGAATGGAGGAAGGAAAGATTAGCCTGAATAAAGCATGATTAAAACAACTAAGGAAGTCCAAAGGCCAGCGACCAAGCAAGGGCGGGGAGGGTGGACCATAAACAAAACTTAAATAGGTTAAGATAGCTAGTGCGGATATTTGGCACACTACTGCCACCTGAGGTCTCACTGACAGGAAAACATAAGGAAACACAAGTAGGCCAGAAGGAAAGAGAAAGGATAACATAACCGAAGAACCAACGGAAAGTGAGTGCTCGCACAAGTAAGGGCACGGTGAGTCACTGCGGCTCAGGGGTGCTAGCTCACCCGCAGTGACATCCCGAGCTTGTCGTGTGAAAAAATCTCCGGTCTTAAAAAAGCGTTGAAATAAGCCAGCATAAATTGTCCACACTTACCTGCGTCGCCGCAAAGCCACCGCACAGTGTCCACCCGTCATTTTTACACTGTAGAGATACCCGAGGTAGTCAAAACTCAAATACAAGGCCCAGTATAGCAAGCCAAACAAAGACATCAACCAAACAGGGGTTAGGGTGCCAGGAATGAGTATGACATAATGCGGAAAACCGACACCCGCCAAGACCGAAGTACATGACAGAAACCACAAACGGAAACAAGAAAAAGGCCTGATGGGCATAAACCGAAAAGGAACAGATTAAGCTCACCACGAAAAAAACAACTGAGCAGTCGAGAACCGAATACAAACTCAAAGGCCAAACAAACTGAGACAGAGCGAGGGGGCCTCATGGGTTTTCTCCAGTCAAGACACCACGCAGCTAATTACCCAAAGACCAAACTAAGACAGAGGGGGGCCTGATGGATGCGTTTTCTTCAGTCAAGACCCCGCGCAGCTCTGCTTGTCTGTGAGTTATTTTTTTTGCTTGCAGCCAGCGCCAAACTTTGGGCCTTGGAGTGGGCTTCCTCTTACTTCAGACGCCAGCGGGGTCCGCGGTTTGCTTTTGCATTTTGCTCCGGGGTTCTCTTGAACTTCACGCAAGAGACACCCAGTCCAAGACAGAGGGCGCGCGGCGTCTTCTTATTAAAGAGGCCCGCCTCTAGCTTCCTAAGCTCTCAGCCCGTCCCCTATTCATCCCCAAAGCTGTCCAAGCTTTTCACGTTCTGGCAGGTGTTTCTTCTACTTTTTCTCCATTCTGCCTCTCAGCCTGTGCGTGGGTGGGCTTTTCCCAGCGCCACTCAGCCGGCGGCCCTGGCTTGGCTTGAGGTGGCGGCGCGTTCTTTCTGCATGCTGCAAGGCGCAAGCCTTGGCAAGCTGTAAGCCGCCGCCCCTCCTTCATAAAGAAAGCGCGACTGTGCGGGCTGTTGCCTGTGCAAGCTTTAACGCGTGAGAGAGGTGCCCCAAGCAAGCGAGCGGCGCAGGGGCTGGCGCCCGGTGCGAATGAAAGCGAGAACTTCAAAGGCGGGCACCCGTTGTTCCCCGTTTTCATTGCTCCCCCGCGGGCTCACCTCAGTTACAAGCAGACACCCGCGGGCGACCGCGCTCGGCGCGGGCCTGTGAGAATGAGACACGCAAAGCATCCCCAGCCCCCGTGGCGGCGCCAAGGTGATCACTCTGCCACGGCCGAGCGCTGCAGAAAAGCTCCAAAAAGCTCAACTCCAGCCGCCAAAGACAGAGGTCACAGCCCAAGCCGCTCTCTCTTTTCATGATACAGAATCAGCGCCGCGACCTCTATTTTGCATGAAAGGCCTTCGCCATGTCATGCAAAAACGTCAGAAAAGGCGCAAGGCCTTTCTATTATTTCAGGGGCTCTGCAGTCGGTTGAAGGCGCCGCTTTTTTGGCACAGTCTGGACGCTTTTTGTGCCTCTTTTTCACTTGTTTCTAGTGCTGTCCCGCGACCTTCAGGCGGCCGCGCCTCGTTTTGGGCGTGGTCTCAGGGTCGCGGAATTCGCTTCACATTTGCGCGGCAATCCTTTCACAGTTCATCCCAAACAAGAAGCAAAACGGCACGCAACGCACTCGAACCCACCTCGCCTGGGATGCCTTTGGAATGAATTTCGAACAAATTTGAAACAGGCTCCACGACCTCCGGGGCGCGCTTAGAACAAAGCGCGGCGGCGCCGGCCCGAAGATCGCAAGACGGTACGAACAACAAGCGAAAAAGAAACACAAGAAGCGCCCAGAATGCACCAAAAAAGTGCCACTCAACCGCCTGCAGAAAGCACAAAAAAGAAGAAGACGCCTGCGCCCTTTTTGGCCTTTCGTTCCGCATGGCATGGCGGCGGCTTTTGGCGCACTTTCTTGGAGCAAAAAGCAGCAGCGCCAATCTCCTACCATCCAAGAGCAAAAGAACGCGGCTGCGGTTGCCACCTGCTCTCCAGAATCCAGCTGAACTCTTTGAGGATTTTCTGGCGAGTTTATGCAAAAAGTTTCAAAATTTTGGAGAATGCTGGAGCCTGGCCAGCCTCGGCCTCCCTCAGGCGTTCGCCTTTTGCTTCTCCTCCTTGTAGTCCCAACTTTTTCCCCGATGGATTTTTCCAACAAGTTTGCCAGAAGCGGGCGCCCTCCGTATGCTTGCAAGCCCCACCCAGCACAAGCCGAGGCAGATGCAAGCGGCGACCCCGTGCCGGGGTGAACGGCGTCACACAAGAGACTGAGCGCCAGTCTTTTCAGCAGTTACGTCACTGCCCAAAAGCCTGAGCGACTGCTGAAAAGATTCGACAACTGCCGAAAGGGTCCTCCGCAATGCCAAAAAGACTCGGGCCCCCGAAGTTAACGGATAAACTGCCAGACACGCTAACAGGCTAACAGCTAGCGGCAAATTAACAGAAAAACAAAAACGAACGAGAACAGCTGCTAGCAGTCCAAGCTGCTCTTTTTAGCAGTCGAGAGCCCTCCTCTTAGCAATCGCGACTGCTCTCTTTAGGTACCAACCCCCGGGCGCCATGGATCCCTTTAGCAATCCCAGGGCCCCGCGGGTCTTTTTCGTAATGCGGGGCACCTTTTCAGCAATTCCAGGCCCCTTTTTGCCAGTCCCCCCGCCCAGTTCAGCCCACTAGCTGTAAGGCAAACAACTATACAAAGCAAGCAACCCGCACCACAACGCGGGGCCCCTTGACTTTGGTGCGCCGATGCGCATTATAAGCCGCTGCGCACCTATCTGGAAGCCACGCCGCCGCTAAGGAAGCCACGCAAAATTATTGCCAGACGCGACGGACACGCCCACACGACTCGCCAGGCGCAACCATACACACCAGACGCGCGCCACACTACCCACAACAGCGAAGACATGAGAGGCAACGGCAAACACACAAGACGCCCATAGCAAGCCCTCCCACACCCGCAAGACACTAACGGAAAGACACGACCGAGAAGCCCGCACCCACACGCCGCGGCCTGTGCCCTCTCGTCAGACACAGCTCACACTCCCTCACCCGACGCGACTGCCACTCCCTCACCAGGCGTGACAGACTCGCACTCGCAAGGCGACGCGGCTCACGTTCATCAGCCAGACCACTTCGGCCAGCCTAAGTCGCTAAAAATGCTAAAATTTTTCTAGTTTCTAAGGCTACCGACACGAAGAGCACCAGGCGCCCCCGCGTGTAAGCCCCCGCGAATGGAGTAACGGCGAAACCAAAGCAACTACAGGAGCCCAAAAGGCAGCCGCCGAAACAGACACCAACCACGCGAATGAACGGCAGCCGACCGCAACACCTAGACACAAGCTGGAGACCAACAGCACGCTCGCCCCTAAACACGACACCAGCAGACGGCCCGAGGACACGCTGTCGCAAGCCCACAGAGGCGCAACCACCAGAAGCCCCATCTGCTGCCGAGTGCAGTCCCTCCCTCGAAGAGCCAGAAGGCCACAACCCCACCAGCAATGCCCGACCGATCCCACAAACGCAGCCAAGGCGGAAGATCCGAACCGAGGAGCCAAGAAGCCCAGCAAGCTCTAGCACCCATCGCGAAAAGCGAGCGCGGGAGCCGCGGTAGGTGGGACCGACCCGCGCGGGCAGCCATGCTATCCGCAGCAAGACTTCCGACGCAAGCCCCGCCCGACGACTCTCCAGGGGCCGGGAGCAACCTACCCAAAATCCAAAGCGACTGCGCGAAAGACAAACGCCACCCACCGCGCCACGCACTTCGAGGAGACAGATCACAGCAAGACAGCCTACCGAGGCACAAGCGTCCCTGCTTCGGGAGCCGATCCCAGGACCCTAGTTCGCTTGGCTAGCTCATGCGCACTTCTAAACGCTTAAAAAAATGCGCTAACGCGTTAGGCTTATCCGAGTTCTAATTTGTTTCAGACCCGCTGGGAATCGCTCTAATGTCTTTCGAATTCAGCTTCTAACTTTTAATGGGTGCAAAAAAAGAAACAACTTGCCCCCCCCTGGCACCGCCGCGCCAAGGGGGTCCAAAATGGGCACCATTCTGCACCCCCGAGACATTAGAGCCCAAACTATGACCAATGGCGAACCATGACCCAAGCGAGCCGCCACTGATATCCGGAGCCTTTATTTGACCCAATTCCGCAGCGCCCGCGTCCTACTTTCTTAGCGAACTACTTAGGAGGTAAGCACAAGAACGAAGAACGACCAAGACAGAACAAGCACAACACAAGACACACGCAACACGAGCGGCATCGCATCATATCCATTCTCTTCCCTGGTGCAGGTTTGGTAGATGTTGCCTCAGTGACATAACGCGAGGAGCACGATACTGGGAGGGCCTGGGATGGGCTCAAGGTTGGGCCGGCTTCGTGTGGTCTATTACACAAATCAGAAGAAAACTAGAACCCCCCCCAGGGGGGGGGCCTGAAAACAGTTAGCATTCGAGCTAGCCTATCACATTAGAAAAATTTAAGCCCCGCCTAACCCCCCTGCTATACCCCAAAATTAGAACTACATACTAGGTAGACGCTGAAAATTAGACTTAGAACTAAATGGTAGAGCTATATACAACTAGAACTAAATACTAGAAAAAAAGTTAGAAACTGCCACCCGGGGCTGGCGCTTGCGCTCGAGAGAGAGCCCACCCCGGCACGCTCCGCCAAGCAACATCCCCCCACCCGCGGCGAAGAAACGAAAACACAGAAAGGGGCCCGCCCTCCGCGCGCTCCCCAGCTAGCGATGACTTACTCGACACCGCACCATCAGAAGAGGTCTCTCGCAAGTGAAAGAAAGACTGACGCACCGACAGCCAGGGGGGCGTCACCACAAGCAAGCACACGCCCTCCCTTGTGCACAGACCTCGCTGAACACCGCGAAAGAGCCCACTGCGACGCACCAACAACAACGACTACGACACGCAGGCAGAACCTAGAAACAAACGAGAAACCCACCCCCGACGCCGAGCACGAAGACAGAGAAAGCAGCGACAAGCCCCCGCCCCCGCTTCTCAAGAGGCCGCGCCCCCTGTCCACCGAACAACCATGAGCGCCACAGCCCTCCGCAGAAGCCGACCGAGGTGGCGTCGCGGCGACCTGTCACACCAAAGACCCCTGACAGCCTGCACGCCGCAGCGCTCCGACCTCAACAAAGACGCGAAAAAGTGGCCAGCTCGAAGCGCCGCGACCACACTAACCAAACGAGTAGACACCACAAAGGCAGAACTTTGACCGGCACACTTTAGCCAGAAGAGCTGCCCAGGCGTGTCCGCCTGACGTTCACACCCACAAGACGCAGCCAACACTCACACGACACGGCTGACACTCACAAGACGCTGCCCACACTCACAAGACGCAGCTGGCACGCAAGCTCAAACCCGCAGGACGCACACGACTCGAACCCGCAAGGAGACACGACCCACCAACGCGACCCGCAAGATATGTCGCGTGCGACTCACAAGGCGCGACAGACTCACACTCGCGAGGCTCGCGGTGCGCAAGCGCATGCAAGACGCCCGCGAATCGCACGCACTCGCATGCAAGGCGCGACTGACGCTCGCACTCGCACTCGCACTCGCACTCGCACGCAAGACGCGCCTAGCACTGCAACCGGACTCGCATGCAAGACGCGACCCACTCACGCTCGCACTCGCACGCAAGACGCGACCCACACCCGCACGCAAGACCAAGCGCGGCAAGACTGCACTCACACGCAAGACTCGGCCTGCACTCGCAAGACACAGCCCACACTCGCGAGACACAGCCCGCACTCGCAAGACAGAAGACACGACTCACACCCACAAGACAAGAGACGCGGCTCGCACTCACATGGCGCGGCGGCTTGCACGATGCGGCCCGCACTCGCAAAGCGCGTGCGACCCACAAGACACGGCCCCGCTTGCACGCGCAGAGCCGCCCCGCATTCACACGCGAGACGCGACCCGCAAGAGGCGGCCCCCACTCGCACGACGCGGCTCGCACTTGCGCTCGCACTCACAAGACCAGACGCACGCGGCCCGCACTCACAAGGCGCGAATCGCAAGGCGCGGCTCGCACTCGCAAGACGCAGCCCGCACTCGCGAGACGCCCGCAGCGCACAGTCGCGGGACGCAGCTCACACTCACACGCAGCACGCGGCTCGCACTCACAAGACACACACACGACTCGGCGTCGCAATCGCACTCGCAAGACGCCGCACGCGCTCGCAAGACGCGCCACACGCTCGCGAGACGCTGACGCGGCCCACACTCACAAGGTGCGGCTCGCACTCACAAGGAAGACCGAGGGCGCAGCTCGCTTCTTTCACACTCGCAGGATGGACGCGGCCCGCGCTCGCACTCGCAAGACGCGGCACACACCCGCAAGGCGCGCGCAAGTCGCACTCACAAGACCCGACCCACACCCGCAAGACGCGGCGCGTACTCCCAAGATAAGGCGCACACTCACAAGACGCGGCCCGCCCTCGCAAGACGCGGCCCACGCACACTCACAAGAAGGCACGGCCCACACTCACAAAGAGACGCGACACCCACTCAAGGGGACGCGACTCGCACTCGCAAGAAGACGCGGCTAACACCCACAAGACACGACTCGCAGGACCCGGCTCGCACTCACAAGCAAGACACGACCCGCACCCACGCGCAAGACGCGGCCCGCACCACGCGCAAGATAGACGCAGCCCGCACTCCCTCGCATGACGCAACTCGCAAGACCAGACGCGGCCCACACTCACAAAACGCGACCCGCACCCACAACACGACGCGACTCGCGCACTCCACTCGCAAGACGCGGCTCGCACTCGCGGGCGCGACTCACGCGCGCACTCGCAGGGCGCGACTTGCAAGGCGCGAATCTCGCTCACACTCGCGCGACGCGCCTCACACTCGCAAGACGCGGCCCACACTCGCAGGACGCGCTTCGCAGCTGTAAGACGCGGCGCGCACTTACAAGGTGCGACTTTTGAAAGCGGCCCACGCTCGCAGTGCGCGGTTCGCTCTCCTCGCGGGACGCGACTCCCACGACTCGGCTCGCACTCACAAACCGCAGCCCTCCCATCACTCGCGCGACGCTTCTCACACTCGCAGGACTCGACTCACACGGCGCACGCGCGCGCTCGATCGCCAGCAACGCTCCATTTTGACACACACAGGAAACAACTCGCGCCCACATCGGGATGGGCGCGCCTTGGTCGCCCTGGCGGCCCCTTCCTTGCCCGACACGAGTGGCAGCCCCGCATCGGCATCCCTCCCAGCCCCTTGCTTCTCTGCAGCCGCCAGGCTTTTAACTGAAACTGCTCGGAAGTTTTCTTAACTGCCTAAGAGTTACATGCCCACATCTTTGCATGCCCGAGCGGGTGAATAAGACGAGGGCGAACACACAGACGAGGCGGCCGATCGAGTGGAAAACAAAAGCAAGAGTCACAAACAAGCGCCGTAATAGGATGAGCGACGCGCGACATCAGTCGCAGACCCTGACGGAGTCACGTCTTTTCTTCAAGCACGGCAGTCAGCTTATAAGCCGCGCGCGCCTACTGTTCTTAGAGCTCACCACAATCCCCCTGCAATTTAATCCTAAGACTGTTTCCCCCTTGAAGACGTCGCGAAGATGCTGCTGAAGATGCATGATTACGGGAAGCCGTCAAGCCACAAGCAGCTTATCTAACAAAGGCATCACGGTGGCTGGCATATATTTCACCCGATTCATTCCAATAAGACACAAAAACAGCAAAGTCGCCAGGAATAGCGCAACGCTCTACATAGCCAAGAATGAATAGCACCAGCTGCTGGCCCGTGGGAGCTGGTAGGACTGGTAGAGGAAGCCGTGGTCGTAGTTTCCAGAAAAAATCCGCCCCGGAGATTAGCTTTACCACGCTGGGCGTGTGGCGTTGTAGCGCCAGTAGCCTTATCCTGCGCCACAATGGCGAGAGGGTGGGGGCCAAGGTCAGACGCGGCATTAAATCCAGCACCAAGCGTTCCCGGCTCGCGACCCAGTTGCGAAGTGAAGTTACCGCCACTACCTTCTACCACGTCACGACAGGGACCCTCCGCAGAGACGCAATCCGCATTCTCAGTGCCCAGCGGCTGCGCCGTTTGTTTTAGAGTGTTCTGGGGGTCATCTCGGTCCCCGCATCTTGATGCCTTTGCCCATGTGTTTCAACATGGGAATAGAGGCGGGGCGAGGGGTGTCAAGATGCTGAGTAGTAGTAGTGTAGTAGTAGTGTGCCGAATCGTGAGACACAGAAGAGTTGTTAAATTAACAAAAGCCGGGCATCATAATTGCTGTTTTGCGGCCGCTTCTGGAAAAAAAAGCGGAAAGCACAAGGTCAGACCAAGCATCGAGAGGAGCAGATTTAAAAGCGGCACGATCACCATCACTGTTACCAGGTGCCGAGCCCCCGCGGCTTTCATCGTAGGCTGAGACATCTTCTCGTCGTTGGGAAAGCGAGACACTAGAGGGGTCAAACTGCAACTTTATGGCTGGAGAAGTTTGCGTCGTAGCGAGGTTCTTCTAAGAACTAAAAAGACAACGATTTCAAGAGCTACGCAGAAACGTACGACACGACCAAGAGGACTCTTTAATGTTGTGACACTCTGAACAAAGTCGAGAGCCTTTAATGCTGTTGTTGCGATTCTAGGAACATCTACTGAGCAACAGAGTATGTAGAAAGATATCGAGAAAGGAAACAAGATGGCACCTACAGCTAAGCTATATGAAGTGAGTAGCTTTCGTTTTTAAATCTTCGATCGTCCTCCTTTTTAGATTAGATAGCGGATGTAACAAGTACACTGACTCGAAACGAGTACGATCTTTAGTGGTATCAGAAATGTTTTTTTGAACTTCTATGAAATGTTTTTCTTGGACTTTGAAAATACTTAAATTGTTACTTTCCTCCTTGATGAAGATACTAGTTGTAGAATTTTAACAAGTTGCTTTCTTGGTGTTGTTTTCTTGATTTTTGGGTTGCGAGGAATGATCGCAAGATCAGCCACCTCTTTTTCTTTGCTCGCCTGAGGGGTTTTTTGGGTTTTGGATGTGAAAGCTTGTTGTTATGGAACCGAATATAATGAACACTCCTTGACTCAATGAGTGACTCGTCTGAAACTAATCACTTCTACGTGAGTACGAGCGTCAGAGTGGCTGAACCCAAAGTCACATAGTGGGTGCAGAAGCCAATCAATCAAATATCAGAAGGTCCGTCGCATCAATTAATATCAAATAAAATGAGTGTAGAGCTACATCTAGATCATGGTCTGTCACTCAAATGCATGCGTCGCGAAAGACTCAACAGAAGTAGACTTCATCTCCACAGAGGTTGTACAAGCAGAGGCTGTAGAAGTAGCTGCTCCTGTCTCTCATCTGTAACTCGTCTCCTCGTAGCTCGCCCTCATCATTTCATATCACCAGAACACATCTTCTTCATCCTCTTCATCTTAGAAATAACATCAACAAGGCCTTCGCCCTCCTCGTCCTCTCCTCTCGTTTTCTTTTCTACTGCCAATTCAATCGAATTTTCTCCCGCCGCTAGTTAGGGCTCACAGGTCAACATAGTCTCAGAATCCAAGTAGAAGGAAACGAAAAGTGATGACCTGAATCATATCAAGCCTATATTACCAAGGCCGCAGTACTAGAATGGGTCACATTCCGTCTACTCGTCTTCTCATCAACTCACTCCGTGTCCGTGTTTAAGTTCGCGGTCAGTATTAAACTCGGATGCTTTTCAGGAGCATGTGTCAACATTATAAAATTGGGAGTAGATCAGGTGACGATCAGCACATCAGTGTAGCTGAGCCGCATGATGTGCCAGAAAATATAACCGAAGATTATGGGAAGACCCATTCATGCATGTGCCCCACCCAGGCCAACACTACGCCTCTAATCTGGGAAGAAATCCACCTAAATAATCAAATATGACAGAAAGTGTATCCTTTGTGTGTTGGCGGCCAAAAGATGCGCATTATATCGGGAATTGATCTTGGAGATGTGCCAAAGATGCAGGACTACACGAGTCAGGTAGAAGCCTGGTGGAGTTTTCATTTTCTCTTAAGCACCACTACTACTTTAGGAGGAGGAGGAGCAGTAGTAGTAGCAGGGGTAAGTTCAACAACAGTGGAAGGGTTGAGCCTACACCAATATATAAAAATCTCAAACGGCCACGACATGTGGAGTTGTTTCTAGCGAGCAAGGTGAAACAAAAAATATTAACGATTGAAACCGAAGAAGACCAAAATCGTTAATATATTCTCTCAAACAGATTGGGTGGAACTAATTATAAGATGAATTGAGCAACAAGTTGTGTCACGCTCTCCTCCACAGACCGACTGTGCTTCGAGTTGTATTTCCTGCTTGTTTATTCCCGGGGACACGGACATGGCCATACCGAAATAAACTTCGGCGCGCAATCTTCTATTGCGACTTCCTCTTTTTCTTAATCTCCTTTCCTTGGGCTCTCCTCACAGGGACAAGGAGTCGTGGTAATATTAGTAGTCATTTGTAGGCAGAAGAACAAAAAATACATGGGAAACCGAAGGACACTCTTCTTGCTTTCTATCCTCTCGAGCTGGTCGTCCTCTAGTGCGGAATGATTTGCTTAGAACATCGTTGTTACTTAGAAGAGCACCGCGAGGACACAAGAATATCCTGGGTAGATCACCGCGATGCAAAGCGACTGTTGAGGATGTGAAAAAGGCTCAAATATGACGTTGTGTAACAGCAAGGGTTGCATGGTCATTGTGTAGCAAGGGTTGCGTCGTCATTGTGTAGCGAAGGTTGCGTCGTAGTTGTATGACAAGCAAACTCTTGATGGCCATCTAGTTGTAAGGTTACCAAGAAATTGGAGCACCATCAGTCACATGACATGGGGCATCAGTCACATGAGGTATCAGTCACGGGGATGATTCTACTACGTACTACTGGAAAGTAGTACTAGTAGTAGTTTACCGATTCCCATTCGAGGGGTAAGCGATCCTTGGTCCCCTCATCTCCTCCTCCTACTCGTGGCTCGTCCTACCACTCGTGGACCCCTCCTGCTACCGCGGATCCAGCTATTCCCGCTTTTTTACCAGTCGTTTATCATAGTACAAGGTGTAGAAATGCAGGCACATGGCGCGCGCGAGTCCCCAATTTATTATGTACCTGTTGTAGATATATTATGAGACGAAGTACAAGCTGCACTGTTGTAGACGAAGGACTTTGGTAGTACAAATCAGGCGATTTTGATTAAACATGATCTACTTGAATTGATAACATTGATCGAACATGATGAAAGAATGCACATGTTTATGATATATGTTACGAGGAGTAAAAATATTTATGAGGTGAATATTAAATAAATATATAATTATGACTCTCATCTTTGGCCGCCTTAGAACATCAATAATAGGAACAGTATTATAAATAAATATATAATTATGACTCTCATCTTTGGCCGCCTTAGAACATCAATAATAGGAACAGTAATTTTCAAATAATAAGTGAGACGAGGTAGATTTTCGTCTTCTTGAGACAAACGCAAAAATCAAAACAACTATTGTGATATCCAACCAGGGGAAACTCGGTCACAACCACTTGTTGAAAAAAAAGACACGACCAATTATCTTCTTTTTTAGTATTTGTATTGAATCATTACAGCGGTGGCATACTTCAGGAAGGGTGAAAGTAAGGTGGTTCAATCATTCATCAAAAGCGAGAAAAAAGAAGTAAGTGCATCAACTAGTTCTACTAGCGTGCCTGTTCATCAGCTTGAAGCAGGATCCTGTTTTTGAAAGATCATGTTTGACTCCCAGTTGATAACTCCTGCCTGTTCATCAGCTTGAAGCAGGAACAACGAACGGATCATTACATTCATTGAGTATAGTACGGAAATGAAAAGGTAAGTACATGATGAAATTGATGAGACACGGGTCCTTCACGTCCTGATAGGTCCGAAAGAGCAAGGCAAAGCTCCCGATTCCTGTAGCGCAACTGCATATTAGACGAGATCGAACAGCAGTATAAGCAACTACGAATGATTATTATTATAGCTATTGGAGAACAGGAACCGCAGGCCTCCCCTAGACCTGATGATGTCATCCTGAAGAAGCCTGATCTAGATGGATTCCTCTGAAGCTTCAACTTGCTAGCGACAGGAGAGGGCGAATCTGAGATTGAAGATATCTCCCACCATTTCTTGATGAGGTCTTGGCNGGCCAGCTTCCCAGCCTTGGCGAGCAGACTTGGCGACTTTTTTCGTTTGTCTTTCTGTCTCTTAGTGGTCAACCTGTCTAGTTGTTAACCTATGCCCAGCGCAGCGGGCCCTTGATGGGCCCGCTTTCTGGGCATGTAAATATATGTCGGAAGATTATTAACTGCGTGATTGTTGTACCCACTGGAGAAGGGGACTCATTTTTTGTCTCGCGTAGGACTTTACGCTTATCTGCCCCACGCCGGTGCTACGGATAATTTCAAGCACTAGCTATCTTTTTCTTTTCCACATATGACTATAATTTGCTTCTTTCCCTCAGTTGTAACACGATTTGCATGTTGACAGTCCTTGTGGTCAACATCTCCATGCACCTCCAATTCATTGAAATGAGGAATAGTTCTTGAAAATATCAATCCTCGTAGTGAAAATACTTATAGATACTAGTGCTACGTACACTACTTGGTCTAAAAAGAATTATCATAGGTGTAAGTTGGTGGATTTCAAGGAATGGCAACGACAGCGTAGTCCTTGAAAATTTGGAATTTGGAAGTCTAAAGTTTGAACATTGGTGCAGGTCTAAGGTAGTCAGATATATAAGATCAAAATATTGATAAATAAGTACTTAGATTAATATACCAGTACCCCACAACTAATCCCAGGCTTCTGCTATCAGAAGTCCAGAACTGCACTCAAAGAGTCGCAAACTCAACTTTCAAACTCAAATATCCAAAAATTTTTGAGTATAGCTCCTACACTGATCGAGATTGATTTCCTGAAGAAGCACTTCTTTCAGGCTTGAAGTAGCATGGAAGTAACAGATAGGATAGCTGGCTCGCTCAAAAAAAGTCTTATGTGAACTCGTCGTAAACTTCAGAAGATTCTGCCAGTGCCTGGCTTTTCCCATGAGAAGTGAAAGCGCACAAATGTCAATGGCTTTTAGGTACCCCATATTACGGACACTGGCTATATTAATTCGTAATCAGCAGTCTATTAATCAGGTAGAGGTAGACCTTAGACAAAAAAAGAGTTAACTTATTCGATAAACTGAAAGAAGCGAGTATTCTCGAGGAGAATGGATCTCATATTAAGGGAAATTAAGGTACTCTGGCAGGAAGCTGATCCGGTGATGAAGGCAATAACTGCAGCTACTAGCCGTCACGTCGCAGATTAGAGAGGTGCGGCGCGCAGCGCCTCCAATGATCCATCCACCCTCTGCAGCAGGTGGCACGCCTCGATTGATTCATTGCTATGTAGCAGCATCATGTCTGTAGTTATATCTACAACTTACATCTTCGACGAGAGGGGTCGACTATCTCTACAGAGTATGTGAATGCAGTTTGGCGAGCGATCAGTTATCTCTACGGAATATTTAAATGCAGCGTGACGAGGGACCAACGCAAGCATCTTCAATCTCGATTATCATCGAATTGCTCTTATAAATATAGAGATTCAGATAGACCTCTCTCTTCTTCTATAGCAGAACGAGCTGCAGCATTGAAAAGGGGGTTCAAGGTCTCGCCGCAGAAATTAGAGCTCACTTTTATACTCATCTTGAAAGCATCTTGCTGTGGCGTGTTTTCTCTGCCGATTTAGAAGAAGTGCAGCTCCCATGTTGTCCCTGTCCTTGATTTTTAATATACTTCCAGAGAAAAGAGGACCAAAGAAGAAGATGCTTCATCTTAAGATGAACTACTATGATCTTCTACTGTGAGATGAATGAGTCTTAACTTAAGCAGAAGAGGGTCTTTGTGCCTGCTGGAAAGTACTGGACATAGTAAACCAACGATTAGAGCTACCGCGTTCGCATCCCTCAGAGCATCCTTGGCTTCTTTTTCAAGTAGAAAAAAGGCCAGGGATGGCGCTGAGGATGCTTCAGCGGTAGCCTCAAAACAATGACCAGTAGAAGCCACTCCCGCAAAGAACTAGTTGTTGAAATCTTATAGTTCTTGCGCGAAAGGCGGCTGCGAAAAAACACAGCTGTATTGCTAATATTAGAGAGTCACGAAGTCCATCCTGCGACCACGTCGCACTACCCTTGAAAACGAAAAGAGAAGATGACCTCTTTCCCCTTGAAAACTGTCTCTACTATATTAGAAAAGCAAGAAAATGCAGCTTCTGCGAAAGAGGATGATAGACATTGACTTTGATCAGCATCAGGATCTATCAGGGGCAGTCTGGTCAATACCAGTACGATTAAGAAGCTCTGAAGTATAGTTACAGGATTTCAAACCAATGACATCACAGGCAAGACAGCTACCGACCTTCTAGTTGAATAATCAGTGAAAAATAGAGGTCAATGTCAATCTGTTAAGCGTTATAATTCAAAAACATGCAATTGCAACAAGAGGCAGTCCTGCTGTCCCAAGTACACCAGCCCTAATAATATCGGTCCCAAATAAAGCCATCCTCGATCGTCCACCAACATCTTCCTGAGCACCTTTAGAAAGAGCCTCAATCAACCCATGTGCCGGCAAGTTGGCAAGTCATCTTAAGTCAAGAAAAAGTTTCACGAAACTCAATGTACGAGAAGCAGAAGTTCGAGTGCGTTGTTGCTGAATAATCAGTCATCTTAATCTTAATGTTAAGTCATCTTAATGTTAAGTCATCTTATATATATATAATGTTGTGTTTGTTAGACGATAGAAGCCATCTTAAATTTCGATGCAGCCCTGTCTCGACTTCTTGCTGTCCACGAGGCTTTGATGTCCACCACGGCCACTCTAGCACTTTTACTTTGATGTTGTTACAACAGTACTTGTCCAGCACTTCTATTTGTGAATGTGTAATAAATATAAGCTGGATGAAAGTACTAGATGATAGATGAAGGTGCACTAGTTGTCAATGTAATGTCAGTACTAGATGAAAGTATTAGGTGAAGGTGTTAATGTCATGTCAGTACTACTAGATAAAAGTACTAGGAAGTGTGAAGGTGTCTTCAATGTATCTAGTACTAGGTGAAGGCGCCACGTTTGAGATGTCTCCTAGAAAATTACCCACTCTCTTACTAGTGCATGGCTGTTCAAGAACTTTCCCTCCCCTACAACTTCTTAGAAGCGCTACTTCTTAGTTGTAGAGTCTTCGGGATGTTGGAAATCAAGTGCTTCTACGAAACTGCTCTATCTGTAAGAAAGCCTCTAAGCTGGACGCCAGATCCACCAAAGGATGAAGAGTACATGGACCTCGAGCTAGTACCTGGAACGCGTACTAGTACGTGGAGGTGAGCTAGTACATGCAACGCGTACTACGTGAAGGTGAACTACTAGTACATGGAAGAACTCGAACAACTACGCTGTGAAGATAATTATGGACGATATTAAAAGTGCTTAGAAGTATTGGCAGGATCGACGATTAAAACTAAAGAGCGAAGAAGCTGCTCGATCAAGAAGGTGTGTGGTCCACGAACTCCACCGCACTTACATCCTCCTTGTTACATGAAGATCTTGCATGTGCATAGTTCGTGCTGGGCTGAAGTTGGACATGTAGTACAGAAATTAAAACCTCGCAGTCTGCATAGTTCGTGCTCGGCTGGAGAGTTAGCACAAGCAGAAAGAAGAGAATCCTCGTCTTTTCATACGCCAGACTCGACTGCTTGTTCTACTTCGTCATAGTCTTCTTCGACTAGGACTACACCAGTTTGAGTTTTCCCTGCACCATAGTATCATTCTTAGAGGCGCAATCAACAGCAGTGCGAGTGAAGTCGACAGTTTTCCCTGCAGCGGGCAATGCGAATGCATTCAACAGCCAGGGGTCCCGTTATAATTAGAGACCAGCAGTCCTTGGTCGCTGGTGATTCTGATAGGAAGAGATCAACACACATCTCCCCCTGTTGGTTCTTTCAAAGTGCCCTCCCTTTGATGTCAGAGTCCTTAACGTATGAGCAACTCTGAAGTCTGAGCCTTAACCACGAGTGCACAATTGCGCGTCCTCCACCGCGACAGGGACGACGTGGACGGCTACATTTTTTTCAACATAAAGGTTTCAAAAAAAATCATGCTGTAGTCGATGTCGATGTGCAAGAGGTTGGCACATACTTGCCATCTTCGCATTCATCGCTGTGAGGACATCGAGGGGCGACAGGCATAATTAATGTTGCTGTTATAATAAGATGAACCTAGGACGACTTATTTCTAAGACTAAGACCATTCAATTCTGTTGTTGTTATAAATAAAGCTACGACGTGGAAGATTGATACAGATTGAGATCGTGGCGAGGAAAGAAATACTAACGAGCTAAAGAAAATCTCAACAATTTTCCCACAAACCAACGAACCGCCAAGCCCAAAACGATGCGCGGGCGGTCCGTCAACACTCACGCAACGCCGACGCTGGGGCTGCTACCAAAGACGAAACACAAAACAAAAGAAGGCAGCCGAAGCCACCGAAGCCACCCCGGTGGCCTCTTTGGCCATAAAAGCAAAAAGACAACGAAGACCAACCCAAGCAACTTTTCGCGAAGATTTCGCGCACGTCAACCGCCGTCGCGGTGGGACCAAATGGAGAGAGAGAAGCGCCGCGGTCGGTCGACGAGGTCACTCTTCTTCTTGACTATTGAGTCTGGCCTTGATGATTTTTGGGGAGTCTGCTTCTTGATCTTCGTTGTATTAAATTGTACGCAGCAGCAACTTCTTCCTGGTCGTGTGCAGGCACCAGGAGGAGTATCAGGTTCCTTACGATTTTAGGAGCAAGAAGGGGATCAGCATCATTGGTTTTCTTCTATGTAGAACAAGGAGTGTGTAGAGGTCCGTAGTAACATGAAGTACTTAGGTGTTAGTTAAGAGTGTTTGCGTTAGGGGGTATACACTCACTACACTACGTCGAACGTAAGTGGAGCAAGAAAGGAAGTTGTGGCAAAAAGGAACACACCAACATTGCTGACCCTCATCATGTCGATATTTTCAGGGCCACACTCAATGGCTGCTATTATGGCCCCAATGATCAAGTTCAAGGCGTCTGAAAATACTTCCACATCCTGCTTCCAATTACACCCCATCATTTTTCTGATTATACATATAGATACCTCCTAGAAAATGAAAACGCATTTACCCCTGAGAACGACGAACAAGCCAACAGATGCAAGAATAGAAACATGACTAACAAGGATGAAGCCAGATTATTCCAATTCCTCCCTATTCTTGAGCCTAATGAAGTAAACCTGACGCCTTTCCCCACCGCAAAATGGCACTGCGCGACCAAGGTACTCGCACCCGTTAGACCCAGATACTGCTCACACCAAACGGAATGGATTAGAGGGTGAGGGAAAATAACTAGAAAATTAACTTGAAGTTTAATATACTCCAAACTAACAAAAAACTAGAAAAGAAAAGAAAATTTGAAGTTCTATTTGTAGATCCCGTTCATCTTAAGAAAGTAAACTTACGTCCTCGCACTTATTCACAGACGAATCACTCATTCCACTGAAATAATTAGAAGAAAGAGTCAGGTACTGGCCACACGACCAAACGGAGTCAGTAAATATACTTCTTTTTTGAGCAGTCATATGGTTATGGAAGTAATCTCGTAAGCGGTAAGTCGAAACAAAGAAACGCTTCTTCTGAAAAAATGTAAATGAATTTAAAGCCTCCTTCTAAAATAAACTAAACCATCTTCTATGATTCGGTTAGAGTTTCAGCCTCTCGCACAAGTATATTTATCGATGTAACAGAAGGCGTGAAGTCAAGTCAAGTCATAAATCAACAACGCTTTGAGTCATCGCTGAATGAATTTCTGAAGGAGAGGCGCATGTCTTCGGCAAAGCTGTCGCATCCCGGACCCCACATTCGGCATGAAAGCACTCATGCACCGTTTTCGGTACGATCTCCCCACGCGGAGGCGAACGCTGGTGTTTTGTGATGGAGAATTAATGTATTTGCGCCGTTTTTTCTAATTGTTTAAAAATGCACCTACAGTTCAAATTGAGCCCAGCACGAGGTCACACATGTTCCAGTCTGTTCGATCACCATATGTAGTTCATGTAGTCATAATGCAGTACCGTTATCAATGGTTTGTAACTGATAACTTCGATAGCTCCGGTTGACGTCTTTCGCGTGGGTGGGCATGGCTTGCAGTCGGATTGCCCGTAAGCATCTTGTTAGAGTCTCNCCTTAGAACATCAATAATAGGAACAGTATTATAAATAAATATATAATTATGACTCTCATCTTTGGCCGCCTTAGAACATCAATAATAGGAACAGTAATTTTCAAATAATAAGTGAGACGAGGTAGATTTTCGTCTTCTTGAGACAAACGCAAAAATCAAAACAACTATTGTGATATCCAACCAGGGGAAACTCGGTCACAACCACTTGTTGAAAAAAAAGACACGACCAATTATCTTCTTTTTTAGTATTTGTATTGAATCATTACAGTGGTGGCATACTTCAGGAAGGGTGAAAGTAAGGTGGTTCAATCATTCATCAAAAGCGAGAAAAAAGAAGTAAGTGCATCAACTAGTTCTACTAGCGTGCCTGTTCATCAGCTTGAAGCAGGATCCTGTTTTTGAAAGATCATGTTTGACTCCCAGTTGATAACTCCTGCCTGTTCATCAGCTTGAAGCAGGAACAACGAACGGATCATTACATTCATTGAGTATAGTACGGAAATGAAAAGGTAAGTACATGATGAAATTGATGAGACACGGGTCCTTCACGTCCTGATAGGTCCGAAAGAGCAAGGCAAAGCTCCCGATTCCTGTAGCGCAACTGCATATTAGACGAGATCGAACAGCAGTATAAGCAACTACGAATGATTATTATTATAGCTATTGGAGAACAGGAACCGCAGGCCTCCCCTAGACCTGATGATGTCATCCTGAAGAAGCCTGATCTAGATGGATTCCTCTGAAGCTTCAACTTGCTAGCGACAGGAGAGGGCGAATCTGAGATTGAAGATATCTCCCACCATTTCTTGATGAGGTCTTGGCTATATGCTATTGGTTATATGCCTTTTTTTACTGTTGCTGTTCTACTGCAACCAATAGCACACCTACGATTACATAACTTTCAGGTAGTAGACCTTAGATATAGATGTTCATGTTGACACATCAAAAAGAATTTAATAAATATTAACTTCTTTCCTTCAGAGAAAAACAAGTATCAGCAAGTATGTCTTTAAGGCACGAACAATTATTATATATGGTCCCCAGTAGTGAACAACTATTGCAGAAAGATTCGATGGTGGTTTGAGTATGAATATCATTATAGTATGAAGTAGAAGTAGATGCCGAGTGGATGACTTCCACCGGAAGGAGATGACGGACCACAGATACCTCAGACACAATCGCGACGCCCAGAAGCAGAACTAGACGAAGCAACGAAAGATAATACTCAGGCAAAAGACCTCAGACAAAAAAGAGTTTACTTCTCTGGAAGAAGCAACGAAAGAAGATAAAATTTTTAGCCTTATAAAAATAGCTTCTTGTGCTCCTTGAAAATGTAGACTACAATTACAGGAGGCTACAACGAGTGAAGTGCTCGTGACGCCTAGATGAAGTATGAAGGATGATTCATTGAAGCCTTAGGCCACCGCGCTGATTCATACTTGTACTAGTAGGCCCTAGTACAGCGGTGATGAAGGTTGATTCATTGACACGACCTAGAAGAAGTAGTTTGCTGAAGAGAGCCATAACAGAAGACAGCCAAGATGCGTCACGTAGAAGCCAACAAACGGCAGCTTCTTTAGCGCTCACCCTAATCCATCTCGGGCTGCAACCTAGGCGTCTTTTCCCAATGTGAAGCCTCTTCGGGATGCTTCCGCAGATGGAGTAGGGGAAGCCTTAACTTCTGCAGCAACGGGTACAGGGAGTTAGAGATCGAGATGCTCTTTTGTTTTGGAAATGTAACAAAACGAATAGGCTATTTATGATTTCTTTCGCCAGGAGTTGTTATACGTAGTCCTCGCAATAGTTTTATTAATAACTCCAATTCCAATTTATTTACTCTTCGCAGTACTGCCGCCGATGATGTATGATGATGATGATGATGCTGATGGTTGCGCCTCGTCTACCTTCTATAGCCGGCTACTAGTCGTATAACTTTACTTACCACTTGTAGATGTAGTCCTCGCATTCGTAGTAGTAGGAAGTCTATCTTTAAGGAAGAGGCAGGAGTAAACAGAGATCCTGATAAAGGTGAGAACGACGAGGGACCCAGTCCAGGGAAGACGGGTTTAAGCAGTTCATCTGAAGAGTCATACTCTAGAATGATTGTTATTTCTAAAGAGAATGGTATTTTTAAGAAATTTAAAAGAACAACAACTGCAGAGTGAAGATAGTTGCTGCTTCTTCTTCTTCTTCAGCACTTGTTTGGTACGCACATCAATGCGCAGCTGATTTTTAGTGAGTCGGAGTAAAGCTTCAACTTGTGAAAATTACGAAAAAGAATGATCATTAGTTAGGTTAGGTTAGGTGTGGGTCCACTAGATAAACCAGCAGACTTCAGTGGCTACTGAAGAGCCAAAAAGAAAGAAAACAGGGGTCTACGACCTACAGCCGGCACTGACTGCTACGCTACTACTTTCTACTTCTAATTCTACTTCTTAGTTATCAAGTTATTTAGTCATCAAGTTTAGTCCAAAGCATAAGTAAGTGCGCAGTGTAGTAGGCTATGCTGGTGTCGCCTATGCTCCGATTCATTGGGTTTCCACGTCCAGACGCAAGGCCGAAAAACCTGCGATGTCAGGACTCATTCAGGATGGATTCATTGAAGTTGGATTGATTGACTCGACAAACAAGACTCACTGATGGATATTGATAAATATATGTCGGAAGATTATTAACTGCGTGATTGTTGTACCCACTGGAGAAGGGGACTCATTTTTTGTCTCGCGTAGGACTTTACGCTTATCTGCCCCACGCCGGTGCTACGGATAATTTCAAGCACTAGCTATCTTTTCCACATATGACTATAATTTGCTTCTTTCCCTCAGTTGTAACACGATTTGCATGTTGACAGTCCTTGTGGTCAACATCTCCATGCACCTCCAATTCATTGAAATGAGGAATAGCTCTTGAAAATATCAATCCTCGTAGTGAAAATACTTTTAGATACTAGTGCTACGTACACTACTTGGTCTGAAAAGAATTATCATAGGTGTAAGTTGTTGGATTTCAAGGAATGGCAACGACAGCGTAGTCCTTGAAAATTTGGAATTTGGAAGTCTAAAGTTTGAACATTGGTGCAGGTCTAAGGTAGTCAGATATATGAGATCAAAATATTGATAAATAAGTACTTAGATTAATATAAGTACCAGTACCCCACAACTAATCCCAGGCTTCTGCTATCAGAAGTCCAGAACTGCACTCAAAGAGTCGCAAACTCAACTTTCAAACTCAAATATCCAAAAATTTTTGAGTATAGCTCCTACACTGATCGAGATTGATTTCCTGAAGAAGCACTTCTTTCAGGCTTGAAGTAGCATGGAAGTAACAGATAGGATAGCTGGCTCGCTCAAAAAAAGTCTTATGTGAACTCGTCGTAAACTTCAGAAGATTCTGCCAGTGCCTGTCTTTTCCCATGAGAAGTGAAAGCGCACAAATGTCAATGGCTTTTAGGTACCCCATATTACGGACACTGGCTATATTAATTCGTAATCAGCAGTCTATTAATCAGGTAGAGGTAGACCTTAGACAAAAAAAGAGTTAACTTATTCGATAAACTGAAAGAAGCGAGTATTCTCGAGGAGAATGGATCTCATATTAAGGGAAATTAAGGTACTCTGGCAGGAAGCTGATCCGGTGATGAAGGCAATAACTGCAGCTACTAGCCGTCACGTCGCAGATTAGAGAGGTGCGGCGCGCAGCGCCTCCAATGATCCATCCACCCTCTGCAGCAGGTGGCACGCCTCGATTGATTCATTGCTATGTAGCAGCATCATGTCTGTAGTTATATCTACAACTTACATCTTCGACGAGAGGGGTCGACTATCTCTACAGAGTATGTGAATGCAGTTTGGCGAGCGATCAGTTATCTCTACGGAATATTTAAATGCAGCGTGACGAGGGACCAACGCAAGCATCTTCAATCTCGATTATCATCGAATTGCTCTTATAAATATAGAGATTCAGATAGACCTCTCTCTTCTTCTATAGCAGAACGAGCTGCAGCATTGAAAAGGGGGTTCAAGGTCTCGCCGCAGAAATTAGAGCTCACTTTTATACTCATCTTGAAAGCATCTTGCTGTGGCGTGTTTTCTCTGCCGATTTAGAAGAAGTGCAGCTCCCATGTTGTCCCTGTCCTTGATTTTTAATATACTTCCAGAGAAAAGAGGACCAAAGAAGAAGATGCTTCATCTTAAGATGAACTACTATGATCTTCTACTGTGAGATGAATGAGTCTTAACTTAAGCAGAAGAGGGTCTTTGTGCCTGCTGGAAAGTACTGGACATAGTAAACCAACGATTAGAGCTACCGCGTTCGCATCCCTCAGAGCATCCTTGGCTTCTTTTTCAAGTAGAAAAAAGGCCAGGGATGGCGCTGAGGATGCTTCAGCGGTAGCCTCAAAACAATGACCAGTAGAAGCCACTCCCGCAAAGAACTAGTTGTTGAAATCTTATAGTTCTTGCGCGAAAGGCGGCTGCGAAAAAACACAGCTGTATTGCTAATATTAGAGAGTCACGAAGTCCATCCTGCGACCACGTCGCACTACCCTTGAAAACGAAAAGAGAAGATGACCTCTTTCCCCTTGAAAACTGTCTCTACTATATTAGAAAAGCAAGAAAATGCAGCTTCTGCGAAAGAGGATGATAGACATTGACTTTGATCAGCATCAGGATCTATCAGGGGCAGTCTGGTCAATACCAGTACGATTAAGAAGCTCTGAAGTATAGTTACAGGATTTCAAACCAATGACATCACAGGCAAGACAGCTACCGACCTTCTAGTTGAATAATCAGTGAAAAATAGAGGTCAATGTCAATCTGTTAAGCGTTATAATTCAAAAACATGCAATTGCAACAAGAGGCAGTCCTGCTGTCCCAAGTACACCAGCCCTAATAATATCGGTCCCAAATAAAGCCATCCTCGATCGTCCACCAACATCTTCCTGAGCACCTTTAGAAAGAGCCTCAATCAACCCATGTGCCGGCAAGTTGGCAAGTCATCTTAAGTCAAGAAAAAGTTTCACGAAACTCAATGTACGAGAAGCAGAAGTTCGAGTGCGTTGTTGCTGAATAATCAGTCATCTTAATCTTAATGTTAAGTCATCTTAATGTTAAGTCATCTTATATATATATAATGTTGTGTTTGTTAGACGATAGAAGCCATCTTAAATTTCGATGCAGCCCTGTCTCGACTTCTTGCTGTCCACGAGGCTTTGATGTCCACCACGGCCACTCTAGCACTTTTACTTTGATGTTGTTACAACAGTACTTGTCCAGCACTTCTATTTGTGAATGTGTAATAAATATAAGCTGGATGAAAGTACTAGATGATAGATGAAGGTGCACTAGTTGTCAATGTAATGTCAGTACTAGATGAAAGTATTAGGTGAAGGTGTTAATGTCATGTCAGTACTACTAGATAAAAGTACTAGGAAGTGTGAAGGTGTCTTCAATGTATCTAGTACTAGGTGAAGGCGCCACGTTTGAGATGTCTCCTAGAAAATTACCCACTCTCTTACTAGTGCATGGCTGTTCAAGAACTTTCCCTCCCCTACAACTTCTTAGAAGCGCTACTTCTTAGTTGTAGAGTCTTCGGGATGTTGGAAATCAAGTGCTTCTACGAAACTGCTCTATCTGTAAGAAAGCCTCTAAGCTGGACGCCAGATCCACCAAAGGATGAAGAGTACATGGACCTCGAGCTAGTACCTGGAACGCGTACTAGTACGTGGAGGTGAGCTAGTACATGCAACGCGTACTACGTGAAGGTGAACTACTAGTACATGGAAGAACTCGAACAACTACGCTGTGAAGATAATTATGGACGATATTAAAAGTGCTTAGAAGTATTGGCAGGATCGACGATTAAAACTAAAGAGCGAAGAAGCTGCTCGATCAAGAAGGTGTGTGGTCCACGAACTCCACCGCACTTACATCCTCCTTGTTACATGAAGATCTTGCATGTGCATAGTTCGTGCTGGGCTGAAGTTGGACATGTAGTACAGAAATTAAAACCTCGCAGTCTGCATAGTTCGTGCTCGGCTGGAGAGTTAGCACAAGCAGAAAGAAGAGAATCCTCGTCTTTTCATACGCCAGACTCGACTGCTTGTTCTACTTCGTCATAGTCTTCTTCGACTAGGACTACACCAGTTTGAGTTTTCCCTGCACCATAGTATCATTCTTAGAGGCGCAATCAACAGCAGTGCGAGTGAAGTCGACAGTTTTCCCTGCAGCGGGCAATGCGAATGCATTCAACAGCCAGGGGTCCCGTTATAATTAGAGACCAGCAGTCCTTGGTCGCTGGTGATTCTGATAGGAAGAGATCAACACACATCTCCCCCTGTTGGTTCTTTCAAAGTGCCCTCCCTTTGATGTCAGAGTCCTTAACGTATGAGCAACTCTGAAGTCTGAGCCTTAACCACGAGTGCACAATTGCGCGTCCTCCACCGCGACAGGGACGACGTGGACGGCTACATTTTTTTCAACATAAAGGTTTCAAAAAAAATCATGCTGTAGTCGATGTCGATGTGCAAGAGGTTGGCACATACTTGCCATCTTCGCATTCATCGCTGTGAGGACATCGAGGGGCGACAGGCATAATTAATGTTGCTGTTATAATAAGATGAACCTAGGACGACTTATTTCTAAGACTAAGACCATTCAATTCTGTTGTTGTTATAAATAAAGCTACGACGTGGAAGATTGATACAGATTGAGATCGTGGCGAGGAAAGAAATACTAACGAGCTAAAGAAAATCTCAACAATTTTCCCACAAACCAACGAACCGCCAAGCCCAAAACGATGCGCGGGCGGTCCGTCAACACTCACGCAACGCCGACGCTGGGGCTGCTACCAAAGACGAAACACAAAACAAAAGAAGGCAGCCGAAGCCACCGAAGCCACCCCGGTGGCCTCTTTGGCCATAAAAGCAAAAAGACAACGAAGACCAACCCAAGCAACTTTTCGCGAAGATTTCGCGCACGTCAACCGCCGTCGCGGTGGGACCAAATGGAGAGAGAGAAGCGCCGCGGTCGGTCGACGAGGTCACTCTTCTTCTTGACTATTGAGTCTGGCCTTGATGATTTTTGGGGAGTCTGCTTCTTGATCTTCGTTGTATTAAATTGTACGCAGCAGCAACTTCTTCCTGGTCGTGTGCAGGCACCAGGAGGAGTATCAGGTTCCTTACGATTTTAGGAGCAAGAAGGGGATCAGCATCATTGGTTTTCTTCTATGTAGAACAAGGAGTGTGTAGAGGTCCGTAGTAACATGAAGTACTTAGGTGTTAGTTAAGAGTGTTTGCGTTAGGGGGTATACACTCACTACACTACGTCGAACGTAAGTGGAGCAAGAAAGGAAGTTGTGGCAAAAAGGAACACACCAACATTGCTGACCCTCATCATGTCGATATTTTCAGGGCCACACTCAATGGCTGCTATTATGGCCCCAATGATCAAGTTCAAGGCGTCTGAAAATACTTCCACATCCTGCTTCCAATTACACCCCATCATTTTTCTGATTATACATATAGATACCTCCTAGAAAATGAAAACGCATTTACCCCTGAGAACGACGAACAAGCCAACAGATGCAAGAATAGAAACATGACTAACAAGGATGAAGCCAGATTATTCCAATTCCTCCCTATTCTTGAGCCTAATGAAGTAAACCTGACGCCTTTCCCCACCGCAAAATGGCACTGCGCGACCAAGGTACTCGCACCCGTTAGACCCAGATACTGCTCACACCAAACGGAATGGATTAGAGGGTGAGGGAAAATAACTAGAAAATTAACTTGAAGTTTAATATACTCCAAACTAACAAAAAACTAGAAAAGAAAAGAAAATTTGAAGTTCTATTTGTAGATCCCGTTCATCTTAAGAAAGTAAACTTACGTCCTCGCACTTATTCACAGACGAATCACTCATTCCACTGAAATAATTAGAAGAAAGAGTCAGGTACTGGCCACACGACCAAACGGAGTCAGTAAATATACTTCTTTTTTGAGCAGTCATATGGTTATGGAAGTAATCTCGTAAGCGGTAAGTCGAAACAAAGAAACGCTTCTTCTGAAAAAATGTAAATGAATTTAAAGCCTCCTTCTAAAATAAACTAAACCATCTTCTATGATTCGGTTAGAGTTTCAGCCTCTCGCACAAGTATATTTATCGATGTAACAGAAGGCGTGAAGTCAAGTCAAGTCATAAATCAACAACGCTTTGAGTCATCGCTGAATGAATTTCTGAAGGAGAGGCGCATGTCTTCGGCAAAGCTGTCGCATCCCGGACCCCACATTCGGCATGAAAGCACTCATGCACCGTTTTCGGTACGATCTCCCCACGCGGAGGCGAACGCTGGTGTTTTGTGATGGAGAATTAATGTATTTGCGCCGTTTTTTCTAATTGTTTAAAAATGCACCTACAGTTCAAATTGAGCCCAGCACGAGGTGACACATATTCCAGTCTGTTCGATCACCATATGTAGTTCATGTAGTCATAATGCAGTACCGTTATCAATGGTTTGTAACTGATAACTTCGATAGCTCCGGTTGACGTCTTTCGCGTGGGTGGGCATGGCTTGCAGTCGGATTGCCCGTAAGCATCTTGTTAGAGTCTCCCCAATTCATGGATCTTCCGTGTGGAAAAAAAATATCCCTCGAGAATTTCTAATTCCCCTCGTTGTAGTACTACTTACTTGTCCTTGTTCAGGTTGCGCAGCTTACCGTTGTTGGTGTGGAAAACAATCTCCTGTCAAGAGAGAAAACCAAAGTGCGTCGATATCTTCTTTTTACAACAAACAAACGAATATGCGCCAAGGTTTCATCGCTTTGTATTTCAAACAAACGAATATGTCGCTTGTATTGGGAGGCGTCTTACGGCTGAGGGATAGAGATCGTGGACTAGGCCTTAATCCTGAAACGTCCCGCCAGGACATACCAAGGCACGATCGCCTATGATTTAGAGTAACAGCTCCACTCTTCTTGTGCTTATCATAGATAGTTGTACAACGAACTGATAATAAGCCTTGAAGCAAAGAGAACAGTGCTGGAAGATATGAAGATATGCCTGACAAGAGGTTGGTGTATGAGAACTTTTAGTTAGATCATATATAGTTGTACAAGTAAACCCAATCCACCAGGGGTCGTATGCTATTATAGATAGTTGTAGTTGTACAACGAACTGATAAAATTTGAATATCAATATTATGCACTTTTACAAGGATAATTTGCTGCTAGAGAAATAGAAGGCTCCTCTGCCAACGAACTCAACTGCGAAAAAGTACAAGTGTGGTCTCTATGTAATGGACGAAGGTACTATCCTTTACGATTCTCATAAAGTGAGTAATATCCTGGCGGTGCCGCACAGCAACATTTGAAGCCTGGGAGGCACTCGCAAGCTGGACACGTCCCATCGCAGGAACGCGCATCACGCGTAAACCCAGCTCGACAGGGAGTTAGATGCAATAAAGGGAGACCAACACGGAAATTGGCGGGATTGCAATTGAAGTTTTACTTATAAAGTATACAACTTTGGATAAAAAAATGAAGGGACTAAAAATAGGCCGAAGAAAGTGAAGTGCTTAACCAGCTATTTTCTTGGTGCTCAAAAGAACGAAGTGCTTATATACTTATAACATAACCTCCTAATTAAAGTGCTAAGAAGTCGTTAACTCTTTACAACTATATTGTACGTTGGAGAAAAACTTTAGGTTAGCAAGGACGAGGATCCTGCACATGATCGACGCCCTCGAGGTTATACATGATCGAGATACTCAAAAGAATTAATATAACGGAGCGATGCCGATGTTTTGGAATCTAGTACTTACAACATAGGTACTTACAACGTGGGTGGGCGCTGCGACATAAGTACTTCCAAGTAAGTGACTTCAAGAAGTAGCACTCCTGAGACAAGGCCTGAAATAACCGAAACCGAGTGGCCTCGGAGATAATTGTTGTAGAGCCCTGCCTGCTGTTTTTGTGAGTCAGAATCATCTATTCGGCAATCTGCTAAGTCTTCCTTATAAGAGCCCTAACTAAGAAAGAAAGAGACCTGAAAATATATAAGAGCGAATGTTGTCCGTCGATGTCCCTGATCCTTGAGCAAGTCCAGAACCAAGAGGTTGCGGGCGACAGCTGTAGTGTGCTCTCTCACGCTCAACACTCGTTCAGCGAAGAAGAAGAGGTGAGGTTAAAAGAAGAAAAAGTAAACTAGCTGTTAATTTAGCTAAACACGGGATGCTTCAGCCCCTGGCGTCCCACCTCCCAGCTCCGATTGGCGAAAGGAGACGAGGGGAGGTAGGTGCTCGCACCAGCTCTAGTTCGCCTGTTCTAACAAGTCCAAGGGTACCGGTTCACCATGTTAGAACCTAGAGCCAGTCGCATCTACAAACGTTAAAGAAGCATCGATGGCCTAGCGCGTGGCAGGCCATGATGTACGACTAGCTATTTAAAAACAGCAAGAGGGAAGGCAGAAGAATCAATGACAATCGTCCTCACCCTCGTAACACTCGAGTATGTCGCGCGATGGGAGGTCGACGAGACAGAACGTAACAAGAACCGACAATGTGTACCCCGAAAGTGCGAAAAGACTGAAACTAAGGAATAATACGAAAGACATGAGATGATCTCTCAACATCCGGCTCAACCGAGGATACTATTATCACTCTTCGAAAAAGGTAACGACGACCTCACAGAACATAGCGATGACAGAATTGCCCGGAGGATCCTGTATTACACTATATGTCAATTGAATAAAAAGAAGTGATAACGGTGCAAGTTACTCTCTTGCACCGTGCAGAACGAGGACGATTAGCTAAGTTAAACTAGCTAATTAAATTTGCTAGATGTTGTTCAGGTAGGGAGGCATCTAACTAGAGTCTGCTCCTCGTCTGGAGTATGCAAGATTCGTTGGTACATACAACGCATGCCCAACAGTGAAGGGTTTGAACAACGACCTAGCAATCAAAAGCAAGAGTCGAAAAACAACTAAGAACAGCCAGTGCTAGGCAGTCTCGAATACCATCCTACAGACTATATACGGAAACCCCATGGGGGGGGTGGGGGGTTAATAGGTTTCGGTAGCTACGGCCACGTCTGGCTGTTAAGTTCTTGTTGTACACTATGGTCATCACTGGCCCATGTGTAACGCACTGCTTAGTCGTAGGTCTGGATAGCAAGCTACGAGAGATCGATCTCGCCACGTATCACGCCTCGGCCCTTGTTGAGCACGTTGATCTTCAACCAATGGCATTTATACATCATGTTGTCCAAATGAACTTTGAACAGCTTGAAGCGAAATAATGTGGCCACCTAGTCGTGTCTTATACTCGCAAAAACAGCAGTTGCCGCTATAGCTCAGTGCTAGGTCCTGGGATGGTAGGTTTAGGAAACTACCATCGAGGTTAGTGGCTGTCAGTTAGGTTTGTGACCAACCGTGTTCACTGAACACTACACAAGTAAAGTTGGCCAACTTACTACCAGCTGATTGTTGATATTCGGTGAGCAAGTCAGCATATCTTTCAATGTGAGTATACATTGTGTGCAGGTTTGACGTCCAGTTAGCCATAGTGTAGGGAGAGTCTCTAGCAACCTAGTGAACTTGTTCGATGTATGCCCCCTCTTCCAGTACTTTAAGCTTGTGTCCATATCTTTCTTCTTATGACATAGATCAGTTCTTAGGTTTATGAATGGCTACTCTCGACAGAGGTGTTTTATATATCGAAAGCACAGAGAGAGTCTTGAGAAATCGATTCTTATCATCGCTCCGCTAAGGCATACAGGAAACAATCAACAAACCTCATCAACGCTCATCGATGTCCTAGCGATTACGAAGTTGATACATGTAATATCGCTCGTCTCGCAGGTACAGACGTCTCACGCACACTGGATCCCAATCAGTTTCCCGAAGGCTAGTACTGGTAGATCACTGAAATATATAGCACTCATCCAGGTAGGTAGATGGATGCCGCGCAAGTCAGTTTCTCTCACGACAGATTGTTTTTAATTTCAAACTCATTTTCGAACATAAGCGGCTTCCTTTTCGTGGTCAGCAAAGTGGGAGTAGAAGTAGACTCTTGCTGTTGCTGTAATGGCAGTTTTGTTCTACTTAGAGCACCTTAGTAAACTCTCACTCTCATAGGAAAATTTGTGAAGTGCCGTGAACTTGTGCGACTTTGCTGTAATAAAATAGCTCTTGCTGTCAGGCGTTTATTTGTCCTGAAGCTTGGGCAAGTGCAATACCAGGACCACCAAGACCGCAATGGCCGTCGCACAGGTTACCAGTAAAAACCACTCAAAGACAATCATACTCACGACTACAGCACTAACACAGAACAAGGGTAAACAAGGAAGCCGCCGCAGAAGCTTGGGCTGGGGGAGAGGTCTGCGAATAATCGTCCGGCCCTTTTATATAACCGGCTTCACATTAACACACGCACCCAATCCTTTACTTGGTCCTCCTTCCGTTGTTTAATTATTCATGAAACAAACAACCAAGAAACAAATAACCGAGACCGGGCGGCTCTTTTCTTGCTTCTAGTAGCACTCTTAGCCTTTTATCCTTCACACGGCGCGCCTTTCCTTGTTAGCTTGCTGCAGCTGCTGCTGCTGCTGTTTTAAAAAATTATAATCATGGACGACTTTCGTGCCCATTCATTCTGTTCCCAAATAAATATCCCTTTTTTTGTGTGGTTTTCGGACATATCATCTATTAACATTTTTCATTTTTTTCCATTCTTATCTTCGTTGAGTCGGGCACCAGCCTCCCCCGTGTTGTGTTGAAGCTGCTTGGTCGGCTCTCGAAAGTGTCCAGCGTTTTTCCGCGGACTGGCTTGATGCTGAAAAAGGCACGACTTTTTCTCAAGGAGCTAAAAAGTGCGACTATGTTGGGCTCTTGGTACTTATTCAAAGCGATGCGCCCCATTTTTCTTGGTGAGATATTTGAGCAACACCTTCACAGGGGCCCCCTATGCTGACATGCCTGTACTCGAAGCCAGCGCCTTGCGCTCATTCAGAAGCGCAAGGCCGAACGCATGCCCTGGAGCTGTGCCAGCTGAGGTTCTGTCCAAGCAACCTCGGCAAGGGCTCAGCCTCTTGCGTCTCAGTCAAGAATAGCGGCAGACAGTCGCAATCGTTTTGGCCCGACTGTGGTCGGCATAATTAGGCAGGAGCCCCATGCCCTAAGAGGCAACAGATCTGAAGACCACACTAGAAAAAAAGCCCTCCCCCGATTAGCTTACCAACTTCTAAGCCACTGGGGCAACATACTCACGACACACACACACACACTGGCGGCAAAGAGACGCCAACACAAGTGAGCAAGACTGTCTTCAGGTGTGGAATGGGCTCGACATGTCCTCAGTATTCTCGTGCGCTATGAGCGCGCTTCACTCTCATAGCAGAAAACGCGTCGCATGCTCCTGCTAGTTGCCTTCGCTCAAATACAGAACGAAAAGCCTCCAACTTCCGGCGGATGCCCCCCCTATTTAACCTCCAACACAAGAACCACGCGCGCGAGCTTTCTGCAAATGAAAAAGATTCTGGCTCTGTTAGGTTTAGCCAACTTCCGCCATAATAGCTAAACTACGTGGCCGCCGCTCGTATAAGCAAGCGCCCCCATCGGGAGCCCCTCCGCTCCTTGTGGCCTCAAAAAAGCTCGACACCTCCCTCGGCTAGTGCCTACGATAGAGCAACCACCAAGAGAGAGGCCCCCAAGAGCCGCTAGCCCCTCCTCAGTCTAATTCGTAATATTTTCTATGATGCGAAGGGACCAAAATGGGGCACACTAACTGGCCCAAGGCTGTTTACTAGAAAAGGGGAGAACTTCCTCCACCAACATTGAACCATAAGCGTGCGCCCTTTTTCCCCTGCACCACTCCAAAACAACAAAGGCAACAGCGTGCAGCCCATTTCCCCGCGGGGGTCGGGGTCTCCGCAGCCCGCATGCACCGACCTGAGGAGAATTGGCTGCACTAGCAGGTAAGGCCTACGCCAGTCCTCCGAAGTCAGGGGGGCTGGGCATGCAGCGTGGCAAGATTCATAAGCAGAGAAGGCAAGCCCCTTCCCAAAAAGTCTGCCCCCTAGTCTCACCTCTATGCAAATAACAGAGCGAGGCTGGTAGCGTAAGTAGCTCACGTTTTCTCATTCTCCCCCACAGTTTTGCTTTTATCTACAAGAAATCAAGCGGCGACTGCCATTGCGCTTTTCAAACTGCTGCGCGCTATTTTATCTATCTACAGAGGGCCCCACCATTCAAGCCAGCCCGGGTTTTTTCTCATGTATATCTTCTGGCCACCGGCACTCTGACGCAGCTAGGTAAGACCTACGCTGAACCATTAGGGGGCACATGCACCAGCGTGGGTCCTTTCGCTGGTGGTGACCGCCGACAACGTTTCGCCAGTGTCTTCCAATCTTTATTGAACTCTTCCTCCTCACCAGGTCGCTCCAAGGTGATTTGCATTCGATTCTTCCACTTGTAAAATATGCCACATACGGCGATGCGCGTCTTGTCTCCGTTCGAACCATACCAAGTGAGAAGTGCAATAAGACCAACGACCCCAGCAATAATGAGCAGCGAGAAGGGATCAAACTTGCTGACTTGCAGAAACGAGCCGCGTACCAAGAAAGCCGAGAGGCTATCCCCCGATAGCGAGGCCGCGCCCTTTTCATGCTGGAGAAAGAGGCAAGCGAGCTGGGGGGGGCCCTCGTATGCACATGCGTGACCACTTTTTTCCGTGGTTCCAATTATGGCGATTTCCATCTCCGAAGGCTCCCCATGCTCGCTGACGGCTTCCGCGTCATCTAGCCCCTTGCCCTTTACCCCTTCCCCCTCTTCCGCTCCGTCTTCGTAAAAGAGCTCTTTGACGGCCTTCGCGCCACCTTCACGAATGTTTGCACCCGGGAGGAAGACCCCCTTTGGTCCACCTCCTGGAAATTCCTCATACTCTCTGACGACCTTCGCCAAGACCAGAGAAAGCTGGGCGCAGTTCTCCTTCACCATCGCGGCCCTAGCCCTGCCAAGAGTGCCAAGAATCTTCGCAACCATACCTTTATCTTGGTTTGCGCAGGCCTCCAACATGCTGCGCGGTTGCTTCACAGTCAGCCCCAGCTGAAAGCGAAAAGCGAGGCCGCGCGGGCTGTAGGGAGCCGGGATGGGCTTCGCCACCGATGTCGTACGCACAAAGCGGCCCCACTTGGATCTGCTGGCCTTTTCCACGCCGACCAGTCCTGTGTACGTCTCCTCAAGGTCCGACCACGTTGGCCCCCGCTGCTGTTTTCCTTCTTCGTAACGACGTGCGGCCAAGATGGTTTGTCGACTGTACGCTTTCGGCAGTAAATAAAACTCCACCGCCTCTCTCTCCTTCCAGAAAACGGCCAGCCACACATCCTCGCTATCTCCCTCATACTGCAGCACGCGCGAGGACTCTGCCAGGCGTGTTACACAATCATCGTCCCGAAACGCGTTGCCAAGCGTCGAGAGGGCGCGAGTGGCCATATTTTTGCCGTGCGTGCACAGACGCCTAAGCGCCTCCTTTTGCTTTTTATCGCCTGCTGCTCCAAGTCGGTGGACCCATTTAATCCGACCTGGGTGCGCCGCCTCACCTTCTCCACCACAATCACAGCCCGCCGAGGACCCACAACCACAGTCAGACAGCTGAAAAAACCCATCGCCGTGGCCCACCGCGTCCGCCTTGGTTTCGTTCCAGGTATCAGGGGCCGCCCCAATCTGCAGGAGGCCATTGCCCTGGGCCACTTCGTCGCCGGGTTTGTCGGCATCCGGGGCCTTCAAAGTCTGAGGCGTCTTGTGCTGCCCAGCGGAATCTTCTGGGGCATCCATCTCCGCAGACCGAGAAAGAGCACCACGACCCACTTGCGGGTCACCGCGACCCATTTCTAGCAAGCCACCAAGACCCATTTCTAGAAAGCCGACAAGCCCCACTCCCAGAACAGAGCGACCCATTTCTAGCAAGCCGCCGGCACCTTCATGACGAGTACCAGCAAGACCGCCTTCCGGATCACCTTCACCACGACGACCCACCTCCAGAAAACCGCCAAGGCCAGCAACATCCTGACGACCGTGCACGCCATCAGCAGCGCGCCCCTTCTGGGTTTCGTCTGGCAGCTGGCTCGCCGTGAGGGTTGGAGAACCCAGCTCCAAAGGAAAGGCCACCCCAGTCCAAGAAAGCCCAGCGGCCGCAATACCTGCAAGACAGAAGGTATGGCCAGCTCAAAAACTACATTTCGATCCCCTTCAAAAATTTTCACCCCTTGGTGAACTTACCTCATGACGCGAGCACCAGAGTCCAGTGGCCTGACGTCGTAGAAGCAAGATCCCAGCCCAAGGCCCTCAAGGTGAGGGAAGTTGAAACTAGCTAGCTTAGCCAACTGCCCTCCGCTAGGCAATTTAGCCCGTAGACAAGCGAGCAACCCGAGAACGGTTCTTGGCCCTCACGTGGGCAGCCCGGTCGGCTTGCGACCTTGAAGGGACTGACCTGACGACGCAGATCGCTGACACAGCGGCCGCGGCGCTCAGGGGAGGCACTTCACCCCCATCTCCGGCATGCGCTAGATTCTGGGGCCGTTTGCTGCGTTGCACCGTCTTGGCCTCCCTTTGGTTTGTTCTCTTTCAGGTTTTGAGGCTCCAAAAGCGGGACTTCTGACCTTAAAAACCCCTCCAAAACTCATCAAAAAGCTGAGCTTTCTCACCTCCTAGCCAGCACTAGGCCCTACATTTTTACGATTATTTTGCCAACTCCTTCAAGACCCCCACGACCACCCCCCTCCAAATGAATCCACAAGAGTCCATCTGTTTCAAAGCACAGCCATGCGGCCCTCGAAAAGGGCAACGACTGCAAGGCAACGACCGCTGCGAGCCTTGTTACGAACCAGTACAAGGCGACGCTTATCCCAAGCATGACGACGGCAGGCAAAGCAACGCGTAGCCCCTGGCTGACCAGTGAGGCGGAGGGGCAGGGCAACAACAAGAATCCGCAAGCAGACCGCCCAAGGACAAGGCGCCCACGCGCAGCGGGCTACCTTGTCTCGTGGGTCTTAGGTCAGCTGGCTACTAAACTATCTAACCCCTTGAGCTTTACACGCTTCCCACCTTTTGCTCGATTTCGATATCCTTCACTGGCCTCCTGCATTCCGATCTCAAACCGACGCGACGCCGCGCGGTAACTAAGATGAGAGAGGTGAGAACTCTTGAAGGGGTTTCACATGTAAACGCTGACCTGGCCATAGGGAGCGCCGCGACCCATACCGCAAGACAAGGGCGACGACTGCTGGCAGGGGCTTGCTCCCTCGGTGTCTATCTAATTACCCAAGAACCAAACAAGACAGAGGGAAGGCTGGTCAGCTTTCTTAAGGCTCAAGACCTAGCAAGCACCACGGCCGTGCCTGTCTGGCTGTGGGCTGTTTTGCTCTCAGCGTCAAACTTTGGGCCCGCTTTGCGCTCTTCTTCAGAATGCCAGAGCCTCTGAGAGGGGTCCGCATTTTGCTCTTGCATTTTGGTGCGGGGTGTTCTTGGGCTTCACGCTAGACACTGACACCCAGAAGGCGCCCAGCGTTTTCTTATTAGAGGGGGCCGCCTCTAGCTTCCTAAGCCCGCGGCCCGCTTCCGTTTCATTCCCGAAACTGTTCAAGCTTTTCACGATTTGGCAGTCTTCACCTTATGGCCCTTGCCTTTGTTTCTTCTGCTTCTCACCCTGTGCCTGGGTAAGCATTTTCCAGCGCCATTCAGCCGGCGGCTTTGGCTTGAGGTGGCGGCGCGTTCTATGTATTTGCATGCCATAGAGCGCAAGCCATGGCAAACTGTAGCCCGCCGCCCTTCATAGGGGACACGCGGCTGGCTGTTGCCTGTGCAAGCTTTAACAAGGCATGAGAAAGGTGCCCCAAGCAAGCGAGCAGCGCATGGGCCGGCGCTCGTTCGATGCGAAGAAAGGAGAAAGCTTCAAAGTAAGGGGGGCGCCCATTGGGTGCCTCCCCTTTTCATTGCTCCCTTGCAAGCTCACCTCAGTCACTAGCAAGCACCCGCGGGCGACCGCGCCCGGCGCCGGCCTGTGAGATACGCAAAGCACCCCCTGCCCCAGTGGCGGCGCTACGGTGGCCACCCTCCTACCAACAAGCCCGAGCGCAGCAGAAAAGCCCCAAAAAGTTCAACCGGCTGCCGCAGATGTCATTGCCGAAGCCGCGCCTTTCTGCTCATGATACAAAACAAGCGCCGCTACTGACTCTGTCTCTCCATGCATCAAAAAAGTGCACCAAAAACCTTCACCATGTGACGCAAGAACGCCAGAAAGACAGAGCGCAGAGCCATTCTACCATTTCTGTGGATTTTGCAGCCAGCTGAGAGCGTCGCTTTTTTGGCACAGTCTGGGCGCATTTTGTGCCCCTTTTTCGCCTATTTCTAGTGGTGCCCCGCGGCCTTTAGGAAGGTGGCTGGCCGCGCCTTGTTTTGGGCGTGGTCTGAGGGTGGGCCGCGGAGTCCGTTTCTCATTTGTTTGGAATCCATTTCAAACAAGAAAAAAAACGACGCGCAACGCACTAGAGAGAGAGAGAGAGGAACCTCCCCGATCTGGGGAGGGCGGTCGCCTGGCCGCGACCTGCTGGCGCTTCAGGTGCAGAGGGTTCCCCCCTGGACACCACGCAGCCAGCCCCTGACCTTGAGGCCTTGCCCGGGTGGCGCCCCTTGTGTTTATGCATCACCCAGCCCGGCTACTCATCAGATGCGCTGACGCCGTCCAGCTGTGGCCAGGGTTGTGCGCCACTCGATGGACCGCGTGGGCGCGGCGCCGTCAGCTGCTCAGTCAGAGGGCTCCCCTTGGGTCTCATCTCCCCGCACTGTCTGGCGCAACGCACTAGAATCAAACTCGGCTGCAATGCGTTTAAAACGAATCCCGAACAAAATGGACACAAACTCCGCGGCCCTCGGGGCGCGCCTGGAACAGAGCGCAGCCCGAAGGCCGCGGGATAACACTACAAACAAACGAAAAAGAAGCACAAAAAACGCCCGGACTGGGCCAAAAAAGTGCGCCTCTCAATCGACTGCAGAATGTCGAACGAGAGCAAAAAATAAGACGGAAGAGGCCTGCGCTCTTTTAGACCTTTCCGCAGGCGGCGGCGCTTGGCGCGCCCAGTTTCCTGAAGCGAAAAGCAGCGGCCCAACTTTCTACCACCCAAGAGCAAAAAAAGCCAGCGGGCGCGGCTGCCGCCTGCTCTGCAGAAGCCAGCTGGGCTCTTTGGGTATCTTCTGGCGAGCTTATGCAAAAAGTTTCAAAATTTTAGAGAATGTTGGAGCTTGGTCAGCTTAAACTTTCTTCAAGCATTCACTCTTTGCGAATTCTTCTCGTGGTTCCAACTTTTTCCCCGATCAATCTTCCAACAAGCTTGCCAGAAGCGAGCGCCCCCCATATGCTCGTAAGCCCCGCCCCAGCAGAAGCTACACAAGCCGAGGCAGATGCAAGCGGCAGCCGCTTACCAGGGTGCAAAACAAGAGACAAGAACACACACACGCCAAAAAACGAAAACGAACACGCACGGCACAGCACAGACAACGAGACACCCCCGAAGCACCGACAACACCCCAGACCACTGCACCCACCCAGAGGGCACCCTGAAGCCGCACGCAACACACTGAGCCGAGACAGCCGCCGAACTTTTCGCGGAAATTCATGCGAGACTCTCTCCATCGCCCGCCCCTGTGCCGCTCGCCTGCCTTAGGCGTCCCACAACTGAAAACCCGCACAAACAACAACCCCCCGCGCCCTCATCACGAGCGGCGGCTACGGCCTACCCCAGCTTGCATCCCCCCACTCTAAGACGAGCAGAGAGAGAACTCGCCAACCCAAGCCAAAGCCAGCCGAGTGACGCCAGAGAAAGTCGGTCCTCCCAAGGAGCGCCCGCCATGAAGCAGAAAACAAGAGCGCGGACCACGTCCGAAAACTGCCGAACTATGCAAAGCCCGAACAAGTTCCTTCGGCAACGAAAAGCAAACGGACCAAGAGCCCCACGGGCTCGAGGCGGTTCCCCCTAGTCAAGTCTTATGCTGAAAGCAGAAGCGAGATAGAACCGCCGGAGCTGTGAAAGCTGTCAAAGCATGAACTTTGAACAAATACCCCAAGACTGGACTGAATTGCAAAAGCGAAGGAGTGAGCTCATTCTTCAGCCCCAGCCATTGGCTTTGAGGCTTACGAAATGAACATCATGAGAGAGCCCTGAAGCAAGCCCAGGGCATGATCGTGGAAGCTGAGCTGCAAGCACGCTTATGCGACTCGAGTCGAAACCTGAAGCAGGAACCCTGAAGCCCGAGCAAGACTAGCCACCCTGAAACCCAAAGCACAACAACACGATGGGCCCCGCTTTGAAAACTAACAAGAGCAAGGAAATACAAGTCGGAGCTTGGTAAGTCTACGAAGTGGCCAAACTGTCGGGCTTCGAGGATGAATTTCGATCGAAGTTGTCAAAAGCAAAGCGCGCGGCGCGGCCTTCGAAAAGATAAACTGCTAGACTTGAGATAAAGACCCTGAGCCCCAAGCCATGAGCAAGGCCCCAAACCATGGGCTTTGATGGCATTGACAATCCAAGACCCCCCGCAGACGAATCGATAGACTGACTTCGAAGCTTGGGGCACTGGTCAAATTGATTGGCTGCTCTAAAACTATAAAGCCAAAACTTTGAAACTTCTTGGGGGCTGGGCATTTAGCAGCGGACTGTCACCTGGATGAGGTATAAATCTCTGAACGTGAATGATGAAAAAGCGGGGCACCCGCGACCGAATTACGGGGGCAAAGCTGTGCAAAAGTTTGCAAGTCCGTCAAGGTATGAGCCCTGAAGCATAGGGGCAGAGGAGGCATGAATCCCGAAGGGTCAAGAGTGGCCTCTGAGAATACTCTACTGCATAAGCCTGCCAAGGCCAGAAAGAACCTACTCACAAGGCAAAAGCGTGGGCTGGCTTTTCCCTTTGCTCGGGGAAAAGTGGGCACCATTCGGCAACCCCGTTTCCCCGACAAACTCAAGCGGGGAATAAGATAGATGGCCGGATACCAAACCCGCACCGGGCTACCCCTTACTTGTTTTGACCCCTCCCCCCCTCAGCCATCGCCACTACCCCCTCCCCCCATGGATACGAAGAAAACAAGTAAGCACAAAGCTAGCCACCCCCCCTCCACCTTCTCCCGGTGCATATTCCGCACCCATCCGCGCCCACCATCCGCCCGCACTGCGCTCGAGCTGTGGCAGACCTGGCTTCCCCTTGAAGACAAGTGGGCATCATCCCCCCAAACTCGCCTGCAGAAACGCCAAGACCCCTCAGGCGCGCGCCCGTCTCAAGGAGGCGGAAACAATCAAACAAGCGCCAGTTCTGCGGATTCAGTTTCATGCGTGCGCAGGCCCCGCTTTCCCCCTGCAGAAATATGGGCGCCATTTCCTGCAATCTCAGCCAAAAGAGATGCAAGAAAGGCCACGCGGCGCCAGTCCTTTTGGCCTTCCCAGATGTTCATCGTCCTCAGTCGCACGCTACTGACATCCCCTGGCCACTAGGCTCAAGCACGGGGGCGGGGCCCTTGCTCTCCCTTTCCTTGAAGGTAGGCAGGCGCCTGTAGGTGTCCAGCCACATGTCCTCAAGCAGAACCAGGTGAGAAATCAACTCGCGCGCAGCTGCAAGGCTGGCCCGAAGGGATCGGCGGGCGCATGGGGTTTTTTGTTCTCGTTCATCCACATCCCCACCGCCCTCCACTATGAGTGCATGCAGAGCCGAGGACGCGGCCCCAGGCTATGCACTTCCTAGCACCCTGGGAAAACCGGACCGCCAAAGGCTGGCCCTATCCCGAGACGCCTAAAGGCTTCCTCGCTCCTCAGCCATGGATGCTGGGAACGGTTTCTGCATACGCCACCGCCGCTAGTACCCACTTCCTTACCAGATGGACAGACCACGACCAAAACACCTGCCGACACGCTGCCCAAACTCACCCGATTTTGGTTACTCCGAGAAGATGGAAAAAAAGCCAAAGGCCGCGGCGAAAAGCGCACCCCAATCAGACAAACAAGAAACGAGACAACCAACACACGAAAAAGGCCACTCCAACACCCACGCAGTCGAGTGGAGTCCGAGAGCATGAAGCGCAGGACGCTCAGTGCTCGCTGTTCAAATTTCCAAGCATGAAGGCAAGGCACAAGGCAGGCACGGGCCAAACAAGGAGGGACCAAATACAACAATACAAAGGACAAAGAAGGAGAAAACGAAAAGAGAACAGAGGCGGCAAGAAGAGGGAGACCACAGGGGGAAGAAAGAACCGAGGCAAGGCACGCAGACCACGGGAGACGATGAAGCCAACGCTCGAAACAAGGTAAACAACAGAGACAGAAGAGCAACGACGAAGCAGAAACAGTCAAACGAGCTCGAGGCGCAACGAAAGCAGAGAGCATCACGCAACAGCCCTTAGGGGTGAATAAGACGAGGGCGAACACACAAATGAGGCGACGGATCGTTCGAGCGGAAAACAAAAGGCAAGAGTCGCAAACAAACTTCCCTAATAGATACGACGAGCGACGCGCGACACCAGTCTTAGACCCTGAAGGAGTTCTATCTTTTCTACAAGCACGGTAGTCAGCTTATCAGCCGCGCGCACCTACTGTTCTTAGAGCTCACCGCAATCCCTCTGCAAGTGAGTCCTCCGACTGTTTTCTCCTTGAGAACGTCGCGAAGATGCTGCCGAATATGCATGATTACGAAGAGCCGCCAAGCCACAAGCAGGCTATCTAACAAAAAATCCGGGGCATCAGGGCGGCTGGCATATATTTAGGGCTAAAGGTTTATTCCAATAAGACACAAAAGCAGGGAAGTCGCCTACCTAGTGATGACTTAAAGTCAAGAATGGCGCAACGCCCTACACACTCAAGAATGAATAGCACCAGCTGCTGGCCCGTGAGAGCTGGTAGGACTGGTAGAGGAAGTGGTGGTCGTAGTTTCCAGAACGAATCCCCCCCGGAGATTAGCTTTACCAGCACGCCGAGCGCGTGGCGCTGTAGCGCCAGTACTCTGATCCTGCTCCACAATGGCGAGAGGGTGGGGGCCAAGGTCAGACGCGGTAATAAATCCAGCATCAGTTGTCCCCTGCTCGCGACCCAGTTGCAAAGTAAAATTGCTGCCACGACCTTCCACCACGTCAGAGGGACCTTCCGCAGCGACGGGGCCAGCCGCGTTCTCAGTGTCCAGCGGCTGCGCCGTTTGTTTTAGAGTGTTCTGGGGGTCATCTCGGTCCTCGCATCTTGATGCCTTTGCCCATGTGTTTCAACATGGGAATAGAGGCGAGGCGAGGAGTGTCAAGATGCTGAGTCAGTAGTAGTAGTGGTAGTAGTAGTGTGCCCAATCGTGGGGCACAGCCACAGAAGAATTGTTATAAATTAACAAAAGCCGACCATCATAATTGCTGTTTGGCGGCCGCTTCTGGAAAAAATATCGGCGGAAAGCACAAGGCCAGACCAAGCATCGAGAGGAGCAGATGTAAAAGCGGCATGATCGCCATCACTGTCACCAGGTGCCGAGCCCCCGCGGCTTTCATCGTAGGCTGAGACATCTTCTCGTCGTTGGGAAAGCGAGGCAATAGAAGGGGCAAACTGCCACTTTATGGCTGGAGAAGTTTGCGTCGTAGCGAGGTTCTTCTAAGAACTAAAAAGGCAACGATTTCAAGAGCTACGCAGGAACGTACGAAACCAAGTGGACTCTTTAATGTTGTGACACTGTGAACGAAGTCAAGAACCTTTAATGTTGTTGTTGCGATTCTAGGAACATCTGAGCAACAGAGTATGTAGAAAGATATCGAGAAAGAGAAAGGAAACAAGATGGCACCTACTAAGCTATATGAAGTGAGTAGTTTTCGTTTTTAAATCTTTCATCGTCCTCCTTTTTAGATTAGATAGCGGATGTAACAAGTACACTGACTCGAAACGAGTACGATCTTTAGTGGTATCAGAAATGTTTTTTTGAACTTCTATGAAATGTTTTTCTTCGACTTTGAAAATACTTAAATTGTTACTTTCCTCCTTGATGAAGATACTAGTTGTAGAATTTTAACAAGTTGCTTTCTTGGTGTTGTTTTCTTGATTTTTGGGTTGCGAGGAATGATCGCAAGATCAGCCACCTCTTTTTCTTTGCTCGCCTGAGGGGTTTTTTGGGTTTTGGATGTGAAAGCTTGTTGTTATGGAACCGGATATAATGAACACTCCTTGACTCAATGCGTGACTCGTCTGAAACTAATCACTTCTACGTGAGTACGAGCGTCAGAATGACTGAACCCAAAGTCACATAGTGGGTGCCGAAGCCAATCAATCAAATATCGAAAGGTCCGTCGCATCAATTATCAAATAAAATATGAGTGTAGAGCTACATCTAGATCATGGTCTGTCACTCAAATGCATGCGTCGCGAAAGACAGAAGTAAACTTCATCTCCACAGAGGTTGTACAAGCAGAGGCTGTAGAAGTAGCTGCTCCTGTCTCTCATCTGTAACTCGTCTACTCCTCGTAGCTCGCCCTCATCAACATTTCATATCACCAGAACACATCTTCATCCTCTTCATCTTAGAAATAACATCAACAAGGCCTTCGCCCTCCTCATCCTCTCCTCTCGTTTTCTTTTCTAGTACTGCCAATAAATTCAATCTAATTTTCTCCCGCCGCTAGTTAGGGCTCACAGGTCAACATAGTCTCAGAATCCAAGAAGGAAACGAAAAGTGACGACCTGAATCATATCAAGCCTATATTACCAAGGCAGTACTAGAATACATAGGTCACATTCCATCTACTCGTCTTCTCATCAACTCACTCCGTGTCCATGTTTAAGTTCGCGGTCAGTATTAAACTTGAACGCTTTTCAGGAGCATGTGTCAACATTATAAAATTGGTAGCAGTAGATCATGTGACGATCAGCACAGTGTACTGCTGAGCCGCATGATGTGCCAGAAAATATAACCGAAGATTATGGGAAGACCCATTCATGCATGTGCCCCACCCAGGCCAACACTACGCCTCTAATCTGGGAAGAAATCCACCTAAATAATCAAATATGACAGAAAGTGTATCCTTTGTGTGTTGGCGGCCAAAAGATGCGCATTATATCGGGAATTGATCTTGGAGATGTGCCAAAGATGCAGGACTACACGAGTCAGGTAGAAGCCTGGTGGAGTTTTCATTTTCTCTTAAGCACCACTACTACTTTAGGAGGAGGAGGAGCAGTAGTAGTAGCAGGGGTAAGTTCAACAACAGTGGAAGGGTTGAGCCTACACCAATATATAATCTCAAACGGCCACGACATGTGGAGTTGTTTCTAGCGAGCAAGGTGAAACAAAAAATATTAACGATTGAAACCGAAGAAGACCAAAATCGTTAATATATTCTCTCAAACAGATTGGGTGGAACTAATTATAAGATGAATTGAGCAACAAGTTGTGTCACGCTCTCCTCCACAGACCGACTGTGCTTCGAGTTGTATTTCCTGCTTGTTTATTCCCGGGGACACGGACATGGCCATACCGAAATAAACTTCGGCGCGCAATCTTCTATTGCGACTTCCTCTTTTTCTTAATCTCCTTTCCTTGGGCTCTCCTCACAGGGACAAGGAGTCGTGGTAATATTAGTAGTCATTTGTAGGCAGAAGAACAAAAAATACATGGGAAACCGAAGGACACTCTTCTTGCTTTCTATCCTCTCGAGCTGGTCGTCCTCTAGTGCGGAATGATTTGCTTAGAACATCGTTGTTACTTAGAAGAGCACCGCGAGGACACAAGAATATCCTGGGTAGATCACCGCGATGCAAAGCGACTGTTGAGGATGTGAAAAAGGCTCAAATATGACGTTGTGTAACAGCAAGGGTTGCATGGTCATTGTGTAGCAAGGGTTGCGTCGTCATTGTGTAGCGAAGGTTGCGTCGTAGTTGTATGACAAGCAAACTCTTGATGGCCATCTAGTTGTAAGGTTACCAAGAAATTGGAGCACCATCAGTCACATGGGGTATCAGTCACATGAGGTATCAGTCACGGGGATGATTCTACTACGTACTACTGGAAAGTAGTACTAGTAGTAGTTTACCGATTCCCATTCGAGGGGTAAGCGATCCTTGGTCCCCTCATCTCCTCCTCCTACTCGTGGCTCGTCCTACCACTCGTGGACCCCTCCTGCTACCGCGGATCCAGCTATTCCCGCTTTTTTACCAGTCGTTTATCATAGTACAAGGTGTAGAAATGCAGGCACATGGCGCGCGCGAGTCCCCAATTTATTATGTACCTGTTGTAGATATATTATGAGACGAAGTACAAGCTGCACTGTTGTAGACGAAGGACTTTGGTAGTACAAATCAGGCGATTTTGATTAAACATGATCTACTTGAATTGATAACATTGATCGAACATGATGAAAGAATGCACATGTTTATGATATATGTTACGAGGAGTAAAAATATTTATGAGGTGAATATTAAATAAATATATAATTATGACTCTCATCTTTGGCCGCCTTAGAACATCAATAATAGGAACAGTATTATAAATAAATATATAATTATGACTCTCATCTTTGGCCGCCTTAGAACATCAATAATAGGAACAGTAATTTTCAAATAATAAGTGAGACGAGGTAGATTTTCGTCTTCTTGAGACAAACGCAAAAATCAAAACAACTATTGTGATATCCAACCAGGGGAAACTCGGTCACAACCACTTGTTGAAAAAAAAGACACGACCAATTATCTTCTTTTTTAGTATTTGTATTGAATCATTACAGTGGTGGCATACTTCAGGAAGGGTGAAAGTAAGGTGGTTCAATCATTCATCAAAAGCGAGAAAAAAGAAGTAAGTGCATCAACTAGTTCTACTAGCGTGCCTGTTCATCAGCTTGAAGCAGGATCCTGTTTTTGAAAGATCATGTTTGACTCCCAGTTGATAACTCCTGCCTGTTCATCAGCTTGAAGCAGGAACAACGAACGGATCATTACATTCATTGAGTATAGTACGGAAATGAAAAGGTAAGTACATGATGAAATTGATGAGACACGGGTCCTTCACGTCCTGATAGGTCCGAAAGAGCAAGGCAAAGCTCCCGATTCCTGTAGCGCAACTGCATATTAGACGAGATCGAACAGCAGTATAAGCAACTACGAATGATTATTATTATAGCTATTGGAGAACAGGAACCGCAGGCCTCCCCTAGACCTGATGATGTCATCCTGAAGAAGCCTGATCTAGATGGATTCCTCTGAAGCTTCAACTTGCTAGCGACAGGAGAGGGCGAATCTGAGATTGAAGATATCTCCCACCATTTCTTGATGAGGTCTTGGCTATATGCTATTGGTTATATGCCTTTTTTTACTGTTGCTGTTCTACTGCAACCAATAGCACACCTACGATTACATAACTTTCAGGTAGTAGACCTTAGATATAGATGTTCATGTTGACACATCAAAAAGAATTTAATAAATATTAACTTCTTTCCTTCAGAGAAAAACAAGTATCAGCAAGTATGTCTTTAAGGCACGAACAATTATTATATATGGTCCCCAGTAGTGAACAACTATTGCAGAAAGATTCGATGGTGGTTTGAGTATGAATATCATTATAGTATGAAGTAGAAGTAGATGCCGAGTGGATGACTTCCACCGGAAGGAGATGACGGACCACAGATACCTCAGACACAATCGCGACGCCCAGAAGCAGAACTAGACGAAGCAACGAAAGATAATACTCAGGCAAAAGACCTCAGACAAAAAAGAGTTTACTTCTCTGGAAGAAGCAACGAAAGAAGATAAAATTTTTAGCCTTATAAAAATAGCTTCTTGTGCTCCTTGAAAATGTAGACTACAATTACAGGAGGCTACAACGAGTGAAGTGCTCGTGACGCCTAGATGAAGTATGAAGGATGATTCATTGAAGCCTTAGGCCACCGCGCTGAATCATACTTGTACTAGTAGGCCCTAGTACAGCGGTGATGAAGGGTGATTCATTGACACGACCTAGAAGAAGTAGTTTGCTGAAGAGAGCCATAACAGAAGACAGCCAAGATGCGTCACGTAGAAGCCAACAAACGGCAGCTTCTTTAGCGCTCACCCTAATCCATCTCGGGCTGCAACCTAGGCGTCTTTTCCCAATGTGAAGCCTCTTCGGGATGCTTCCGCAGATGGAGTAGGGGAAGCCTTAACTTCTGCAGCAACGGGTACAGGGAGTTAGAGATCGAGATGCTCTTTTGTTTTGGAAATGTAACAAAACGAATAGGCTATTTATGATTTCTTTCGCCAGGAGTTGTTATACGTAGTCCTCGCAATAGTTTTATTAATAACTCCAATTCCAATTTATTTACTCTTCGCAGTACTGCCGCCGATGATGTATGATGATGATGATGCTGATGGTTGCGCCTCGTCTACCTATAGCCGGCTACTAGTCGTATAACTTTACTTACCACTTGTAGATGTAGTCCTCGCATTCGTAGTAGTAGGAAGTCTATCTTTAAGGAAGAGGCAGGAGTAAACAGAGATCCTGATAAAGGTGAGAACGACGAGGGACCCAGTCCAGGGAAGACGGGTTTAAGCAGTTCATCTGAAGAGTCATACTCTAGAATGATTGTCATTTCTAAAGAGAATGGTATTTTTAAGAAATTTAAAAGAACAACAACTGCAGAGTGAAGATAGTTGCTGCTTCTTCTTCTTCTTCAGCACTTGTTTGGTACGCACATCAATGCGCAGCTGATTTTTAGTGAGTCGGAGTAAAGCTTCAACTTGTGAAAATTACGAAAAAGAATGATCATTAGTTAGGTTAGGTTAGGTGTGGGTCCACTAGATAAACCAGCAGACTTCAGTGGCTACTGAAGAGCCAAAAAGAAAGAAAACAGGGGTCTACGACCTACAGCCGGCACTGACTGCTACGCTACTACTTTCTACTTCTAATTCTACTTCTTAGTTATCAAGTTATTTAGTCATCAAGTTTAGTCCAAAGCATAAGTAAGTGCGCAGTGTAGTAGGCTATGCTGGTGTCGCCTATGCTCCGATTCATTGGGTTTCCACGTCCAGACGCAAGGCCGAAAAACCTGCGATGTCAGGACTCATTCAGGATGGATTCATTGAAGTTGGATTGATTGACTCGACAAACAAGACTCACTGATGGATATTAATATTAGTATATATAGTATTAGCAATTGCCAGAAATCTCTTAAGGAGCTCCCTTAAGGAGCTTCCTTAAGGAGCTTCCTTAAAGAAATCAGTTTCCTTAAAGAATTTTTATTATAAAAAGTTATTATAACTTTCCTTAAGAGGGAAAAAATTTCCTTAAGGAGCTCCCTTAAGGACAAGCTGTTATAAACTTAGGCTAATAACAGCGGCTCCTTAAGGCCCTTGCTAGTACTACGAGTTCAAAGGTGTCACGAACGTGCTAACGTGTTCGCGGCTGTTAGTTTGTAGGCTACTCACGTACACCAGCCACATCTGCAGCAAGACACTACGCGCCCACCCCTAGCGAATCGCCCCAACGAACGAGCTGCCAGCCGCTACTCTTGTCATATATCGCCCAGCGCCTTTTCTTTTTTTCAAAAACTTCAGGGAGGTCATTCAAATACAGAGAAAACTGAACGACCTCCCTGAAGTTTTTGGAAAAAAGTTAGCTCGCTCCCCTTCCGCGACTACCTTCCGCGCACAGCAATCGACCACGGCACAGGAGCGCGCGGCAGCCCTTGGAGATGGTTGACCAGTCTACTTCTAACCAGCACAAAAGCGGGAGAATTGTAAGGGAGAGGGTGAGCACTTGAAAGGGTAGAGGCTGACGAGCGTGATCATATTGATGCGCGAGAAGGCCAAAGACATACACCTCGGCGCTTCAAAGTCGCAGCCGTTGGGGATGTCGATGGCTGTGAGAATGATAGCCGTGAGCACTTGCGTGTCTGAAGGGTGGACCCTGGTGAGCGTCATCATGTCCATGAGAAGGCCAAAGGTGTGCAACTTTGCGCGTGAAGGTCGAAGCCGTTGAGGATGTTGATGTCTGTGAGAATGATAGCCGTGAGGACTTGCGTGTCTGAAGGGTGGACCCTGGTGAGCATCATCATATCCATGAGAAGGCCAAAGATATACATCTCTGTGTATGAAAGTCGAAGCCGTTGAGGATGTCGATGTCTGTGAGAGTGATAGCCTTGAGGACTTGCATGTCTGAAGGGTCGACCTTGGTGCGCGTCATCATATCAACGAGAGGGCCAAGGACGTACATCTGTGTGTGTGAAAGTCGAAGCCGTTGAGGATGTCGATGTCTGTGAGAATGATAGCCGTGAGGGCTTGCATGTCTGAAGGGTGGACCCTGGTGAGCGTCATCATATCCATGAGAAAGCCAAAGGCATGCATCTCGGTGCTTCAAAGTCGAAGCCGTTGAGGATGTCGATGTCTGTGAGAATGTTAGCCGTGAGGTCTTGCATGTCTGAAGGGTGGACCTTGGTGAGCGTCATCATATCAACGAGAGGGCCAAAGGCGTGCATCTGTGTGTGTGAAAGTCGAAGCCGTTGAGGGTGTCGATGTCTGTGAGAATGATAGCCGTGAGGGCTTGCATGTCTGAAGGGTGGACCCTGGTGAGCGTCGTCATATCCATGAGAGAGAAGGCCAAGGGTATGCATCTCTGTGCTTGAAGGTCGAAGCCGTTGAGGATGTCGATGTCTGTGAGAATGATAGCCGTGAGGCCTTGCACGTCTGAAGGGTGGACCCTGGTGAGCGTCATCATATCCATGAGAAGGCCAAAGATGTGCATCTCTGTGTGTGAAAGTCGAAGCCGTCGAGGGTGTCGATGTCTGTGAGAATGATAGCCGTGAGCACTTGCATCTCTGAAGGGTGGACCCTGGTGAGCGTCATCACATCCATGAGAAGGCCAAAGATCTACGTCTTTGCGCTTGAGTGTCGAAGCCGTTGAGGATGTCGATGTCTGTGAGACCGATAGCCGTGAGCGCTTGCAGTTCTGAAGGGTGGACTTTGGTGAGCATCATCATACCCATGAGAAAGCCAAAGGCATACATCTTTGCGCTTGAAAGTCGAAGCCGTTGGGGGTGTCGATGTCTGTGAGAGTGATAGCCTTGAGCACTTGCGTGTCTGAAGGGTGGACCCTGGTGAGCGTCGTCATATCCATGAGAGGGCCAAAGGTATACCGCTTTGCCTGTGAAAGTCGAAGCCGTTGAGGATGTCGATGTCTGTGAGGAAGTGGATGAGGGTGGACCCTGGCGGGCGTCATCATGTCCATGAGAAGGCCAGGCGCATGCACCTCCGTCGGTGAAGGCTGAAGGCTGAGGACGTCGATGCCTGTGTGTGAGATTGATAACTGTGGGCCATTGCATTTCTGAGGCGCGGACCGTGGTGGGCGTCTTGCGTCATGTCCATGAAACAGCCAAGCTTATAGACACATCCCCGCGCCTGAAGGTTGGGGCCCAGCTTCTGGCTCTGCGCATAGATATGCCCAAGCGTGGCTTTCTCATGGGCCTCGTCCATGACGCTCGCCAGTGTCAGCCTTTTGCCATCCCATGGGTATGTTATGCTTTAGGATTCTCCTGGACATGATCACACTCAAAAGGGCCCAACCTCTGCGCCTAAATATGTCCAAGCGTGGCCTTCTCATGGACTCCATGACGCTCAGCGGGCCAGCCTTGGCGCCCATTGGCTTGCCCCTAGCAAGCAAGTTGGCCAAGGCAGTAGCCACAGCGGTAGCCTCCTCACTAGCCTCACCACAGTGGGGGCCAGCTTCCCTGCCTTGGCGAGCAGACTTGGCGACTTTTTTCGTTTGTCTTTCTGTCTCTTAGTGGTCAACCTGTCTAGTTGTTAACCTATGCCCAGCGCAGCGGGCCCTTGATGGGCCCGCTTTCTGGGCATGTAAATATATGTCGGAAGATTATTAACTGCGTGATTGTTGTACCCACTGGAGAAGGGGACTCATTTTTTGTCTCGCGTAGGACTTTACGCTTATCTGCCCCACGCCGGTGCTACGGATAATTTCAAGCACTAGCTATCTTTTTCTTTTCCACATATGACTATAATTTGCTTCTTTCCCTCAGTTGTAACACGATTTGCATGTTGACAGTCCTTGTGGTCAACATCTCCATGCACCTCCAATTCATTGAAATGAGGAATAGTTCTTGAAAATATCAATCCTCGTAGTGAAAATACTTATAGATACTAGTGCTACGTACACTACTTGGTCTAAAAAGAATTATCATAGGTGTAAGTTGGTGGATTTCAAGGAATGGCAACGACAGCGTAGTCCTTGAAAATTTGGAATTTGGAAGTCTAAAGTTTGAACATTGGTGCAGGTCTAAGGTAGTCAGATATATAAGATCAAAATATTGATAAATAAGTACTTAGATTAATATACCAGTACCCCACAACTAATCCCAGGCTTCTGCTATCAGAAGTCCAGAACTGCACTCAAAGAGTCGCAAACTCAACTTTCAAACTCAAATATCCAAAAATTTTTGAGTATAGCTCCTACACTGATCGAGATTGATTTCCTGAAGAAGCACTTCTTTCAGGCTTGAAGTAGCATGGAAGTAACAGATAGGATAGCTGGCTCGCTCAAAAAAAGTCTTATGTGAACTCGTCGTAAACTTCAGAAGATTCTGCCAGTGCCTGGCTTTTCCCATGAGAAGTGAAAGCGCACAAATGTCAATGGCTTTTAGGTACCCCATATTACGGACACTGGCTATATTAATTCGTAATCAGCAGTCTATTAATCAGGTAGAGGTAGACCTTAGACAAAAAAAGAGTTAACTTATTCGATAAACTGAAAGAAGCGAGTATTCTCGAGGAGAATGGATCTCATATTAAGGGAAATTAAGGTACTCTGGCAGGAAGCTGATCCGGTGATGAAGGCAATAACTGCAGCTACTAGCCGTCACGTCGCAGATTAGAGAGGTGCGGCGCGCAGCGCCTCCAATGATCCATCCACCCTCTGCAGCAGGTGGCACGCCTCGATTGATTCATTGCTATGTAGCAGCATCATGTCTGTAGGTATATCTACAACTTACATCTTCGACGAGAGGGGTCGACTATCTCTACAGAATAATATTTGAATGCAGCCTGAAGAGGGCTAAACTATCTCTACAGGGTATGTGAATGCAGTTTGGCGAGGGATCAGTTATCTCTACGGAATATTTAAATGCAGCGTGACGAGGGACCAACGCAAGCATCTTCAATCTCGATTATCATAGAATTGCTCTTATAAATATAGAGCTTCAGATAGACCTATCTCTTCTTCTATAGCAGAACGAGCTGCAGCATTGAAAAGGGGGTTCAAGAACTCGCCGCAGAAATTAGAGCTGACTTTTATACTCATCTTGAAAAGCATCTTGCTGTGGCGTGTTTTCTCTGCCGATTTAGAAGAAGTGCAGCTCCCATGTTGTCCCTGTCCTTGATTTTTAATATACTTCCAGAGAAAAGAGGACCAAAGAAGAAGATGCCTCATCTTAAGATGAACTACTATGAACTTCTACTGTGAGATGAATGAGTCTTAACTTAAGCAGAAGAGGGTCTTTGTGCCTGCTGGAAAGTACTGGACATAGTAAACCAACGATTAGAGCTACCGCGTTCGCATCCCTCAGAGCATCCTTGGCTTCTTTTTCAAGTAGAAAAAAGGCCAGGGATGGCGCTGAGGATGCTTCAGCGGTAGCCTCAAAACAATGACCAGTAGAAGCCACTCCCGCAAAGAACTAGTTGTTGAAATCTTATAGTTCTTGCGCGAAAGGCGGCTGCGAAAAAACACAGCTGTATTGCTAATATTAGAGAGTCACGAAGTCCATCCTGCGACCACGTCGCACTACCCTTGAAAACGAAAAGAGAAGATGACCTCTTTCCCCTTGAAAACTGTCTCTACTATATTAGAAAAGCAAGAAAATGCAGCTTCTGCGAAAGAGGATGATAGACATTGACTTTGATCAGCATCAGGATCTATCAGGGGCAGTCTGGTCAATACCAGTACGATTAAGAAGCTCTGAAGTATAGTTACAGGATTTCAAACCAATGACATCACAGGCAAGACAGCTACCGACCTTCTAGTTGAATAATCAGTGAAAAATAGAGGTCAATGTCAATCTGTTAAGCGTTATAATTCAAAAACATGCAATTGCAACAAGAGGCAGTCCTGCTGTCCCAAGTACACCAGCCCTAATAATATCGGTCCCAAATAAAGCCATCCTCGATCGTCCACCAACATCTTCCTGAGCACCTTTAGAAAGAGCCTCAATCAACCCATGTGCCGGCAAGTTGGCAAGTCATCTTAAGTCAAGAAAAAGTTTCACGAAACTCAATGTACGAGAAGCAGAAGTTCGAGTGCGTTGTTGCTGAATAATCAGTCATCTTAATCTTAATGTTAAGTCATCTTAATGTTAAGTCATCTTATATATATATAATGTTGTGTTTGTTAGACGATAGAAGCCATCTTAAATTTCGATGCAGCCCTGTCTCGACTTCTTGCTGTCCACGAGGCTTTGATGTCCACCACGGCCACTCTAGCACTTTTACTTTGATGTTGTTACAACAGTACTTGTCCAGCACTTCTATTTGTGAAGGTGTAATAAATATAAGCTGGATGAAAGTACTAGATGATAGATGAAGGTGCACTAGTTGTCAATGTAATGTCAGTACTAGATGAAAGTATTAGGTGAAGGTGTTAATGTCATGTCAGTACTACTAGATAAAAGTACTAGGAAGTGTGAAGGTGTCAATGTATCTAGTACTAGGTGAAGGCGCCACGTTTGAGATGTCTCCTAGAAAATTACCCACTCTCTTACTTGTGCATGGCTGTTCAAGAACTTTCCCTCCCCTACGTACTTCCTAGAAGCGCTACTTCTTATAGTTGTACAGTCTACAACTTACAACTCCGCCACCGCCACCGCTCGTCTTCTAGTACTGCAGAAATATCTCAACAAGACCTCTTCTTCGGGATGTTGGAAATCAAGTGCTTCTACGAAACTGCGCTTTCTGTAAGAAAGCCTCTAAGCTGGACGCCAGATCCACCAAAGGATGAAGAGTACATGGACCTCGAGCTAGTACATGGAACGCGTACTAGTGCGTGAAGGTGAGCTAGTACATGGAACGCGTACTACGTGAAGGTGAACTACTAGTACATGGAAGAACTCGAACAACTACGCTGTGAAGATAATTATGGACGATATTAAAAGTGCTTAGAAGTATTGGCAGGATCGACGATTAAAACTAAAGAGCAAAGCCAAAGAAGCTGCTTGATCAAGAAGATGTGTGGTCCACGACCTCCACCTCGTCTTTTCATACGCCAGACTCGACTGCCTGTTCTACTTCGTCACAGTCTTCTTCGACTAGGACTACACCAGTTTGAGTTTTCCCTGCACCATAGTATCATTCTTAGAGGCGCAATCAACAGCAGTGCGAGTGAAGTCACCAGTTTTCCCTGCAGCGGGCAATGCGAATGCATTCAACAGCCAGGGGTCCCGTTATAATTAGAGACCAGCAGTCCTTGGTCGCTGGTATAGGAAGAGATCAACACACATCTCCCCCTGTTGGTTCTTTCAAAGTGCCCTCCCTTTGATGTCAGAGTCCTTAACGTATGAGCAACGCTGAAGTCTGAGCCTTAACCACGAGTGCACAATTGCGCGTCCTCCACCGCGACAGGGACGACGTGGACGGCTACATTTTTTTCAACATAAAGGTTTCAAGAAAAATGATGCTGTAGTCGATGTTGATGTGCAAGAGATTGGCACATACTTGCCATCTTCGCATTCATCGCTGTGACATCGAGGGGCGACAGGCATAATTAATGTTGCTGTTATAATAAGATGAACCTAGGACGACTTTCTAAGACTAAGACCATTCTGTTGTTGTTATAAATAAAGCTACGACGTGGAAGATTGATACTGATTGAGATCGTGGCGAGGAAAGAAATACTAACGAGCTAAAGAAAATCTCAACAATTTTCCCACAGACCAACGAACCGCCAAGCCCAAAACGATGCGCGGGCGGTCCGTCAACACTCACGCAACGCCGACGCTGGGGCTGCTACCAAAGACGAAACACAAAACAAAAGAAGGCAGCCGAAGCCACCGAAGCCACCCCGGTGGCCTCTTTGGCCATAAAAGCAAAAAGACAACGAAGACCAACCCAAGCAACTTTTCGCGAAGATTTCGCGCACGTCAACCGCCGTCGCGGTGGGACCAAATGGAGAGAGAGAAGCGCCGCGGTCGGTCGACGAGGTCACTCTTCTTCTTGACTATTGAGTCTGGCCTTGATGATTTTTGGGGAGTCTGCTTCTTGATCTTCGTTGTATTAAATTGTACGGAGCAGCAACTTCTTCCTGGTCGTGTGCAGGCACCAGGAGGAGCATCAGTTTCCTTATGATTTTAGGAGCAAGAAGGGGATCAGCATCATTGCTTTTCTTCTATGTAGAACAAGGGGTGTGTAGAGGTCCGTAGTAACATGAAGTACTTAGGTGTTAGTTAAGAGTGTTTGCGTTAGGAGGTATGCACTCACTACACTACGTCGAACGTAAGTGGAGCAAGAAAGGAAGTTGTGGCAAAAAGGAACACACCAACATTGCTGACCCTCATCATGTCGATATTTTCAGGGCCACACTCAATGGCTGCTATTATGGCCCCAATGATCAAGTTCAAGGCGTCTGAAAATACTTCCACATCCTGCTTCCAATTACACCCCATCATTTTTCTGATTATACATATAGATACCTCCTAGAAAATGAAAACGCATTTACCCCTGAGAACGACGAACAAGCCAACAGATGCAAGAATAGAAACATGACTAACAAGGATGAAGCCAGATTATTCCTCCCTATTCTTGAGCCTAATGAAGTAAAGCTGACGCCTTTCCCCACCGCAAAATGGCACTGCGCGACCAAGGTACTCGCACCCGTTAGACCCAGATACTGCCCACACCAAACGGAATGGATTAGAGGGTGAGGGAAAATAACTAGAAAATTAACTTGAAGTTTAATATACTCCAAACTAACAAAAAACTAGAAAAGAAAAGAAAATTTGAAGTTCTATTTGTAGATCCCGTTCATCTTAAGAAAGTAAACTTACGTCCTCGCACTTATTCACAGACGAATCACTCATTCCACTGAAATAATTAGAAGAAAGAGTCAGGTACTGGCCACACGACCAAACGGAGTCAGTAAATATACTTCTTTTTTGAGCAGTCATATGGTTATGGAAGTAATCTCGTAAGCGGTAAGTCGAAACAAAGAAACGCTTCTTCTGAAAAAATGTAAATGAATTTAAAGCCTCCTTCTAAAATAAACTAAACCATCTTCTATGATTCGGTTAGAGTTTCAGCCTCTCGCACAAGTATATTTATCGATGTAACAGAAGGCGTGAAGTCAAGTCAAGTCATAAATCAACAACGCTTTGAGTCATCGCTGAATGAATTTCTGAAGGAGAGGCGCATGTCTTCGGCAAAGCTGTCGCATCCCGGACCCCACATTCGGCATGAAAGCACTCATGCACCGTTTTCGGTACGATCTCCCCACGCGGAGGCGAACGCTGGTGTTTTGTGATGGAGAATTAATGTATTTGCGCCGTTTTTTCTAATTGTTTAAAAATGCACCTACAGTTCAAATTGAGCCCAGCACGAGGTGACACATATTCCAGTCTGTTCGATCACCATATGTAGTTCATGTAGTCATAATGCAGTACCGTTTTCAATGGTTTGTAACTGATAACTTCGATAGCTCCGGTTGACGTCTTTCGCGTGGGTGGGCATGGCTTGCAGTCGGATTGCCCGTAAGCATCTTGTTAGAGTCTCCCCAATTCATGGATCTTCCGTGTGGAAAAAAAATATCCCTCGAGAATTTCTAATTCCCCTCGTTGTAGTACTACTTACTTGTCCTTGTTCAGGTTGCGCAGCTTACCGTTGTTGGTGTGGAAAACAATCTCCTGTCAAGAGAGAAAACCAAAGTGCGTCGATATCTTCTTTTTACAACAAACAAACGAATATGCGCCAAGGTTTCATCGCTTTGTATTTCAAACAAACGAATATGTCGCTTGTATTGGGAGGCGTCTTACGGCTGAGGGATAGAGATCGTGGACTAGGCCTTAATCCTGAAACGTCCCGCCAGGACATACCAAGGCACGATCGCCTATGATTTAGAGTAACAGCTCCACTCTTCTTGTGCTTATCATAGATAGTTGTACAACGAACTGATAATAAGCCTTGAAGCAAAGAGAACAGTGCTGGAAGATATGAAGATATGCCTGACAAGAGGTTGGTGTATGAGAACTTTTAGTTAGATCATATATAGTTGTACAAGTAAACCCAATCCACCAGGGGTCGTATGCTATTATAGATAGTTGTAGTTGTACAACGAACTGATAAAATTTGAATATCAATATTATGCACTTTTACAAGGATAATTTGCTGCTAGAGAAATAGAAGGCTCCTCTGCCAACGAACTCAACTGCGAAAAAGTACAAGTGTGGTCTCTATGTAATGGACGAAGGTACTATCCTTTACGATTCTCATAAAGTGAGTAATATCCTGGCGGTGCCGCACAGCAACATTTGAAGCCTGGGAGGCACTCGCAAGCTGGACACGTCCCATCGCAGGAACGCGCATCACGCGTAAACCCAGCTCGACAGGGAGTTAGATGCTATAAAGGGAGACCAACACGGAAATTGGCGGGATTGCAATTTAAGTTACTTATAAAGTATCCTTTGCATAAAAAAATGAAGGGATTAAAAATAGGCCGAAGGAAGCGAAGTGCTTAACCAGCTATTTTCTTGGTGCTTAAAAAAAGTGCTTATATACTTATATATAATATAACCGCCTAATCGAACTCGTTAACTCTTTCCAACTATATTGTACGTTGGAGAAAAACTTTAGGTTAGCAAGGACACAGAGGATCCTGCACATGATCTTAATCATCGATAATTCTTTATTTGAGTACAAGTAAGTGACTTCACGAAGTAGCACTCCTGAGACAAGGCCTGGCTTAAATACCTGAAATAACCGAAACCGAGTGGCCTCGAAGATAATTGTTGTAGAGCCCTAACTAAGAAATAAAGAAACCTGAAAAAAGGAAGACCACGTATAAATAAGCACCGCATGGTCATAAGCTCAAGCACTCGATTATTGTGTCGTGGGCTACTAGCTTGTGAATTCCATACATAAAGGTAGCACGACTTCTGCGCAGCACGTTTCTTGGCGAACCATGAGAAGAAGCCAGATCTTCCATAGGCTCCTCGACCAAGAACGTTGTACAACGGGCATGATATTTTGGATGAAGGGACTACTCTAGTGTAAAGCAGGCGTGACGTTTTGGATTCATTCACTCACTTACCTGTTCGAGAGGTGTTGGCTAGAGCGAGGGGACGCAAGTGTGGATAAAGGGACCCGTAACTCCGCGCTCGGATTTATGTTTAGGGAAAGCTGGAAAATGGGCATGGCGACCTCCTCTGCGGCCTTGCAGTACAGGAGGCATGATATTTTTGAATAATAGCATGCTCAACTTGAGGTAGGGATAGATCTACTCGAAGGCACCCTAAAACTACAACATCTCAAACAAGTGTAACGTTGAGTGTTCAAAGAACCAAAACAATCACACGGGTGAGGAAGATGGGAGAGCTCATGACAGGTCAGACGATGCACGATGATTTGTGCGGTGATTTGAGTCGTATCATCCTAAGATCATTTTTGGACAATTATTAGTCTACTTCAATCTGGATGATTGAAGTCTCTCAGTTATTCATTCTATTGCTTTACTTATACGGGCTATAATCTGCTTCTGCCCGTAGGGTCTCTTCTGCCCGTAGGGTCTCTACACACGAGGTGCCTGAAGGAATTCTTCATCTTCACCTCTAGACGGAAGATGAAGAATTCCTTCGGGTACCTTGTGTGTCAATCATTCATATGTATTGCATGAAGGGATAAACGTAAGTTAGAAGAAGAGGAAAGACGAGCCGGCTGTTTTATTCAGTGCTTTAGGCGCCCCCGCTGGACCTAAGCCTTCACCCTACTTTTAAAAAAAGGCGAAAGTCAATCAAGATTTGCCGCGCGCCTCTTTGTATGTACTAGCCCAGTCCACGACCGCGGCTGAAGTTGTCTTCTAGTAGGACTCTACTTTCGATACAAAGATCATAGAAAGCGTCTTGTTCTTGCCTACTAGACTGATACTCAAGTGTAGTTGGTTCCTTTTCGTCAGAGTTTCTTTCTCCAGCTCTTGCTGTAACACGCTAGAGTCGGATGGGAACAATCGGGTTGAAATAGACGGTCTCTAGTACGTGATCGAGCAACAACCTGTTTGAGCGGTGTATTCCGTTTAAACTGTTTAAACTCAACTGTTTACTCTGATGTCTAGCAACTGTTGTAAGCGGTTAGCTTTTCCCCCATGTCCTAGGCCTATCCCTCCAAACAATTTATTCTGTCATGTCATCCTGTGGGTTTTTAGTTCTTTCATGATGGAGGCCAGAAGTAGCAGTAGGACTCTTGACGTCACTTTTTTGCTCCACCTGCAATTTCTTCGTCTTGATGCCGCTTTTTTGCTCCTCGTCTATGTAGCAGGACGAGTCAGAATCTTGCGGATTTTCACCATCTTGCGGATTTATTTTTTTCCCACTCATCTTCTCAAAATTACCACTCTCGAAAGAGCTTTTGAGAAGGTCCAAAGGGCTTTCGAGAAGTCCCCCGCCAGCAGATGTTAGAGGGAGATGACGACCCAGTTCTTGTGAGAGTAAGCAACAGTGATACCAGTTAATCTCAAGCTGTACGGCATGTAGTACAACGGCATGTAGAACTGCTTCCTTGTATAAAATTGAAATTCATTTTTGTAGAGATATGGAAGATGATAAGTTGATAACTCAAGTCCCACAGCCTTCGCCTCGGCGGGAGATATTAGTCATAGAGATTACTATTGGTTAGGACTTGTAAAAGAGTCAAGGTGTAAAGAGTGCCTTTTTCTGACAGTCCTAATACTAATACGTCGACCATAGTAGTCGTGAGTCCATTCATGGGGTACCGTCCGACGTTAGCATACGGGGGGAAGGGGTAGTTTGCATGACCATGATCATCGAGTCCTACGACAACTAGACTGCCTTAACAAAGAAAGCAATCTCACTGGCGACGCAGTGGTCCAATCTCGGGACAAATCGTTCGACGGGATCACGGTCCTGTTCACCTTCAAAAGGCCTCGTTCGCGATCTGCAGCAATGTCTCGCTCACTTCCTCTTGTATTGGTTCTTCTTGATGTTGTAGTTAATGTTATTGCTTCTTCCTCCTTGTTATGCTCCTCCTGGTGCTTCGTCTTCTCAATTTTATCTTCAACAAGCACAACATTGAGCGGCTGAAGGTCAGATGATCGTGTACTAGTCGTTTTATCCTCCCTGTCTGATCTGAATTGCTTGCTCAAGAGCCAGCCACCAGAAAAACCCAAGACGCCAATAACAGCAGTTGAAGTTGTCCTCTTCAGTGAAGAAGGCACCACTGTCGACAAAAATCGGCGCGCATCGAAACCACGTTTTTGACTAAGAATACCGCTTCCAGAAGAAGCGGCAGCCACAATTTAGATCTTTATCTTTACTTATAACATCAACGTCAAAGATGAAAGTGGATAGATTCTTGTCGTGGCAGGCATTATAGACCACTAGTTGACTACGTTAGTGTCGAGTAGTCCTGAAGTTAGTACGTCTTCACCCAATAACCATTTTGTGATGACGAGTAGCAGACGGACATTATTCTTATTTCTCCCTTCCGTAAATACTGCCCAGAGCCATACCGGACGAAGGGATCGATCCCGGAGCATGCTTTTTCGCTCGCCTCCGATAGAGGATGACCAGCGGACCAACATCGTCGCCGGCTTAGATTAGATGGGGGAAGGAGGATGATCTTCGGTTAGTTTAGGTGTTGGTCTACCACGTTCACTAGCAGTAGACATGGTCGGATGATAATTGTTAACGACTGACTGCAATCTTAACTGAGACTGAAAACTGCCTCATCGTGATTCCCCCCCCAGTCTGAAGATGTGTTGTTGATTGCTACTCAGTCGTGTTAACAGGACGAGTCATGACATTGGTAGCCCTGCTTATTTTGCTTTCTTTGAAGATGAGCTTCAAGTTCAGCTTCCTTCCTTGTGGTTTAGTTGATAGATAGTATACATAGATATTTTGAAAATGAACTACAACTTCAACTTCAACGAAGCGTAACTCAACAAGCTGTCGATGAGTATCATCGCAGAAAGGGAATTTCTTGGATTGCCAGCATCGACATATTCGAATTTTATCCCTCTCGTAGTTCGGCAAGTACTCGTTCACCTGATGATACTTTGGATAATTTTGGGTATTAAACTCGAGTCCCGGAGGAGGCCAATCCATCGTGAGCAGGACAGGGGTCGTGGAGTTCAACCAAATAAAGTTGAAAGTGCAGCACCAGGTGGTCACTCTTATTTTCACAATGAGCGATGGAAGAGGAGGTTGAACTACAAAACGACTACTTTATTTCTTGTTCTGATATTGTTAGATAGTAACTCCAAACTGGGTCTTCTTCTTGGTCTACAAGCTGCTCCGATCCATTTCGAGGGTAGTCGTAAAACTCTGATCCTCCGAATTGTTTCTTTTTCAGTGGCCACCCTAGCTTTTTCTCGACGAGCAAATTTGGTTTTTCTTCCTTACATCTCTTTTTCTCTCTTTCCTGTAATCTCTCTGCTTGTCTGATAGATCTCTACTTCTCTTTCGCTCCTACTATTTTCCCGGTGCGTCCTGCTGGTGATGAAAAACGCTGTAGCGATCAAATTCAGTCAAGTTACACCTTTCTATGGTCATGGTCAACCTGAATGTTAAGTGCTTCATGTCTTTATAGTACAAGAAATCTTACCCGTCAACATAGCAGTGGCATTCTTAGCACTACAAACTCTGCCAAACGTGCATCACGATCAACCTCGTGGTGGTAAAATAAAACCACTAGCAATAGTTGATATAGCACCTCCCTGGTCAACATCAACATTTTCGTGATTATAGTGCAGTAAAACTACAAGTAGCCTGGTGGGTGTCAACACAGTCCTAGTTGTAACAGCAGTAGCACCGTGGAGTCATGACAGTGTCGTGGAAGCATGAAAGAGCTTAAATAACTCAAATCTTAGAACATCCTTTGCATTCTAGATTCTAGAACATCGAAAGTAGACTGAACTCATCAAAGATTCACTAGATCAGGAGAAATTTCAAAAAGTTTGACTTTCTGGTGACAATTACAACTCGAGAAGTCTAAAAAACTTCCAAAAACTCAAATTTTTGATATAGATATTGTGTCTGTGACATCTTCATAGTATAAACTTTCATATTCTATGTCCAAACTTCTAAGAATTCTAAATTTGGAATTCAAAAAAGATGAAACAAAACTGAAAATTCTTGGATCCAAGAATTTTCAGTTTTATGTCATCTTTTTCGAATTCATTTCCTGAGGAGCAGCTATCTGACTCATTGCTGGATTCGACACCACTTGTCAGATCAAAATCAACAACAAATGACATCTCTTCTACCACTATATGCACTTCTGTACTATCATTAATAGCGTCTCGCAAGTAGAAAGTAGTAACAAATAGATGTCGTCCATTACATAGTCTATGCCTACCCAGAAACCCTTTACTGGCGAACATCGAGTAAAAATGCCTCATACGCATGGCATTCGCATTCTGCGATCTGTGCACCATCTAATAACCCTCAGTACTTGCAAATACGCATCGCATTCTGCTATTCTCCTAGCACTTCGTCACCTCGTTTACTGGCCAATACGCATCGAGTTCTGTTAGTCTCCTGCTACGGCTTTGCCACCTCTTTTACTAACCAATACGCATGGAGTTCGGCTATTCTCCTAGCACTTTGTCACCTCCTTTACTGGCCAATACGCATCGAATTCTGCGATTCTCCTAGCACTTTGTCACCTCCGTTACAACTGGCCAATACACATCGAATTCTGCGATTCGCCTAGCACTTTGCCACCTTCTTTACGGGTAAATGCGCATCGCATTCTGCTATTCTCCTAGCACTTTGCCAGCACCTTTACTGGCCAATACGCATGGCATTCTGTTTATCCTCCTAGCACTTTGCCACCTCCTCGTCTGGCCCATAGGAATCGAATTCTGCTATTCTCCTAGCACTTTGCCACCTCCTTTACTGGTGAACAATACGCATGGCCTTCTGCTATTCTCCTAGCACATATTTGCCAACTCCTTTACTGGCCAATCCGCATGGCATTCTGCTATTCTCCTAGCACGTGTTCAGCAGGCCCGTATCGAGTAGCAAAGATCGGTGCCAGCGTGTGTCAATCATGGAGAATGACAAAGTCCACACTCAACCACGACTCGAGCTCGCTACTTCGCCATCCTATGCTGAGCCTCTACTTCACCGTTCGCAGTCCTCAACTCCTGAGCACGACTGCTCCCATCGGCTTCCACTCGCCTACTACTCAACGCTTCATCTACTTCCTCGGCTACTCAAGGCTTCGTCGAGTTGGCTCCTTGCAAAGGCCTCTACTCGGCTTAGCCCTTTGCCTTGGGTTGACACAATAATCTTGATCCGCCTTGCCTTCGTCTCTGAACGCGCTTGAACCAGTAACGGCTTCTATTGCATTCCACCCCAAATAAAGCCGACGAATTCCGTCCAACTTTTTGTTCCTCGTGGTGCAACTTCTCAACACCACACGAATCCACTTGAGCTACTTTGAGTAGTTGGCCTCGTCCTGGCTCGTCCGCTTGTAGCAGGCGTCATATAAAAGCCTAAGGCGAGAGGGGATCGCACTGTACTATGGGGGTAGTAGCTGCAGTGTACCAGTTCCCGCTTATGGGGTCTAAAAGACCCTATATGTGCTATCATGCATCACGACTATATTTGCCACTTCATCTCTGCAGCATTCTTCCTCCCCTTGTACTTCATGTGGTGCGACTTGTAGTATTCAGTCCTCTTTGACTGTTGTCAGTCCTCTTGACACTCAGGCCCTTCTTTACAGCGGTGCCAGTCGCCATTGCCTCTTTGCACCCAATCAGGAGCGTTAGTGTCCCAACAGATAACGATAGCACCCACCTCTCGAAGCTGTTGCCCCTGTTATTCCTATTTGGTACTGCCCTGGATGGGCTGCCCTGGATGCGCTAGGCAACCTAACCTTCGGTTTGGGAAAATGTATACTCTGCTTGGGAACATGCATCCTCTTCACGAATCTCATGGCCGCGAAGCTGAAGTTCGCGACAAGCCTTGACTCGATCATGACATAATCGATTAATGGTCGGGCAATAATCCAAAAATTGCTTCGCTGCAAGCAACATAACTCTCCACCCGTTACTTTGCTGCACAATCTGCTGAAGATCTGCGATCATGACGCAGTCCTAGTCGTCGTATAAATACTTGTGGCTCTAAAATGCAGCTCCTATTTACCTATCTGATCAGACCAAGCAGTAAAAGCAGGAAGATAGTGTCGTGGTGACTAGACAAGTCTGATGATTAGATCAATGGCTCATCAACATCTTCGTGAGTGACATCAACAATAAAGAAAGGTGGACAACTCGAAGTATCTCTTTTCTCCATAATACCTCTAGCATTGCCCATTTCCATGCTTTTTGAGAGAAATTTCAGAGATTTAGATTGCAACTATGCATATTCTAGATAATTGAAGTCTTCAGTTTGACTCTGGAATTTGGAGTAAGACACTGTCTTGGATGTTGTTAGTTGGTAAATAGGAGCGAAAACTAAAACATCGAAGCAACCAAATCAAAGATATTCAAATTTGAAACAAATACGTTTAGGACGAATGTTCGAATTTGAAAAAGATGAGATAAAGCTGAAAGCTCTTGGATTATCCAAGAATTTTCAGTTTTATCTCATCTTTTTCAAATTCTTTTTCTGAGGTGGAGCTACTTTCTGACAGATTAGATTGATTCGAAGCCATTTATCAGTAGATCAAAATCGCCAACAAATGACATCTCTGCCAGTGCATGCACTTTTGTAGTAGCAGTAATAGCGTCTGGGAAGTAGAAATTAGCAGTAGTTGTCATAAGTGGCACCCATCACATGACTTATGTTTAGCTTTTTAGGTGGATACGATCAACTCTCACCACTTTTACTGCTGAATATCGAGTAGATATCGCTAATACGCACAATAGTATTCTGCGACTTCTTGGACAGCATCTAAAAATGGCTCCTGTTAATACTTACTTGTAAATCTGCATGGTATTCATCAGCGTCTCTTCGTATTCACGGAGATGAATTGCAATAACGTTGGTTACTTGTGTCGACAATGGGGCCAGCACGTAGTACATAGTATAGATTTATCTGACCACAGAAGACACCTAACTACAGAAAACTGGTCACGCGCAGATCTTAGGGGGGCAACGTCGATGCCGAGTGGGGGTAGTTATGTAAGCTCCCTCTGCCTCAGCAGTGGCCCTTTTTCTGCTTCACTTTCTGCCCGGGGGAAAGTTTCCACCCCCGTCCCCTTTTTCTGCTTCAATTTCTGCCCAGGCGAAAGCTTCCACCCCCCTCCCTTTTTTGATGCTTCAACTTCTGCCCTGGGGAAAGTTTCCACCCTCATCCCCTTTACTTCTACCCCCGTCCCCTTTTTCTGCTTCAATTTCTGCCAGGGGGAAAGCTTCCACCCCCCTCCCCTTTTTCTGCTTCAATTTCTGCCCGGGAGAAACTTCCCACCCCCTCGACCTTTCCCTGCTTCAATTTCTGCCCGGGGGAAACTCCCCACCCCCCCCAACCCTTTTTCTGCTTCAATTTCTGCCCGGGAGAAAGTTTCCACCCCCCTCCCTTTTTTCTGCTCCAATTTCTGCCCGGGGGAAAGTTTCCACCCTCGTCCCGTTAATTTCTACTCCCGTCCCCTTTTATTTTCTGCTTCAATTTCTGCCCGGGGGAAAGTCTCCACCCCCGTCCCCTTTTTCTGCTTCAATTTCAGCCCGGGGGTAAGTTTCCACCCCCGTCCCGTTTTTCTGCTTCAATTTCTGCCCAGGAGAAAGCTTCCACCCTCCGCCCCTCTTTCTGCTGCAGTTTCTGGCTTTGGGAAAGTTTTCACCCCCGTCCTTCTTCTGCTTCAATTTCTGCCCGGGGAAATTTTCCACCCCCGTCCCTTTTCTGCTTCAATGTCTGCCCGTGGGAAATTTTCCACCCCGGGCTCCTTTGTCTGCTTCAATTTCTGCCCGGGGGTAAGTTTCCACCCCCGTCCCTTTTTTCTGCTTCAATTTCTGCCCGGGGGTAAGTTTCCACCCCCGTCCCTGTTTTCTGCTTCAATTTCTGCCCGGGGGGAAGTTTCCACCCCCGTCCCTTTTCTGCTGCAGTTTCTGCCTGGGG